GACTCGAAGGCGTCAAGTTGCAATGCCGGGCTGTAAAGAATACGTAGTGACGCCGTGTTCTCCTGGCTCGACCATGATTTGGTCTCAGGACTGCATCGCCGCCGAGGGATCGCTTGTAGCAACTTCCTAGCTCCCTAGGTCGATAGCCATCAGTGGTTGGCCGTGAGCGATACCAGCACGACGCCGGTGTCCCACGAAGGATGGCTAGATACAAAGGCAGCAAGTCGTAAAGTGACCGCACCACATTTGTGCCCAGATGGATCTCCTCAAAAGGACCCTGGCCTGGCTCAGACACAACAGATCGTCGTACCTCGAGTGAGCCAGTCAACTTGACTTCAGCACGGCTTTTGACGGTTCCAAGGATCCAGGGGTCCTCCCAGGAGTTTGACCTGACGGCAGTGGCGATCTCCCAGGGCCAGAGGACTCACCTGGAACCGTCAATGCGGCACGGCAGATCCTCCAACGGCGGCAGCGGGCCCTTCCTGGAGGCGCTTTGTCGTCGGCGAGCTAGACCAGCTTGGCGCGGTGGGCCGTATTGTCCGTCAACAGACTACAGCACGGCCGCAAAGCTAATCAAGAAATACGCTGCGCGGTATTCGTACCGCACCGCCCGCACGGCCGTTTTGGAACAATAGGAGTCGTTAGACACTACACTGGGCACACAGACTCGACTGCGTGCCGATCAGACGGAGGGGATTGAAGACTTACGGAGCATGACCTGACACCTGGGGGCCAGTGGGCTATTTCTCCGGGACTTTGGTAGCCTAACGGCGCCATGACACGAGACCGGCATTATCGGTCGAGGATCGTTGATCACAATGATGATGAGGGCGATTGTATTGATAATGGGACGCCCCTCTGCATGTCCCTCCAGTGGCTTGGGTCTTTGCACAGTAAACTGTTCGGACATCGTTCTCAATGATGCTGCTGCCGGACTCGACGTTCCCACTCCTGTGTACAAAACACATATGCGAGCAAACCTTCCAGTAACGTTCGACAAAAGGCACATGCCAAAAGTGGAAGCATGACTCGGAAGAAAAGGCAAACACGCGCTGAATCGAGGTTGACTTGTCTCACCTAGAGCTCGCAGGCTAACCGGATGGTTCACGTCAGTAGAGGGCTGTTCAAGTTGTGCTCACCAAGGACAGCCGATGTCTCAGCACATCTTGTGCATGAACCGTGCGTCGTTCTTTTGGCACGATAAGGCCAACCATCCCAGGAGCTAACACAAAAAAAGGCAACGCGTTCTCGTTCTGTACACTCCCAGCCGAGATTTCAGCACCCACTCCATACGAGCTAGTGACATGTCGACCATCCTTGGCACCATGGCCAACGACCAACGGCGCCGCCGCTGGTGGCCGCGGCCGTCGAACCGTCTTGCTTCCCTCTATGGAGTACACTCGCATCGTCACACTCGTAAAGGGCAAAGCGCCGTGGTGTGGGCCATCGTGGCGCTCGTACAACGCTAGGGAATGGTCCGAAGAGCTGAAAATGATCAGCGCTACTGTGAGGCACAAAAAGTGTCTCCAGAACCGTTGGTGCTATGGAAAATAGCGCTTCCTCTAGAGCCGGGCTAGGACAGGCTGGTAATTGGCGGACGCGAGGCACTTCAGAAGAGGGCGTCTGCACAATGAGCGCATAACAGGTGGTGATTGTGTGGCCGACTTCGCCACTCATCGTTCCCCCTACACGTTGGATCAGCAACGGTCTTGCCTAACAATGATAGTGGCCACACGATGGAATAAAGAGCCCTTGATTGACAGTGGACAGGTGCCAACAGAGATCCACCTTTGGTCTGCTAGCTGTATTAGTGGGTGTGAAAGAACAAGAAGGAATGGTCGCTTACTGAAGGGAGCCGTGAGTGATCACTCCAGAGAGTCATAGCGGTGCTGCCGCGGGAGACTATGACGCATCCGGGACTGCTCCCGAAAGACTACAGAGCGCCCCCGGACATTGCTTCACTAGTAGCTACCGGACATAAAACCATCATTGAGCTGCCTCGTCGGGTTCGTATCGGAGTTTGTGGTCGATATTAGCACGGTACCATGGCGAACAAGGCGTCAGCATGGGCGGTACTGGAGCACGGTCTCTCGTGCCTCTCTCCGGGGACGAGAGCACAACTTTCCGTAAGACCACAGCGCGGACGGATGGCACTGCCTATTGGCTCAAGACCGAGGTGGCACAATTCAGACTTTTCTTTCATGCTAGACTCGAATCGTATGAGCAGGTGTGGCTCGAGAGACATATTGGCGGTTTCACCAGCCTGCCGAGAAGATGTTGGTGATCTTCCGAAGAAGCTGCCCACAGGCAAGGGCCCTCTCTCCCCTACATGTTCCGCCTCGACCGCATGAGTGTGGCTTCTCGACCTTACCTCGTCGCCCCGACGGTCCAATTCTTAGAGACAACACAGGTCGGAGTGACGAGGTGTTTGAGTATCATGCCATACCATGCGGTTGTGCCACCCCAGCACTTGTCTCATAGGAGGTTGTCTTGTGCATTCTTCATTAGGCCGTTCCGCTTCTAAGATCGTGATGGCTGAGCACACTGAGCAATGTGACTCCCATGGCAGCGGTGCCGAGCAGTTGGCCGCGTGCCACGAGTCAGTAAGCCAGAATTGGCGTCCTTGACGGACTCGTTGGCAGACCAAGAAGGCGTGTGCTGCTGGAGGGCGTTTCTCTTGGAGTTCTGGCAAGGGAAAGCCGTTGTGCCACGTGTGAACCCAAAGAGCCAGCGGAGACAGCGCGCCGGGGCGTCAAACGGCGGCTCGCTAGTGACCTGCTCAGGCAATAAAAGGGGCAAGTAGTACGCCAGCAGGCTCTCGCTGCTGCAAGGTCCCGTCTGCGTGCTCCCTTGCAGACTTGACTACCTCCTGAAGCTTCGCTACTGGCGTGACTGGTCGGCGACGCCGAAACCTAGTGGCCTGCACTTGTGCGGGTGGGCACTCTGGAGAGAACAGAACAGGAGCAGGAGCAGCCGGAAGGTGTGTGTGGCTGGCTGTGACTGACGGCGCGGTGCGAGCCACACACGAGGGATCCGACCATCGTGAAAGACCCGGTCTGGTGACGAGTGGATGGTGGTGCCGCCTCAAGGTGGGACCGTCAGCTTGCTAAAAGCCCAAATATGCCCATGAGGAACGCACGCGATGTGCACAGCGTAAAGCACGGGTCGTTTGACGTCTTGTCTTGTCTTGTGGGTGGTGATCCGGGGTATGGATGAGCATTTGGAATGTGGAGTAGCCGGCGCAGGCAAGCAAAGCAAAACTCGAACACAGACGTTGCTGCAGGACGGACGTTGCGGGCGAATAGAGCTGCGTGACAGTGCCGTGCCTACTCGGGGCCATGGGTCCGAAGGGGTCATCCAAGGGAGAGAGGATGGTCGGAGTGAAAACGTGGTCGGGTGCCCTGAGCCGCCTTGCCCGTAGCTTCGAGAGACGATTCGATAGTGCCAACACGATGGATGTCCCACGCCCCTTTCACACCTTGCTCGCGCGGCAAACCACGCGTTGGACGATGCCGTTCGTGCGGGCGTGCCGTTAGGGATGTGGGCGAGCATCCATGCTTCAGAGTTCTGGCATGTTCCCATGATTGGTGCCGGCAGGATGGTGGCCAGTATCCCACGGAAATAGCTGTTGCCGGTCTGCAAGGCCAAAAGTCGTGATGGGATGGTGTGGACGGCTTGCCCACAGTGCGTCTGGGTCGAATGCCTGCCTTCGACGCACGTCTCGGTCGTCCCGTCGATGTTCCTCTGCAGAGGGAAGGAACGACATCTCGAGCCAACCTGGCAACGCCAGGCAGGCACGAGGCTGCGCAGACCTTGCCAACCACCAGCGTCGCAAGCAAAGGTGTAACAGTCCAGGGATGAAACAGAATTCGGAGAGTGATTCTTCTCGTGCTGGTTAGTGCCTGGCAGGCAGATGTTCGGCAGTGCAGTCTCGTCTTCCAGCGCAGTCTTGGCTAGTCTTCAAGGATCATCCCGGTCCATCACCAGTCACTTCTTGTGGCACAACTGCCAGGAAACGAGCGCAAGTGGGAGGCACGGCCTTTTCTGGCACCGTTTTATCGACCGTTATCCTCGACGATCGCAGCTGCCCTGTGGGATGGGGGGCGACACGGTCTCTTGCACCAGGATCCTATGGCTGTACGGCTTGAATCGCCGTCAGCTCACGATTCGACGTCCGTACAATCAAGCAGCAAGATTTGCAGACTGTTATGATCTCAGGAAATCGAGTGGAAGAGGCTCGCAGCGTGCCAGACTGAGGTCAAAGACGCCTTGGACAAAATCCCACACTCGGGTAGGTGTGATCTAGGCCGTGACCTTTCAAGAAATGCCTCACCACAAGTCAAGAGCCTGTTGTCTACTCCAGCGCATCTGCAGCGTCAAGCGTTCTATTGATGGACAGGATTGATTATCAGGTAGAGGGCTTGCATCATAATGGGGTATATCTCAAAGAAGAAACAGAAACATCCGTGAGGACTGTCAAGAGCACAGAGTGAGTCTAGTTTGTGTTGCTTGCCCTTTGAGTACATGCAATATTCACATGGCCATAGTCGGGGCACATGCTGCAAATAATGTAAAAAGCGGTTCAAGAAGCATGATCGCACAACCGTCTATCAGGAAATTACCCAGATACGCCTTGCAGTAACAAAACCTGCTTCCCAGCACTTGGTCCGAGGCCCGTCACCAGCTTTTCCAAACCACATTCGTGAAGTCCGGTCATGACGACAAGCCATTGAGTCCATAGACTAAAATGGCATGAGGTCGGTCGCAGTCGTGAAAAGATGCGCAGAATTTAATAAACGCCAAAAACAAATGAGACCGTTTCCAAGGCCAAAGCACCGATCGCTTGCAGATATGTCCCCGGGTTCTGTCAAGAGATCGCCGGGGCCTCGAAATATTATGGACGCGGACATGTCATCGTAGGAATTGCCCAAGACCGTCCAACATGCCAACGTCCCATTTGCCCCGGCGAAGGTCCCGGCGCCGCAACGGCACTTGCAAGATCAGAGATGGATATCGCCACCTTCCCCAGATTCCCAACGCCGCCACGCTTCATCATACGCTTCCTCAAGGTCCCGAACCCATCTTCGTGTGTCGAATAGAGCACAAGTCCACTTCGCGTCAAAGAGAACCTTGCGCATCTCGGCCAGTCGACCGCGCCCCTCGCGATATGGCTTGTTCGTAGAGTGATAAGTCAGGCCGCCAGCCAGCCTTGTGGCGACAATCTCGTACTCGGCATCGTCAGCAGCAATCAACTCATGGGCAACGTCAACACCCTTTTGATCTTTGGGGAGGGCGCCCTTCAAGATTGAAGCAGCCATGCGCGAGCACATCTTGTACTCGTATCGCGGTAAGGTAAGGAGAGGTGTGCTTGACCACAACACATCCGCCGCCGTCGTGTGGCCGTTGCATTCAGGAGTGTCCAGAAAGAGGTCGCAAACCCTCGCCCGCGCGATATGTTGTTGCTTGGGTGCGACTTCTGTAAAGTAGATGCGACTGGCGACCTCGTCACCAGCCCATTCCGCGGCGGTCCTCTTGAGGTTCTTCTCTCCAAGCTCCGGGAACTTCAGTAGCCACAGAATGGCATTCGGTACGTTGGACAGGATCCTCAGCCATGTTCTAAATGTGGATGGCTCAATCTGTAGGCCGGGTTAGTTCAGAATACTGCGCTGTTTATCACAATCAAAGCAGCCTACCTTGTACAGTTGATTGAAGTTTCCGAGGATAATAGTATTATCGGGGATGTTCGGGAAGATCTCGCGTCTCATCTGCCACCTTCGTAATTGCTCATCCTCCCACGTAACTTGTCTCTCACGAGCTCCGCAGGACTGAGCATGATCGCAACAGAAGAAAGTGTCCCGACAGAAGATGATGTTTTCAGGATACATCCAGTCGTCCGCTTCGGCGAGCTCTTCGTCGTCAAATATGTCCTCGAGGTTCAGATTGCTCCTCACTGGGCGCAGGGTTGAAGCAGGAATCGCAGTCTCGTCTGCCAGCAGATAGTCACACCATTCGGCTCCCAGGGTCCCGGCGAAACCCATGAATGACATTTGAATCGGCGCGGGCCTCGCGGCGAAGACCTCGTTTCGAGCACCTCGAGTGTAGCCGTTGAGGTTGACAAGAATATGGATCTGATCCTGGACAATCTGGTCGACGAGGCGCTCTGAAGGCCACGTGCTTACATCTCGAAACACCGGGGCTTGCTGCTCTATCTGGAGGCGGTGTTCTGTCCCGTCGCTGGGCGTGGTAGCATAGCAAAAGGCCTTTGCCCGAGAAGGGTCGTGGAAGCCGAACACGGATTGCATCAGATGTGCCAGTGGGTGGTTGTTGAAATCTGACGAGACATACCCAATGTTCAGCTGCGGTCGCGGAGGCGGTGGCGGTGGATAGACTGTAGCAGGTAACCATGGTGCCTTCAGAGTCGAGCATGAGATCCTTGCGGCATTTCGTTGCGAAATCATGCGGATATCCTTGGCTGTCAAGGGACATGTGAACGTGTGGAAAGGCAAGACCGTGGGGGCAGATGGCACTGAAAGCGCATTCGGAAGTCGTGGGCGCGGGAAATCTGCCTCAGACACGCGTCGTCCGCGGATATACTTGTCCTGATACCAATTCCACATGGCCATTCTTATGCCGCGCTCCACAAGGCGTAGAACTCGAGAGCCTTCCCACTTTTGTCCTGCCCATCCGGACAGCTTCTTCTTAAGGTCGATATCCTCCATAGGATCATTCGCTTGGCAAATAGTCGTTAGCTGTTGTGTCAAGGCGCTGATGGTCTCAGGCTGCAGAACGCCTACGCCCCAGTGGGAAGCTTCAGTGAGTTGTCGGGTGACAATGTCTACAACCTTCTTCATCCAGCCTGCTCCAGAGCCTCGAAGCATGGCGTCTTCGACCATCCCAGCATCATTAACATGCCACCGATCAAGCTTCCCACCTTTGGAAAAGACACCACCACGACCACGCCAGTCACAGACTGAGTTCAGTGCGGTGGCAAGCCCACACACGGCTTCAGCAAAGTGTGGGTTGGCGTCGACAGCGCGTCTGTAGTAATGGATGGCATCCCTGACGCGCCCCCTGTCCTTGACGGCGTTTGCCAGATTGGTGAGGGCAATGTCAAACGTGCCGTCACAGGCCACGGCACGCTCGTACATTTGTATGGCGAGGTCGAGCTGGCCCGCGTCCTTGAGCAGACTGCCAAGGTTGGTATGGAGATGAACATGTTTGTTGTCCAACTGCAAGCCGAACTGATAGTATGCCAAAGCCAGCGCAAGACCACTTCCAGGCACAATGCCCGGAATCGTGGGGTGGTGAGTTGTCGTGTGAGCCGGTGTGATGGTAGCTTGGCATTGCTGGACACCGGCGAGAAGGATACCAATGTTGTTCGCTGTGGAAGGGCTTGCCGACAGGGACAAGGACAAGTAATACAAAGCAAGGATATCTCCTACGCCAGACGACTGACGCACTCTTGGCGACGATATGCCATTCGACATGGAGTCCTGAAAGATTTTGGCTAGTGACAGAAGGGAATTGCTTGTTGTCGAGATGGCGGATTTCGCTGGTAGACCATCCGTGACAAACCGTAGACCTGGCAGGCTACCATGAAAGCTGTGGCTGCCGAATACTTTCTGGGCGGTCTGCTTCGCGACCTCTGGCGGTAGAAGCAATGGGCCGGATGGCGGCCGCACATCATAGCCTGGTGGAGCGAGGACGGTTTTCACTCTCCGGATGAGCGATTGTATAGATCGAAAATTACGGCCGGCACTCAGCAGGACGACCTCTTCGAAAGCTGCAGAGGCACCACCGATATCCTTCAAGGCGTACAACAGATTGCCTTTGGCGTGAATCAGGGCAATCATTCTTCCGTTCTCGCTACCAGGAATGAGGTAACCACTGGACGCAAAGCCAGGTTGTGAGACCGCCGCCTCAGTACCAATCTCGTGCCCGGGCAGATCCGTCTGGATCGCACTCCCTGGTGGGCTGGCATGCTGCTGCCCCATGGTCTTCGTGGCGGGCTTGGGGCTGGGATCTTCGCGGACAGCTTGGTGCTTGCTGTGTTGCAGTGATCGCTGAACGAATTCTACTACTTCTACAGCTTCCCTGGTCCTCTGGTGCGAGCAGAGGAGACCGACAAGATGCTCGGCAGCCTCGAGGTAGTCTGGCCGTTTTTGAATCGCGTATCGCCACTGCTTTTCTGCCTGTTCATGCCTGTTGAGACTGTAGAGTGTCGCTGCGATATTTGAGATGGCCTCAATGTGACTGATAGGGTACGAGTCAGCAAAAAAAAAAAAACCGAAAACCGAAACCAAAAAACATTAGCTGCGACGGAGTACTCACCTCTCATCCAGGACCAAGATCCTCTGGAACCACTCAAGCGCCTTGTCATATTGTTCCAGTCCGTAATGGAGACATCCACCGAGCAGAATACCATCAGCCCACTTCCAACCACTCTGCTCACAAAGATTGTGCAGCATTTCGACGGCAGCCTGGGCACCAGCGAGCGGCGACATCACCCCATGTTGCCGTGGGAAATGCGAGCTACCCGTATTGATCAGATGGTAGAAAGCAGGACCAGCAGAATTGTCCGTCCGAACAATACCCTGATTGGCGACCGCATGTTGATCACGAAAGCTCAGATCACGAGGATGCGTAGCTGCACCGTAGCCACCATCGACCAAGGGTACGCTGGTCATAGCAGTTTGCGACTGACGGCGAATAACATTTGAGCTGGTTTGGCTCAAAGGCTTCGGCAGCTTCGGAAAGATGACCATTTTTGACTGGTTCCTGACTGCACCCGTTTGATTGCTCTGGCCAGACTTTTTCCGATTGTGCAGATACGCCAAAAGTTCGAGATATGTGGTATGGGCGTTGGCGAGCGCCTTATCCCTAAATCCACGTGAAGACTGACGTGGCTGCAGCGGATGAGCACTCTCGTACTGCGGCCCAAGGGTCAATGAAGCAAGCTGCTGCGACGCAGACCTGAAATGCAAGCCATTTTCATCGTGGCTGTTGTAATGGATCGGCGTAGCTACCTCTGCCGGTCCCAATGGCTGCGGGATGTGATATAGTCCTTGATGGTTCGGGCCGTAGTATGGTGAAATGCCATATTGGGAGACAGTCGGTGGCACCGGTTGGTAGTTGCCAAAGCTGCCATCATGCCAGTTTGGCGGCAGAGGACCGCCCGGGTTGAATAACGCTGGCCCAGGTGGGTGGTGGTACATGGGTTGGAGAGCGGTTGGTATGCGGGATCCTTGGGTCGGGTTCTGATAGGCGGCAGATGGCAGGTTTGGGGCGCAATCCATCGCTGGAGCCATTTTCATATGCCCATCTGACCTGGTTCTCCAACCTTCGGTGGGAGGAGGGAGACTTACATCTTGCCTGTTGAAGAGCTGCGGCACGAAACTCGCGTACGGATTTACAGAATGATTGAAGACCCTGTCCGGTCCATAGGGATTATGTTGTTGCGCAGGCTGATATTCCGTCGGCAGTCGAGCATTTCCCATCGCCGTATGAAGCGAGCCCGGGATCACCATCTGCTTGAACGGCGGTGGCTGTGATGCCAGCTCGACAGGAGTCCCATCATAACCGGCGTCAATGGTGCCGTTTGGCGTCTTCCTTCGCAGATGGTACTCGTGTGTCCCCGACATGTGCCGCAAGTGCTTTACATTGGACGTGTTCGATTGCGCGGAAACCGGGTGGGTCGCGTTTGAGCGAAAGCTCCGATGTGGGAGAGTGAGGCCGCGGGTGGCCGTGGCATCCCCATTGTGATCGGTCTGGGGTAGGCGATCGTGGTGGGAGACTGGTTCGTGAGGTGGGTATAAGCCGAGATGGGGCAACTGGTGATGAAGGGCCCCAGGATGTCGCTGAATCATGGGAAACATCGGTAGAGAGGTGCCGGCGCGTTACCAAAGGAGCGTGCGTTGCAATGTTGGACCTCGCGACTTGGTCATAGCCTTTTGTGGAAGGCTAAGCCAGCGGAAGTCGATCGCGAGACATCTGGAGGCACGTGTCCCTTGTGTCGCAAACGAGAACTGGAGGGCTGGCACACGGTTGGCGTTCTACGGAATGTGCGCCTGCTCTTTCAACAGGACGCGGACGGCCACGACCGCGTTGTGAAGCCAGGTAGATCACCGCTCTCAAGCTCGCAGGTATGACTGAAGTCCGTGTGTCCGATATCAACCACGATCTACAATCTCCTGGAGGATTCAGGGAGTGTGGGTGAGCACGAGAGCCGACGCTGGAGCCCTTGCTGTCAATGAAACAGTGCGTGGGCCTCGAGAGTCGTCCGTCGACAGCGTCGTGCTGGCTTGCGCTTCACGAACAGTCAGAGTTCCGTCACGGCACGAGGAGGAGAGGGCGGGCACGGAGGCTGGCGCTTTGTGTTGGCGCGGGTCACGGGCAGAACTGGTATCGTCGGGGTTGATCGAGCAGTAGAAGCTTGCTGGAGAAGCCAACAGATAGCGAGCTATGGTGGGAATCAAGTGAAAGAAGAGCCAACAATGTTGCGACGAGGAGGCTTTGAGCTTAGTGTCGTCCCTGGTTGAAGATGGGCGTGGTTCGGCAGACGGGCAAGCGTGGGGAAGCAGGAGCCTAGCAGCGACTAGCTAACGGGCCTTAGAGAAGGGGGGGGCCGGTTCGTCTTGGTGGAGAGGCGGGCGGGAGGTGGTGGGCGCAAGTGCCACGCAGCGGGTGCAAGTGGGCAGCAGCGGTGGTGGACAGGACAGGACGGTGCAGGGGAGGGGCCACGACTGAGGCACGGGGCGCACCCTCCACTGTGCAGCGCACCAGGGGATGCACGCCCGCTGGCCCAAGGCTAGCAGCCCGTGAGCGTGGGGCTGGCTGCCCGGCAAGCGGCAACCTGGCGCGCCTGCTGGCTCCAGAAAAACAACAACCGCCATGCTCAGATCATATCTATCGGCTGGAGACAAATTCGTGAGTGGAGGAAGGTCTCATGTCAGCCTCGGGCGACCATACGGGGCAAGCCACGGCGCAGATGCCCGCGCTGTTCGCAATCCCGACTGCCTCGCCTTTCCTGCTGTGCTCGAGCTTGCAAGCAACACTGAAGCAAGCAGGCAAACGATCTCTCACCCATCAAGGTGGGCAATGCTTGCTGCCTTGCATTGCCCCAGGACCACGCTTCTCGCCCGTGCTCCCCTCCTCCTCATCACCACCACCACCACCACCAAGCAGCGCAGTCGCCATCTTGAGCCAGGTGCGCCAATGCTCTTGGAGGCTGGCGTGCTGCCCCTGCACAAGGCCTGCCAGTGGGACCTTACCGCACCCTGCAGCTGTGCAGCCCATCCACCCCGACTGTAACCCGCCCACCTGTGATGACAAGCGCTACTGCGCACGACTCCCACCCATCCCACGCTGCACACCAACAGGCCAGCACGGCTACCCGCAAGACTTCTCATTCTCGGTGGACAACACCTTGGGCGGTCCTAGTCTCTGCCTTGAAACCTAAGACGGGAGCATAATTCATGTGCACTCTCTGGACAGACCACATCACCATGAATGGCGGCGCAGGTCTCGGCCAAGCCGGGGCCCAACGCCTTCTTGCAACACATGCTTCGCGCCGGGCGTGCTCCGAAGCAGCCGCCCATCGTGATCGGCTCACCAGCAGGGCTGCCCGTACACCAATCTATTGTGGCTCGGCCGCCGATCGCCTGTCAGGTCCTCCCCACACAAACACTGGCGGGCACTCTAGCTGGGGGACCCCCGGCGGTGCTGCCGTGCCATGGCCACCAGTCGAGTAAGGATCTTCAGGCCTTTCGACAATGCCAAACAACCACGATGCACAGGGCTGCCAGCGCGTGTAGCCTAGCCGGGTGGGCTGCTGCGCGGAATGGCTCCCCCAGTGCTGCCCTCTGTATGACCCGGCCAGCCGACTGAGAGCGCAAGCCCAGCACTGCGTGATGTCAAACCTGTCACAAATGACACTCGGGAGGATGGGCGGTGGGCCAAGGATGGGATTTGGGTATGTGGCGCCTCGGGAATTCGCGTACGCCGTTGTCGCAGCTCATCTACGCTAGCAGTCCAATCCCGCTGTGTCGACAACGACAACCCTCAATTTCAGGATCCCAGTCACGATGTCGTAACACCACGGGCTTTTTCTGAGACCAGGGGGGGCCCTAGCTCCGCACTTGTAGCTTTTCTTGTGGTGTCCTCCACGTTTGAGGACAGACAAGCGCCTTGGTCGCTTCTCCGGCGGAATCACACACGCTCCTAATGGAACATTCGTCGTGCGATATCGCGTCCTTGTGGAGGGAGACAAACTTTGACAAACGAGGACAGTAGACCACCGGGCTTGCCGGCTGAAACGTAGCAGCTCGATCGAGGCCTTTAACGGCTTCGGCGCGGTGCTGACTCACAGCACAGCCGCACCGGGACCATCCGGGCTGAACCCACTTCACCACTGTCCGTCATCATGACAGTCAGTGGTTGCAGCCAGGTCAGCAGTCACGCCAGCGGCATTTCACCGAGGCCGCCCCCATGTATCTAGTTTATGTACACGCTTCCTCTGGTGATATTCTTTGTGATGACCGCTAGCGCCCGTTTGTTCTCGCAACCCCCTGCTGTCGTCGGATTGAGATACGGGTGGCAGATAGCCATGGCGCATTTGAGCTTGTTAGCGGCGAGACTAGTTCAGAGCACCCTAACTGTGTGGTTTGGCCAGCATTCCCCGAGGCGTAATTAAGGTACGTTGAAGTTGTTTTTTGAAGGTTCTTACCAGCGCCGCCCCGGAGCTCAGTTGCTCACATAAGTACCTTGTGGTTCTTGTCTTGCTCGGCTTCCAAGGTAAGACTTGAGCTTTTTGGTTCCTGCATACTTCATGAATGCGGTTCCTGCGACAGCACGCCATGACGTGCAGTCGCAAGCCCCGAGGCTCAACCTAAGGTTTTCCCAGCCGGCACAGGTACATACATCCCCAAGCTTGCTGCTGCCCAGGTGGGCTTCGAGCTACCCAACGATACCTACTAGTGTAGGTAAGCAGGATAGTTCGCTCCGTGCCCGCGACCTCAAAATAGCCATAGCTACAGCCTCGCGTTGGAGGAGAAAGCATATATGAAAAGGACCATGTCTCAAGGGCAAATGTGTAGCTGGCACAGCCGATCCACCGTCTACGGCATCAGAACTATACTCTAGACACAAGACCCCAAACCCTTGACATACGCCGCGAAAATAAACAAAAATAAATGGATAAATGAAGGACAATGATGAAAAAGAAACACAGTAATGCGGACAAATAGACATCAAATCTGAAGTGGACGAACAGACACCAGGTCGCCGACATTTCTTTGGTACCACTGCCTTGAGATCGACTTAGGTGGCAATCCTGCTGTAGTTCTAATTCTTTGACTAACGACGGCTGTGATAACGACGACGGCGTGGAATGTTCGCATTGCAGCTCGAACGTGGGACGATCCACGGTGCTTATACACTTGTGGTAGGTGGACGAATGGCCTGGAGGGTCTCGTCCACTTGCAAGGGTGCATAGGATAATTGAGCTCTCCATATTATGGACGAATGGCCCGTAGGTAAGCGTACTTGTAAGTCGGGAGATCAAGGCGGCATCAATAGACACTGGTCAAGCAACTGCGAAAAATTTACAAGGCACGAAGGTGCCGGCAGTATTCACTGCTCACGTCTTCAACAGAATTTGATAGAAGGGCTAGAAAAGCTTTATTTTGTACTTATTGATTCGCCCACCCGAATGCCATGTTGGGATACGTGCTTCTATCTGCGCAGCCCCGTGATTGATAGGACTTCATACATACACACACGCGGCGTAAGCCGACACGCAACGAGAGGTGGTCGTCAAGACTACCAGAGCCAGACGCTAGCCAATCCGACAGTGCAACTTCATCGAAAGGCAAGCTACAGATATGGCAGAGAGTGGTGTGGACATGTTGGCCAAAAAAAAGATGGACCTCTGAACCTCCATGTTCGCCTTTCCGGGTCCGAAGACCCGAAGAGACGTGGGTGGCCGCGGTGAGTATATGGTCAAATTGGGTTGATCTTCCTTGTCGTAAAATAGAAATGTACCACGGAGTAAATGGTAGACCTCAGAGTGTGGCAAGGGTGTTTTGTGCTTTTCAGCAATTGGAGATGGTGCACTGGGGATGGGGATGGACTTGGGTAGGCTTGGATGGATAGGAAGTCAGTCAACACATAGCACGTGATTCTCGATACCTCACATGTCGAAAACCAAGAGAACCATAACGACGGTTCCCTGCTTGTTTTTGTCGCATCTTGAAAACGCGGGCGTGCGTGCTGATTGCGAAGTCGCCGCACGCCTCTGATGGTATTGTGATTCTTTTTCTTCCGTTTTGCGCCCCCTCGGCAGCGAGACGGTTCGCCCGATGTGTCGAAGAGGGGCGGCGTGTCTCCCGCCAGCCTCAATACAAAGCCGTCATGTTTCCTGACCTAACGCCTGTAACAGATGCGAACAAGAAAAAAAACTTGGAACCACAGCTCTCAAGAAACCCGTTCATTCATTTTTTTCGTCAAATTCCGTAGAGGGCAGATTTACTCCTCAGGGACTAGAAGGCGTGAAAAGTCAGTCCATGTTGTGTGCGTGATGCGGACCGCATGCGAATGGGAGTCTTACTCTCAATCTCGCCGCTCTCAATGTCGTCCTGGATGTCCTTGGGGCTCCGGCCATCGACCTGGCAGCCGACGCTGAAGGCAGTACCGAGGATCTCCTTGACGGTACCCTTGAGGTCCTTGGAGAAGGACTTGAAGCGCATCGTCCGGGCAATCTCGATGATCTCATCGAGGGCAACGGACTTGTTGTGCTTGATGTTCTTCTCCTTCTTGCGGTCACGCGGAGGCTCCTTGAGGGCCCGGATGATGAGCGAAGAGGCGGTAGGCACGACCGAGACGGCGGCCTGACGGTTCTGGATGGTGAGCTTGACGGTGACGCGCAGACCCTTCCAGTCGCCAGTGGCCTTGGCGATATCTTCTCCGACCTTCTTGGGCGACAGACCGAGAGGACCGATCTTGGGAGCCAGAGCGGAAGAGGCACCGACCTCACCACCGGTGGCACGGAGGTGGCTGTTCGAGGAGATCAAAGTCAGCCAGATTGTCCCACGACACTCTTGTCTATTTCTCTAGATTGCATTTGTCGCTGCTTGCGCCGACGTGCGATTCTCTACCCTCGCGGGTTTCGGGGGTGAACGTACATCACCTTGATCTCATTGGGGTCGATCTTGGGGGCTATTGGCAAGGCATTGCGGTGTCAGTCTACGTAGTACAGCTCCGAACATCTCTTGGGTGTGGGATGCACATACGCATGGTGACGGTCTGGTGAAGGGATTGACGGTGTGGTTGGGTGAGATACGGTCGTGAAGGGGATGAACGTTCCAAGGCCTCTCGCTCAAGTGTTCTTGGAAAAGGCGTCCAGTCGACGAAAGTTTGGGTGGGGAGCGTCGCCCAGGATTCGACAAATTTGAACGCACAATTTGTGTGGGCGACCAGGAAAGAACCCTAGTGCGCGCGATAAGCCGCCGATAAGCAGGGGTGGTCGACCAAGGAGTCGGAAGTGGGTCGCGGGTCATTCGTGGCCGAGATAATTCCGCAGCGTGGTGCAATCTGCATAAAGGTTGTGCACAATAATGCTACAATCATGCTCCCCTGTGTCTGATGGTGAACAGCAAGCATCTTGCAACGAGCGTGTGGTTCTTGACGAGAGCGAAGTGCTGGCAGAGGATGCACATATGATACCAGGGCGCCGCAACTTGAATACTGGACATGTGGCCTCATCTGCGCCACGCTGCTATATTCACCTCAATGATCCATCAATGTCTAACATCGTCATCAGAAATTGCACCAACAGCCACACTAGCACAAGGTAGTCGACCTTAGACGATTCATGAGGGCGTGTCATTCGCTGTATATGTTCGCTACGAGGCATTTTGCAATGTTCCAGGCGCCACGCTCTCCCAATTTCAGTCATTAGTTTGTGCCGCTGACCGCAAGCTTCATGAGGTGCTCCATGAAGGTCTGTAGCGACACGTCATCAGTGAAGATTGTCTGGGCGGTCTGGGCACCGAGACCTCCGTACGCCCCAGTCGTATGCGTGGTCGAAGGGTTGAGCTTGGACAGCAGGAAACGAGCCTGCGAGCCACCGGCATCGCAAACGATGAAGCGAGGCAGGGGGAAGCGGTCGCCAATCAGATCCTAGTATTCATTAGCAAGTGTACACCGAACACGTGAGTATGACATGACTTACCCTTGCATCCTCCTTCGGCTGTTCGAGGAGGGCAGCAAAGTTCTCATAACCCTCTTGGTCCTGGTAGCCAGCCTTGCGCCACTCGGCGACAGTCTCGCCGTGGAAGATGAGGATGTGGAAGAACGTGTCCAGAAGCAAGATGTGAGTTGGCTGGATGGAGGTAGAATCCAGGAGGACAGGCTGGCCGCCATCCTGGTCGAAGGTGTACGAGTCAAGCGTTGGCTGGATCATGACCAGCGAGTTGCTGACATCCTCGTGGTTCAGGACGTGGCGGTAGAAGGCCGTCTCGTCGGGAGAGTTGTTGAAGACCTGCAGGAACTGGCTTCGGCGCAAGTGGAACATGAACTGTGGGTATAGGGTGAAGTTCTTCTCGAGCCTAAATGACGTCGGGTCATCCTTTCGGTAGTCGGCAAATCGTGAGCACAACCTGATCAGCATGCGGTCGACCCATCTGAGGACGTCGGGTCCGTCATCCACTTCAGCCTTGAACACTGCAATTCTGGACATGAGGACGGCAGCTGCCTCCTGATCAAAGGATTGGGCAATCGCTGGGTCGCCAGTGGGGCCGCTGAGGTTTCTCGCAATTGTCGTCACTCTCAGGTGGAATTGGCCAGAGGAGTGCTGGTAATAGGTGAGGAACTGGATCATGCCCTTCGCCGCCCCTTGAGGATGCGCCGGAGCATTGCCCTGCCCAGCCATTTCAAAGTAGACGCCGTAACTGGCGCTCGGGTCGATACCGCACATCTTCCACGAGCAAGTGTTGCCAATACCGCATTCTGTCTCGCCGACCGAAGTTGACTTTTTGTTCAACGATACAGCATGACCGATGAGACCGGTAACCTTGAGCTCCTTAGTGGTGAGGACCTCTAGCACCGCATTGAAACCCATCAGGAGGTTGTCGTCTCCGTCCTTTTCAAAGACGCGAATAAAGGACTGCTTGAACATGGATGACGTGAAACTGTCTGTCAGGATCATGTGTCCTCCTGTAGAGTTGCAAAGACCCTTCATCTCCAGCAAGCCGACCTGGTCAAGACAACCGGCAAAGATGTCTATTATGTGGCCGTTGTGTGCTGTCCTCTTCGCGAGTGTGTCGTAGAACTATTCTCTGTTAGCCTGGAGCAGGGTGGAACTGCATATCTGGGCATGACTAACCTTGAGAGCCTTCTTGTAGTACTTGATATTATCACGGTCAATATCGTGGTGAGAACGAATGGGCTCCCTGAGCTCCGGTCCAACCACCATGCCAGGGCCTTCGGTAGCCGCGCCTCCAGCGAAAAGCATGATACGACCACCAGCGTTCTGGAATGATGTCTCAAGAAGGCCGACGGCAACGCCGAGAGCGACACCAGTGCAGCGCAAGCTGCGCTTGTCGCTGGCAACAGGCCAGGGGTCCTTCTGAAGCTGCTCCAAGACTTTGGTGAGTTGGAACTCGCACTGCTGCACGGGCAGAAGGAATCTTGTCGCTGGGCCCATTGGCATAATGGGGCGGCCTTGCTGCTGGGGTTGTTGAGGCATGCCGGGACGCATGGCGGGGTTCACAAGTCCAAGCATCTCCTGGACCTGCTTCGCTGAATAGTCCTTGTTGCCGCGGAAAACGTAGGACTTGGCGCACTCGGTGTAGCCAATCTCGTGGACTTGGGCCTGCAAATATGAGTTGTCAGCGGGTAATTTGCGCATTGCGTGTCGGGTTACCCACCATTGTGCCGTATGTGATCAGACCAACGAGCGCATTCTCTGGGAGCAAGCTCAAGCTCATGATGAGCGACTCCTTGAGAGCCGCAAGACTGTCATCCTCCTGGCACGCATCGACAACGTAGAGGAAGATCGGAGGGCTGGGTGCCGGTCTTGAGAGTCGGTACTCGATTGTGGTATTAGAAGGGTGAAGCTCGGGAGGAATGGCGTTGGCGGTGATATCCTTGTAATGAGGCGGGAGAGGGTTTCTCGACAGGCAGAAAGGACATATCCAGAGGCGCGCGCGCACGTCGACTTGGCTGTTTCACGAAGCTGGTCAGCCACCTTGACTAAAGCAATCCGTAATGCTGCGAGGTTCGTACCAAAACGGGTTCAACACGGATCTGCATGGCTGCCGGCAGGTTACGGGCTCGAACTGGAGGAGAGGGGTATCGGGTTTCTCCTTGAGAGGTGTGTAGAGGGCGCCGATGGGAGCGACGAGCCGTGAAGCTTCCTGTGCGGCAGTTAGCATCAATTGGCGCGGCGCCTCTCACCACGGCTCCCTGTGATGTTTGGTACTGACCATGCGCGAGGAGGGCCAGACGTTCCAGCTAAGGCGGACGCCATCGCGGTCTTCGACCTCGGACCAGCTGTCCTTGAGGGCCTCGTAGTCCGCCATTCTGTACACGAGTGCGTGGCAAAGAGCGGTTTCGTTGGGGGTTGATGTTTAGGTATCTGGTCTTCGGGAAGGGGTTGGCCCAGACTGCAGCTGGGCGTCGACAGCTTTCCACGTCGTTGATAGCGTGCCGCAACTGAAATGTGGCTTCTGCGTCAAGCTGGCAGCGACGACCAAGCCACGGCCTCCACACCCCACTTGAGCTGCCACATGCACCTCAGAGCTGGCCACCCTTTGGGGTCCCTGCCTGCCTGGCGCCAAGCTGGCTGCATTTGCAAACCGCATCGAGAACCTGACTGTAGGACAAACAGGCCTGCGCCACTCCAGTCCACCAAATGCAATGAGACTCAAGATCGCTCGCAAGGCCGCTGACCAGCCGAGCTGCACCTGGTTTTCAGAATACAGGTCAAACTGTCTAGACAAACTGTCTACAGAGAGAGCAACAACATGGATACATCTGCTGCACAACGAGCATGGTGCTGATCCCCAGCGTCAGCCCAACTCCTGAGCTGCTCAAAGTGCTCTAGGATAACAACATCAAGCTAGAGGTGATCCATCGTTGCGTCCATCGTCGCCGGTTGAACGGGCATGACCGTGTCCGAACTCTCCCTGCGCAGCCTCAACGACGAACAGTGGGCACACCTTTCCCTCGGCACCTAGCGAGATTGACATCAGACATCGCACGCCAGCCAGCACTGCATGAAAAAGAACGGTAGCCACAATCACTTAGACCTCAGAGATACCACGCGTTCCAACAAACGATATTTCTTACGACCGATCACCTCTACTTGTAGTTGGTGTCCGTGGCTAGTCTGTGTAGGGACAAGCACACGCCGAGGCACGCGATAGTTGACTTACATGACTGACCAGGCCCCTCTTTCAATAGAGGTAATGATTGGAGGAAGATTGAGTACTTATACGTCAGCCACGGACAGTGTCGGGTAGTTTTTGGTGGCAAGTGCCCGCAAAGCGGGACAATTGCGCACGCAGCCCTCGCAAGAGGAGGATCAACCACGCCAGAGACTGTCGTCTACACCAAAGCGTCTCGTCGACCAAGTATACGTTCTTTTTGCTCGCCTTGAATCCTGATCGAGACCCAGTTTGCAAACCTAGTGCCTGGTGATAGATGGGCATGAGTCTCGACGCAAATGCATGGCAAATGTGGGTGAAGGACTTTTGTCTCGCTCGGTTCTGCTGTCCGATGAAGAAAACATGCTCCAAGGGACGGCCACCATGTCTTGTGTGGTGTGGACTTGGCTGGCGCGATGAACCGTTGCCACGACGATGGGGGGCAAAAGCATCGAAAGGATCGAGCGCTGAGTACGCAGTATTTCTGTCTTAAGTAAGACTGACAAATCGCGGTGCACAAAGCCGGCTATGCTAGATTAACTTTGGTAGCCGAGCAAGGGTCGTCAAGTCGTGGAGGGGCCGAGCGACGAACCCCGACCCCCACCAGAGGGGCAAGCAGCAATCAGCGCACGACGGCTGTGGCGCCAAGCACCTGCAGGTTTCTAGACCAAGCAAGAATCACAGGTTTGCACGGGTTGCGGAGTGCAGTTTGAGCCCGAGGATGGCCTGGCACTCTGAAGCTTTACAAACCAAGCACTCAATTTAGTCCCGGGCGGGTAGGCGCTCACGCATTGAGTCCGGAGGTTGACGTCCACCAGTTCCAGGGGGGTCTTCCCAACAGGTACCGTATCTTGCCTTTGATACTAGACTGGAACACGGTGGGGTTCTTCTCACTGGCTTCTCCTGAGAACTTGACCCGAGACTAACCTGGACATTTCTAGAAGCCGCTCCAGCCAGCCGAGTCAAGCTTTGCAAGGGCCAGCACAATCATCCAAGTTGCGTCACTGCAAACAGAATCTGTCTGGAGCGGCATGCGGCAACCCCCGACCCTGCCCCGACGAGCCCAGCTTTGCAAGCCCTTGAGCGTTCGAAGGCGTGCAGCAGATGGCACGATTGCGTCGTGATGGCCGGCCCTGACTCGCTCTCACATGGGTTGGGTGTCTCCCACCGGCTACTCGAGTTGTCCCCGCCGACTGCCTGCCGAGACAGGGATCTATCTGTACAGCACTGGCAGTCTTCCTCGCTCGGGCGCTCCATCTCCAGGAGATGATTATTCAGCGGGCTGTCAGGCCCTGGGCCCACTGCCAGGAACGGCGGGCCTCTATTACGAAGCGCTTTCTCATCAACACGCGATGTCGCCATCTAGGCTTGATGTGGGCCTTCGGGAACCCTGCGGCAACTGAGGGCCCGTACGGGGCCCTCCGGATGCTCAGTTGCCCTGCGAGTCTGCGTGGGATAGGAAACTCGCAGGCCTTTAATGCAAGATGAACCCCTCTTTGACTCCAGACCGCATCTTGACCGTGCCCCTCAAAGGACTCTCGGGTATAAGTAGATCACGATGGCTTCCCTCGTAACCAGAACAATCTCGCGCCTTCCCAGACTCGCTCCATCCACTCGCATCTTCTCGCCTTCTGCACCAGCTAGACTCGGTCTGCTCTCCCCTGCCAACTGCAACAGAAACAACTTCACCAGGACACCCGTTCGACACTCGTCAACCGCCACAATGTCTGCCCCCAACGCCGTCATCGAGCTCATCAAGACTCGCCGCACCTACTATGCCCTGAACAAGGAGCTCCCCATCCCCAAGGCCCGCATCCAGGAGATTGTCCAGGAGGCCGTCCAGCACGTCCCCACCTCGTTCAACTCGCAGTCCAACCGTGCCGTCATCCTCTTTGACGAGAACCACGACAAGCTGTGGGACATCACCACCGCCACCCTCAAGAAGATCGTCCCTGCCGAGAACTGGGAGGGCACTGCCGGCCGTATGGCTGGCTTCAAGGCCGGTGCCGCTACCGTAAGTCATCTGCAGTCCCCCAAGCCAAGCCGCAGGCACAATGACACAGCCGACTGACCTCGGCATTTCTTGCCTTGTACAGGTTCTGTTCTTCGAGGACCAGGATGTCATCCAGGGCTTCCAGAAGGCCATCCCCCTCTACGCCGACAACTTCCCCGTCTGGGCCACCCAGGGCGGTGCCATGCTCCAGTACACCGTCTGGACCGCTCTCGAGGTCGAGGGCCTCGGTGCCAACCTCCAGCACTACAACCCTCTGATTGACGAGGAGGTTGCCAAGACCTGGGAGCTCCCCGCCAGCTGGAAGCTCACCTCGCAGCTCGTCATTGGTGGCCGTGCCGCCGAGGCTGGCGCCAAGGAGTTCAAGCCTGTCGAGGAGAAGGTCAAGGTCTTTGGTGCTTAAGCGTGCATCGGTAGACGACCGCGACAGACGTCATCGAGGTGGTCCCTTTGTGTGGCGGATCATCAGAGAGAAGCAGAGGAGGAATAACTAGACCAGCGTCAGCATTTTGCATAGCGATTTGAATATAATCCGAATTACCCGGTGCAACACAGCAATTGACGGAGAAAGTGAGGATGTGTTATTACTCTTTGTACGTAGGTGCGATGTTGGGGAGGTCAGCCGTGATATGTATGGGGGTGTGTACCACGTGCAGCCTGCAGCGGTTCGAGGCTTGGCGCGGCACGTGGGAGATGACAAACTTAGAAGGTTCTGTCTGCATGCGCGTCAGATGCGCTTGCTGGCAAGTGAGCAGGCCGATCAGGCACTCTCTTCAGCTGACGCGACCACCTGCAGGCTGCCTACACAAGACAAGGTCAGAGCTCTGGGTGGATGCCTCTGCGCCGATCTCTCGCGCCTCGTCGCAAGCATGCCTCTCTCTCAGCTGGTTGTTCGCACCCGCTGGGATGTAGAGGAATGACCCTCGCCTTGCCTGTTTGGGGCCAATCGGACAGCACCCAGAGTGTCCCGAGGTCTGATTCAGAGCTCTCTCTCGCAGTAGTTAACGGCAGCATGACAAAAGCCTCCGCGGTTGCCGCCGGACCAGGTGACGTAGAGATCACGATAAAGACAATGGCCACTGCGCAGCAGATTGGCGACACTGATCTGCTCCTCGGCGCGCACGGCCTGCATGAGCAGCGTGCCCAAGGCCGCCGTCGGGCCGCTTGCAATATTAATCTCGTGCGATATAACGGCAGACATGGACAGGATGGCCACGGGCTCAGCCAGCTCTTGCCCGATGCAGCCTAAGGCCCTCAGGACGACTAGGACGGCGATGGCGATGAAACCCCGTTCCTGAAGGGCTTCTAGCTTGTTCCTGGTCCAGCCGGCGCCGTCGCGCGCGGCTCATTGGCCACTGCGAAATGAGGCGGCAGAGCACTGGCACGCGCGCCCCAACGGCGACGCAGCCTAGCGTCAACACCAAGCAACACCATCATGGTTCATCCTGTCATGTTTCCATGGTGGGGTCTCGCAGAGCGGGCCAGCCCTTCCCCTTCAGGTAACGGCAGCAACATGAGCCAGGTGTCTGGGCCAGCAGAAATCGCATCTCCAGCAGCTGCGCAGATCCGACCACGGACTTGCGGCCTCCGCGCGGCTCACATGGGCAGTGTGCACTCGTCGCGGCCCGAGTGACGCCGGCCATCATGACCAGCGTTCCCGGTCATGTGGACTGGAGCTCCAGTGTCCGCATCCATGGCGGCGCTGGCGCGTGGTCTGGTCGCTGCCAACCTGCACACCCGCTGCTTGCTTGCTCCTTCCCCGACGACAAGCAAAAGCGCGTCCTTGTCATTCATTCCTCATGTCGTCTCGGTGAGGCGCGAGAGAAGAAAAAAAAGGTCATCCTCCCTCTTCTTACTTAATGGTCATCGCTATCATCATCATGCCTTACTGCCCACCCTCCAACCCGTTCGTATATGACATGTTGTAACGATCCTCTCATGGCCGCCATCGTCCCGCACTTTCTCCTGCTATCATGACACGTCCTCTCACGCACAAAGATTCTTGTCATCATCATCATAACCATCACAGAGAAGGGACATGAGGCGACGAACCGGCATCGAGGACCTTAGGGCATCCTACACCTACACCCAGACCATCGGCCCGGCCTTTGCCGTCCGCCATCCATACCCCCAACATCTGGCCTTCTCAGACACGACCACAGCAAGTAGCTATTCAACGGCGACGACTGCCTCTTCCCATGGATATGCTCCACGCTGGCGGCGACCAAGCCGAAGCAGTGCCGACGGCCAATATGGCCAGAGTCCGCCGTTCTTTGCCAGCGTCTGCGTCCAGACGGTTGACCAGCTCCAGGAGGCCGCCGCGGAGAGCTTCCCCGGGAGGCGAGGCAGTCGTTGGTCTCACAGGACGGCGCTGATAGTACCGGATCTGAGCTCCGAGATCTCGCGCAGCGTGTCATGGAGGTCTGCCGGTCCTCTTGTCGTGTGCTTCCGCGTCCGCAGGTACGACTATGGGGCAGATCTGCGCTTTGACGATGCTGCTGCGTGGCGGCGTATTCGGCAGCTGGCGGCGGAGAAAGGCGCTGACGGCGTCGAGAGGGAGATTCGCGGGATGGAAGGACGGCTCTTGGTGTGCTGGGTCGTGAGTGAGTATCTCCTCCAACAAGAAGCAATGCCGTCATGTCATTTGTTTCTATAGCTGACATTGGACCAACAGAGCGCCAGGGGAGGATCATAGATCCCAGACTCGAGTTCCCTCATTCTGGCGACAACGCCTTTGAGAGGAGACGAGAGCGGCGGGATGCGAATTCAGCTGGCTTGTCGTCGTTGCTGGCGGGTCCGTACAGCTACAGCCGGGATTATGACATTATCAATGAGCAGAACCCGCTTGCTTATTTGTTCCTGCCAAATCCTTATAAACTGCCGCCCCGACGTTGAGTCAGGCCAGGTGTTCTTGGTTCACGGTCCAAGACATTGATCGTATGCAGAGAGCTGTTGGTCGCGAACACAACAGGCAGCGGGTTCACAGCTCGGCACCGTCATTGCGCAGACACCACCAACGAACGCTCCAGCTCCAGTTGGTTCCAGCAATGTCTCGGTATGAGCCTTCTTCCACATCTATTCTGGGGCTTTCCTTCACATACAGCACTTCAGTGGGACGGTATGGGCAGAGCACGAGGTTGGGGTTGGAACCGGAGAAATGGTCTCATCTGGGGAGCGTTTTACTGGTCGCATATTATGCATTGTCATGGAGTTACGGGACATCATTAGCTAGAGCTTATACCCATCTTGCGTGTGGATCATTCAATATATGGTAAAACGTTGAAGAAATGGCCGCGGCGTACATTCAGGTTCTGGGGCTCAGATGGCGAGATACCGAAGACTCCTGTAAATGATCTGGGAAAGAAATTCTGCCCCAAGAGTGCCAAGTTGGTGAAGGAAATGGACGGTTCCCATCGTGATCGCACGGGCAGAAAGCAGAGGGGAGAAGGAAGGGCTAGTACGACGTTGGCGTGATCACTCCGCGTCAAATAGATCCCATCTCCTTCGTGATCCCAGTATACATGACCACGGAATACTCAAGGACAGACTCTTCTCGTAATATCTGTCGAGAGTCGTCTCATCTCGCCGCGAGCAGTTGCGCCACGTCCCTCGGGGCCGCCTAACAATGCTACTAGGAGAGGCGAGTTCCATCCGGGCCGGCTCTGAAACAGAAGACAGCAAAGTCACGACACCATCCCAAGCCATGACGCAGGAAGAGGAAGCAGGGTTATTCCGTACTTAGTGTATATATATATTCATATGGAAAAAGGCTAGGTTGCTATCCAAGCCCAGTCGCGCCGCGCGTGCCAAAGCCACGACGTTCTCTCTCGAGTCCTTTGTTTTTTCGCCCAAAATTAACTGCACTATGATTTTCTTCTTCTTTCTCCAAGTCCAAGTTTGAAAAGTCAGCAGCACTACCGCCTCCTCTTCCTCCTCTGTCCATTTCCCCGCTCGCCTTCAGCAGCAGCAGCAGCCTCCGCCTCCTCCTCGACGACAGGGGGCGGCTGCACGACGCCTCCGTCGACAATGACCTGCTCGTCCACGCGGGCCTTGATATCCTGCACCGGCCGCCCGGCGTCGTCGCCGCCGCCCGGGGGAGCGACGTACTCGACGCGCTTGTACGTCGTGATGCGCGCGACGTTCATGTCAAAGTCGTAGAAGCGCACGCGCCGCACGAAGCCGCCGTACCCGCCGTACCCCCCGAACCCGGCGCCGCCGGCGTAGCACATCCACAGCTCCGGGTGGATGACTTTGGTCTGCTTCTGCTCCTGCTCCTGCTCTCCATCTCGGGGGGACTTGTCTGACCGCTTCCCTCCCTTCTTGCCCCCCTTCCCGCCTGTCTGCTCCGCCCCTTCTTCCTCGTCTGGCGGCGAGGTCGACGAGAGCATGCAGTACTCGTTGGCGTGGTCGTGGCCGCACCCGACCATCACGACGCCCTGCTCGACCAGCGCGTCGCGGAAGCCCGAGTTGAACGTCGGCGCCGTCACGCCCTCCCTCCACTCGCCCACTTTCGGGTTCTCCGGCAGCCCGTACTCGGGTAAGGGGATGTGGATAAAGGCCACGTCGAGGTGGATCTTGGTGTACTCCTTGTGCTGCTTCTTGAGGCCCGACGCCGTGCGCGTGAACCAGTCAATCTGGCTCTGCTTGATCCAGTTGTAGCCCGGGAAGTGCCGCTCGTCGGGCGAGTACGAGTGCGAGTCGAGCAGGTATATTGTGATGGCGGAGTGCTTGGACGCGCCCTGCGCGAGCACCTCGATGTAGTAGTTGCCCACCCCGTCGATGTCGTCCGGGCCGGCGACCGACAGCGAGTACGGAAGCTGCTCGATGAGCGCCATCTGGGTCGCCCGAGACACGGCCAGTCCTTCATCGTCGTGGTTGCCAAAGATGCACACGTACGGGATCTTGTGCTTTATCAGGAGCTGGGCATATTTGAAGATGGCCTAGGTGTCGTCATCGCCGTCGTAGGTTTTAGCCAATCGAAGTCCATTTTTCCATTAAAGAATAGGTGCAGCGTGCCGCCGACTTACCGTCTGGGCGTCTGGCGCCGTATCGCCATTAACCTGGTCGCCGCTCAAGACGACCAGATCCGGCTTCTCCTCCTCCAGCATGAGCGAGACAAAGTCCAGGGTCCTCGGGTCGGCGAGGCACGGCCCTCCGGCGTACTCGTTGGGCACCGGGTCTCGGCAGTGTCCCACGCCGGTGCTCAGGTGTATGTCGGCAAGCTGCATGATCTTGAACCTGCCGTTCTCCCTGACCTTTGGTTGCGGCTTGACGGGCTCGACGGGGCTGCCGCGGCGCACCGTCAGGTGCACCGACTCGGCCTTGGTGTCGAGCAGCAAGGGCGTGCCCTGGATGTGCCAGCCGTCGCGCGCCTCGACGGCGTCGTCGCCAAACAGCGCGTCCACCGCCGTCACGGCCTTGTCCGAGTCGCTCGCGTGCCGCTTCTCCGACCGTAGGATCCATATCCCAGCCGGCCGCGACTCCCACTGCTTGTTCTTCTTGTTCTTGTTCTTATCTGCCTTGGTGTCGTCGCCATTCTCGGACGGGTCCCGCCTGCCCACGGCGACGTCGACGACGACGCTGTCCTCGCTGGTCAGCTCCTCCTCCTTCTTGCGCTGGACATGCAGGTACGCGCTCGCAAACCAGCTCCTGCCCAGGTAGAGGTCCTTGTCGATGCGGTGCCAGACGGCCTTGTCGAGGTCGCACGACGAAAAGGGGTTCGCCGAGGAGCACGTCGTCAGCGTGAGGTCGGTGACCACCAGCCCGTGGTGGTGCTGGGGCATGTACTCGTGGACGGCATTGGGGAGGACCCGGTAGTTGCGGTCGAGGATGAGGATGACGAGGAATGTGACGACGGTCACGCCCGCGAGCTGGGTGATTGTGCGCACCTAAACGCCGAGAGAGAGAGCGAGTGTGTGTTCTTGTCAGTATTGGTCCCGTCCTCGAAAAGGGTTTGTCTTGTTGTCCCCACACGGAGATGGTCGCAAGGGGGACGGGACGGACGACCTACAATGCGGCGGGTCATTGTGGGAGCTCGCGCTCAGGCCAAGCAAAAGCTTGAGGCGGCGCCCGGTTTGTGTAGTGATATGGCAGGTGGGAAACGACGGCTGGCTGCTATGATGGGCACGGCAGCATCTTTTTTGAGTAGCGGTGGTTTCGATCGACAGTGGTGAGGAGACGATCAGGAAGTGGAGCGAGACTGTCGAGGTCGGTGGTTCAGGCGATGCTTTCGGCCAGTATCTAGGACGCCTGGGGATAGACTAAGGATCTTTCTGGGGCGCGGATGGTGAGAATCTCTTTTGACGGGCTGGCGATGATAGTGGTGGTTGTGGTTGTGGATGTGGTCGTGATTGCGGGCTCTGGGAGCTCAGAAGGGTTGGAAGTGTGGGCATCATGGGCTTGGGGAATACCATCCATCTGGCACAGCTCTATCGATTAGCGGGAGGGGTCTAGAACGTGCCAAGAGAGCATGTGGTTTCGGCGCTTACACGAAAAGTAGCTGGCCGCGCAGGTGCCATGGATCTCGAGGGCCGCGTGGAATTGCCAATCCAGTGGAATGATGTTCTTTTTCCCAAGCCAAGCTTGCATACGTAATTACTGGCCTGCTTTCGTCGTGAGCTGGGCAGACGGGCATACTGCGTACGCTAGGCTCCTGGAGCCGGCATGCCAGAGCACCGTGACCCACAAGGCGGCTTTGCTGATCGCGGCCGGCCGGCAGGGTTGCCAGAACAAACCAACCTGGGAATTCCGGGGTGCAGGAAAAGTGGAACTCGTCGCAACGAAATGCTGTTTTCAGAGAGACGGGACGAGCCATACATAATAATAGGTGGGTGACAACAGTAGAGCAGGCGAGATCGCGTGCAAAAAGAAGAAACAACATCACCAAAGCTTTGACAGCACGTGCTGAGCGTTGGCGGCATCACAAACATGACGCGTCCGCCAAGCTTTTACTGGATCGTTCTTGCTAGACACCGCATTGCGAGAGGAAAGGCTATTGCGCAAGCTCTGACTTGCTTGGTCTAGGATACGACGACATGTCAGCAACTTGAATCTGCGTCAACGATCAACAATTGTTCTCCTTCAGCCAAGCATCACCTAACTACCAACCCAACGGTCTCCTGGATTAGTTGGCTTGTGCAAGGACCAGAAAGTGAGTTCGACGAGAATTCCATCGTGCTGGCGAGAAATGCCTGGACTTGACAGGCACACGCACCTTAGATGTCTTTGAGAGATCAACATGAGTCAATCTCCCGAGGCCAAGTACCTTTCAGCATCTACCTCTACCGCACCCTGCATCCCGCACTTTGCTCCAGGCTACGTCAAGGGCTTCCAAGGATAGAACTAGATATGCGCTGCCTCGTCTGATACTTTTCGGTCTGATGCATCCGCACTCAACATCGTGGCCTCTCGAGACATTACCAAATGCTTGCAAAGCGGCTTCAAGATGTGATTGGCTGTACTTTCTCTACTTCCACTTCTAGCACATTTTAGGAGTCGTGTGTGCTCGCTGGATGCGTGATCTCGAGGCGTGGACCCGTCCCAGATGCATTGCCCGAGCCGCACGTGTCACACAGGATCAAATGTGGCTACACAAAGCGAGAACCTTCTTGAGGAAACTGTCACGATTCGGCGTTTGTCATGACCCGAGGCCAAGACGTGATGACCTGACCAATCCAGGCCCATTTAGTCCTCTGTCTTTGCAGAACTCCCGACCACGTGGTAACTTGTCCGCGCCACCTCGCGTATCGCTCAGCCCTACAAGCTGATCCCTGTCAATAGCAAGCGAGTAGCGAGCGAGACAGGTTCAGTCCGACACGGTCAAGTAAATGCCGGCTATCTCCGACATTCAAGCAAGCAAGGTGAACCGATGACCCCCCCTCGTCTTTTGGCGAATCGTCCCGACTGACACTCCTAGATGGCTGCCTCTTGTTCACCTTGGCCTTTCGGTCTCCGGCCGTGTCCGCAAATAGAAACCTGACTGCCTGCATACCTGCCTGCTTACCTGCCTGGATCGGTCTCGCAAGCGCCAGCCATGTAAGCCCATGCAATGATCCTACAGGCCGTTGCATATCTGGGCAGTCACTCTCGAATACCCCGTCCCCCCTGCTTTCCCGTTTCCCAAGAAGAACCCACGCCTGGGGTTTCCTGGGTAGACCCCTCCCTCTTTGCTCAGACTGGAAAGAAATCCCTCTCTCCCCTCCCGAAACCCCGGACCAAAGTCCCAAGGTGTCGGTAAGCACCCACACCATTATCGTAACGCAGGGACCCCTGCAGGCGCCCTGCTGACGTTTGCCACACCACCACCACAAACATAAGCTGCGCAAGAGCTGTGCCCCCGGAGACTTTGCGCACGACTTGGAAAACGGGCTGGCTCATTCGAGCGAGGTGTCACATTCCAGAAGCTCGCACTCGCGTCCTGCGCTAATGAGATGCCGTCGAGCACCGCGCAATGCCCAGGGACAAGACAAGAAGACGCATGAGGCGAGTAGCTAGCTGGCTTGGCTTGCTCCCAATGCAATTCCTCTCACCTGCTTTCGCTGACACCCGGCCCGCAACAAGAGATCCAGACCCCCGGGACGGTCATTGTCAGTGGGAACACTCTACACAAAGATCACGTTTGTACAATTACAAAAGCAGAGCAAACTTCACCCAACCGCACCGAGATTCCAAATCCCCATGACCGTCCCCCCACGGAGGAAAACCACAGAGGTACACAACACCCACACAAGTTTCCCCCCACGATCAAGGCAACCCGGGCGTGACTGACTCTCCTACCTTACCCGTGCATGACTAAATAATCTGGGGCTTCTTGACGGAAGCCTGAAAAAGCCCGGCCCACGAAACGAGCCAGGGTGTTCTGATCAAAAATGCGGCCAGAATGTGTGTGAACAGTTGCACACCCGCAAGACATGCGGTCACGCTGACACACTCTTTTCCTTGACTGCTCACTGCTCACTGCCCAAAAGGGGAAGTGGGCGGTGTGTGTGTGCGGATGTAAGTCAAGTCGCTCGCGCGGGTGCAGTACCCTCTACTCTCCTCCGCCTTTGTCCATGCACTGTTTGAGGGGGGGAGAGAGAGGTGGCTCAGTCATCACACAATTTGAGCAGGCAGGCAGGTAGTCACAGTCACAGTCACAGTCGCAATCGACGAAGCAGAAAGCACACCATCACAAGTCACATTCCCATGTGCTCCTGCTGCTGCTGCCGCTGCTGCTGGCCATTTTCTGGAAACCAAGGAGAGAGATCCAGCCAAAGCCCATTTCTGTCCAAGCCAAGCAAGCGCACGAGCACACCCATGCGTACTTACGCACTTGGTGTATGTACACACGCACACTCTCACCCTCATTCCCTCTCTCCTCGTCAAGTCACGAACCAACTACGCCCACTCATCTGTCTCTTCCCCCTTTTGGAATCACTAGCACCACCTGTTCATGCGGAGCGGGTGATGGAGGAGTGGTGGTGCTACTAGTTCCGCATTGACAGTGGCGGAGTTGGTGTAACCACACACTCATCATTGGTCACCCTGTCATCCCCCCTCCCCGGATGAGTCGAATGTGGTGCCTGCCTGCCTGCCTGCGCTCACAGACAGATGTATACATCCACACCTTCGTCTTCTGAGTCGTTGTTATCCTATCTGGGGACTTCCTTTGGGGGGAAGAGGCTTGCAGGGGGGTTCATGCAAGTGAAGACGCCTCCTCGCTCTCTCTCATCTTACTGGCCGTTCCGGGTTTCTCTCATCATCAAAAACACCACCACCACCAACGCCATCCCGTATCCAGCCCAGCTGGTGACCCTTTGTCATCGTCGTCGTCGTCGTCGTCGGAGATCGCCGAACGACGGGGTCGAGCGGCTAGAGCGTGTAAGCCACTCTGTATACGACGGTTCCGAACAAAGCGAGGCCTGACTTATTGTTGTTCTTCTTCTTCTGCGAGCAAAAGCCACATCGCCAAGATGGAGTACTAAGACGTGTACAGAGGACACATTCAGATATACGCACAAGTGCACACAAGTACACACAGAGCAAAGCAGCTTTCATGCGCGACAAACATGCAGAGGTGCAAATGTTTCTTTGCAATAACCGTGTTTGGTAAGTGCCAAGACATTTGTCTGTGTGTATTCAAGGAGAGCTTGTAGATGATATGAAAATGCGCAAGGGTATCCGCCAGGACATATGAAGGAGACAGATGACGAAATGCCGAGACCAAAACACCAAAAAACAAACAAAGTATGCCACCCCAAAATGCTGATTATGCCCCTTGAACCCTTCCCCAAAATGCCAAAGTGTGACGACCTTTCCCACTTCAGAGCCAGCCTTTGATGATGAAAGGAAACAGACAGTCCTTGTCGTTGACACAGTGAAGAAAGAACAAATGCACCGCCCGCCCGCCACTTAATTCCAAAACGCCAGGTTGTATGCAAGACCCAGAGACAAGTGCGATGCTTCATGTACTTTTGGCACATGCTCGGGTATGTAAGGAGAGGAAGAAGGGAAAGGGAGAAATCCAAAAACAGAAATACATGATGTAGTCGTGCGCCATTTACTCCTTGGTGGGGAGGATGAACCGGACCTTCTTGACCTTCTTTGTGGGCTTTGCAGCAGGGATGTCTATAGGCTGTGTCTTGTATGCATCGGCGAGGTTCTCGAGGCTCAAGCCCCGCTCGCTCATGGTCTCCTTCTCAGGCTCTTCGTCGATGGACCAAACGTCAGGGCTTGGCTCACGCCACGAATGCCGCCGCGTCAAAGCAATAGTCTGGGAACGGCCGCGGAAGGGGCGACGAGGAGGAGCAAAGCGCTTGGATGGCCGGTGGCTGAGAGAGCCGACATGAAACGTGGGTGGAGAGAGCAGAGCCTCAGGTGTCTTGGACAGAGGCTGGCGAGGTTGGTCAAAGTAAGTCTCGAAGCCAAAGGGCAGAGGCTGGCTGGGCTGGAGACGGATGTAGTCTTCATCGTCGTCATCGTCTTCATCGTCATCCAGGATGGCGCAGTCGGACCGAGACGAGGGCTCGCTTCCTCTTGGCTTGTACTTTTTGAGGCCATCCAGAGTGGAGGGGCTGATGCTGCGGACGTACTCTCTGGGGTGGCTGGCGTCCTCGATGCCGGCGTCGAAGTCGAACTCGAATTCGAGCTCCTCGTGCTTTGGCGTAGGAGGCGTCAGGAAGTACGTCAAGGGGTTCTCGTCCTGCAGCAGGGGCATGTCACCCTCATCGTCGTCGGTGGTGAAGCAGTCGTCGTCGAGAGACGGTGGCATCTGCCCCGGGCTCGCCGGCCAAGTATCAGACCGCACTGGTGGGGGCGTTCCAAAGTAGGTGAACGTCATTGTGTGTGTTTTTGTTATTGTTTTTTATGCCTGCGATGGACCGCCGGATATGGTTGTTTCTTTGCAGGACTTCACAGGCTTGTATAAAATATATGCGAGCCTTTGAGGAAGGGCTTGCCGGGTTGGGACCGGCTCAGAGAGTTTCTTTGCCAGGAGAGGTCGGAGGAAGATGATATGGTTCTTTTGGACGGTAGTGTTGAGGATATCCCGACCAGGAAATCTGATGTAATCGGGCAAAGATATGATACGGCAGGGAGGATACAGAGCGGAAGGGCGATGCAGAGTGGCGATGCGGCGTCGTGCAGATATATACGACGCAGGCAGCTTCCCGTGCCCGTCTGATCCCGGCAGGCAGAAGGAGAGCGAGACGGCAGGAGCGGCCAAGCCCGCGTGCCCGGTGTGGATCAGGACGGCATCACCAGGGCCCCCCTTGTGCTTGGGGCCAGCCCTGTGAAGATCCAAGGCTCTCAAAGGTTGGCAGCTAGGGGCTGGGAAGTTGGAAGCCTGGTGGGGACGGTGGTGCAGATGGTGCATGGGCGGGGTGGGCCTGTCGGAGCAGGGAGGGCGGATATAGCGTGCTTGGAGCCTCACGGCCGTGAACCTGCAGCGCACATCCCAAAGAGGCATCACGCGTCAGGCCATTGGCGGCGGGTGGTGCGGCGTATCAGGCCTCTCACACGACGCTGCGGCATCACGTTGAGCCACTGGCGGCGGATGGGTTCGGGTAGTAGGCGCAACGCGCGCCTGCTAATGGCTGGATGGCGGGGGGCTCAGGTAAGCTGATGAGACATCACTCCCACCCTCCAGGATGGGTCCCCAGTGGCCATCTGACTTGTGATGGCCTCCCCCTCCCGTGTGCCGTGTGGGTAGTGTGGCTGGCCCTGCCTTGGATGAGCCTCGTTGAGCACACGCGTGCTGATCGCCGCGCAGGTGCCGAAGGCGCCGCGAGTGCAAGCAACATGCCGATGGCGGGGAAGCGTGCGTGCGCGGGTGCTCCGAGTGTGATGCCATCAGCCGTCCCCTCGTCCATCCGTCTGCAGCGGCGAGGCGGCGACAGGAAGGCATGCAGCGTACCTTGCAGGGCGCGCGCTGCACGATGCGCACGGCTGTTGGTGCGATACGCCGGCGGCGAGCGATGCCGTGCGTATCGAGGGCGGTCTGGATCCGGCGACAAAAAGAAGGCGGCCGGAGTGGAGATGCTTGGGCGAGGGCATCGTGGGTATCCTTGGAAGTTGGTGACATCGTCAAGCCTGTCTGTACTGTCTGTATGTCTGTATGTCTGTCTGTCTGTTTGGCTGGCTGGCCGGCCGGCGGCCACTGTAAAAGGGACCCCCATTAGGCTTCAATAGTGCTCGGGACTGACCTCAGCAGGCGTTTCGTCATCGTCCATCACGAAGGGCTGCAGGCCGAGGATTACGAAGCAGCCAGTGCGGCGTGCATGCTCGAGTTAGCTCCACCGAGGACGGCACACGCGTGTCTCTGCAACCCGACAGCCAATCTTGAAGATGGACGACGAGGTGCAGGACGGCCAAGCCCGGGCAGGTCAGCCGTGGCTGTCTCGAGCTCCGAAACACTGCGCATGCTCGTTCCAGAGGGCTGCTCGTTCCAGGCTTCATCGTGCTTGGAGGCACCCTTCTCACTGCCTAGAGCTGCCTAGCCCCGATCACTCACTGATAGAGCCCGCCCTTGTCCGCCATTGTCTGTCTGGATCTGGATCTGCATTGTGGCTTGCTTGGCCAACTCTGAAGTCTATCTGATCCTCGTGTGCTCTGCCTGTCAACGTCCCTAGCGCTGTCGTGCCAGCTTTAGCACGCACAGCTGATTAGTGCCCGGCGCCATCTGCTGGCCCCCGTCCCGATCAGGCAAGCCACCCCTGCACACCCTCTGGGTGACAGCTGCGGCCCACTGCGCCCCGCTGCGGGGCCCTGCAGCGCTGGACACAGCCAGTCAGATGACCCTGCCTGCCCTCTTCCGGCCACTGCAGGGGCGCCACTCCAGGGTTGCTCCTTGCCCGCCGCCAACCACACCTCAACCGCCCGCCTTGCGCATTCGTCCTTCAACACAAAGTTTGCATTCACGCAGCATTCCAAGACACGCCGTTGCGGCAGCCCTCACTGCGCACTCGCTACTGCACGGAATACAGTACATTGTTCAGACGAACCCGCACACTGCCGCCGTCCCGCCACTGCTAGGCTTACATTGCCGGTGACGACATTCCATGATGCCCGTTCTTGCGGCTGACAGGCTCCTGCCCTCCCAGGTCAGCCTCTCCGGAGCTAAACTTCAGCATCCTACGCTTTTCAAGCTGGTGGCGTCCAATATTGGGCCCATCAGTCCTAGCCTCGTCCCTTTTCGCAGTGACTCGACCAACACATACTCGAATGTAGCCGGCGTAGACACCATCAACAACAATCACGGCCACTGCAACCCCGCCGCGCCGCACGGGCGCAACCCTCTCACCTGTTAGCGCTCCCACCAGGCGAAAACACCTGTCTGATCCCGAGGACCCTTCGTGCTGCTGATCGTCCCTCCCTTACCTGGATGGTCGCGGGCTTTCGTCTCGGCGCGAGAGTCGCGCGCCTGATACGTGAATATTATCCAGTTCTCCAGGCTGACCAGTCGGTCGTCGTCCTCGGGCACTGCAAGCCCCCGGCGGTGGGAACTGTGGCGATGAGAAGCTCCTCGTGCGGTTTCGATGACGCTGTGATTTTTGTTTGTCTTCCTGGTTGATTTCTGCCAGCCTTCTGGTCAGGCTCTCACAAGCCAGCCCCAAGAATGAGCTGGGTCCTGTTGTTGGTGCCGTACTCTCCACTTGGTCCCGTTGGTTGAAGAACAATCCCGCCGCACATCGGTGCAACACGAGACAATCGCCAACCCACTGGCTCTTTGGGCGACGATCGGATTCTGAAAAGTCGATATCTTGGATCAGGAAGTTTTATCCCTTGGCTGGGTCTACTGCCTCTTTTTAACACCCGCGATCTCGATTGCCCCACGTGAGCCTTGTGAATATGTCTCAAGGCTCGGTGTAGTGTTATGGGGACTCTATAGGCGCTTGCCCGCCTCACATGAGTATGTGGAGGGTCCTTCTCCGGGCCCTCATCTGGTCACCGCCAGTCTCTCGAGGTCCGCTCTCATGATCGCATTTGCAACTTTCCCATCACCCACCCCGGGCCTTTTCCTCCTCTGCTGTGACCCTGAAGTTGGCCTGTTTCCTTGGAACAGGAAGCAAACCTTGTCGATCCGGCCTGCCTGATCGTCTACAACCAGGGAAGTAAATGACCCATGCACCCTTCCCGCTGGCTCGCGTGGCTGGACTTTGTGGACAGGTCATGCCTGTCTTCTTGTGGCCAGCTATACTCAGTCGTGAGTCGAGTGTCTTGGTGAGGCTGGGCCAGATCCACATCACGAATCATGTTGGTCTGTCATGCGGTGGTATCGCATCCTAGCGGTGTACGCGCTTCTTCCAAATGCTGCAAAATCTGCACAGGTGCAAACCCACAATGATCAAGGCTGGGAAGTAGTCACGCATGGCAATCAGTCGTGCCCAGCCACTTCGCTGCCGCCTTGACTTTTCCCCCTCTTCCGAGTCTGGGTCCGGCGGTCGTGTGTTCACGAGGCACGGAATTCGCCGCATCTTCTCGAATCCGAGAGCATAGAAGACCTGCGTCGGAAACCGACCGATCCCTTTTCTTCTCCAGCATCAATGCAGAGCTATCCGGCTCGCCGCCACCTAATGGCAGAATGCTTAGCCGCAGGGGCCGTCTGCGAAAAGAGAAGGGACCTCTGGGCTAGCGAACGCTCGGAACAATAGAGTCCATTGTCAAAGCTTTCTTTAGCTTATCGGGACGGCGCGCGCGAGCCAGAAAGCGAGGGAGCACCGAGGAGTGGACAGGATAAGAAAGAATAGAAATGGGGAGAGTTCAATCAAGGGTGGGCTCATTCTCCTCGTCTCGGCGCCTACTTATGCCGCACTAGACGGAGCACCGGAGCTAGCTAACGACTTTTAGTGCCCGTTGGGTAAGTAGTTTGACGATCCCTTCCCCTCCCCTCATCAGGTTGTTGTTAGCCTGCGTGCTAAAGTAGTCTGTGGAGGTGGAGGAGGAGAGATATGCAGAGCAAACCAAAGTCTGTGCCATTGGGGGCCGTGGTGGAACCCTATTGCTTTGTTTTTGCATTAGCCGCCGTTGGCGGTCTCTGGTGATTAGAGACAAATTATGCGGGACTCGGGTGTGTATGGCTGTTTGAGGAATTCCCACCGCGACGATTCCTGTATGTTGGCGGGAAGACCATCCCAGCGAAATAGGATGTGACTTGGTTCTCTGTGTGTGTGTGTAAGCCATCATCATCATCATCATCATCATCATCATCATCAAAAGAGGTTATAGCGGCGGTCTTCGTGCAAGCATCCAAGAGTGTGAACAAGAGAGAGATAGAGAGAGAGAGTGTGTGTGTGTGTGTGGAACGCCTCAAGTTGGGAGGGGTGGCTGGCGGCGATGGTTATCTATCAATTAGCGATCTGCCGCGTTTGCCACGCTTTGGGGTTATAATGGGACGACGCGATAGTCGCGGCGCATGGTGTTGCATGTAAGTCTTCGGGGGCATGCAACATTTCGGCTGTCGGAGTGCGGGGAGGTAATCGCAGCAGAAAAACGTGTCATATATCCAAAAGCGCCCCCCCCCCCGCCCCCGCCTCTTGAGGACCATTGGGATTTTGCTCGTCCTCGTCCTGTTTATGCCCGTACAAGCCTAACTATCCGCAGATGCTTTGCAATGCCAGTTTTCTTTTGGTGCATTTCTTTGAGTACGTCTGTTTAAGGGGGGTGCCGCTGCTGGTCGGGTAGTTGAGTCTTGCTCCAAGGCTTCTTTACAAGGGTTGGGTTTTTGGAACTTGACATGAGGCCGGCGATTGTGAGGCGCTCTCTTCAGGGACTACTGTACAATTGGGAAATTGTTTGGAAATCGTGTATCTTTGGGACGATAGAAAGATGGCTTTGAGCCTCTTTGCCATGGTTTTCGTGAGATGGCTCTCAGTCACTTCTTTGAAGAGAGAGAGAGAGCGAGAGAGAGAGAGAGGGAGAGAGAGAGGGGGGGAGAGAGAGAGGGGGGGAGAGAGAGTGTGTGTGTGTGTGCGTGTGTGCGCGCGTGTGTGTTTGATCGCTTATCCATTTCCAGAAGGCGATATTCTCGCATTGATAGTCCGTTCTGCAAAGAACGGAAAACAGCATACCGCGCGGAATTCTTGATTGGGGGAAAGGTTCCCTCTCTATCCACTTCTGTGCTCGTGGCTCTCCCAGTGCTTGTCAAAGCCACGATAGCCTCGTCGGCGAATGCTCGGCTGGAAGAGAGCCTATCGCTAGGAGGTTTGCGCATGACATCAGTTCAGCCTTGAAGACCCTTGCAATTGGTTTTATATATAGATATTACGCGGATTAGGGCTTGTCATCAAAGACTGACCCGATCATGCGGAACGCAAGCGTACTAGAGAGATGGGGCCGGTTTGGTATGGAGCAGCCTTTTCTGTGGAATCGTGGGACGAGTTTATGATGATGCAGAATTGTATGTTGATTTGCAAGAGCACAAGGCTCGCATTTGCGGCGTTAATTCGCACTAATTATATTCGAGAGACTTGCTAGCGATCAGTTATAAAGCCAGCTATTGTTTACGAGTCCACCCCAACAGCTCCATGACTGGTGGCAGACGGAAGCCCACGGAGGTACGGCTTGGGACGATTCTGCCAAGGCGGGTATATGCTGCAGTATTCCCGATTCTTCTCCCTGCCGTGTACATGCCTTTCCTCGCATGGATCCTGGTAAATTGACCGTTCGGATGCCAAACATTTGCGTGCTGTCAAGAGGCTAACGTGTCGATACATCCTTGTTAGTAGAGCATGCCGACCAAAGTCATGTGGGGTCCAGGAATCAACAGAATCAGCGGTGGAATCTGGAACATAACGCGTCTCGATCGCTCAATGAGGGGCTTCAGTCGGATGTTGAATTGAATGGCTCCGGCTTCCCGCATGTGTTTCAAGTAGCTTGGTTGGACGACGAACGGACGCGGAATCCAAGTATACTTGACGGTGGCCTCTGGTGAAAAGCAGAGGTGATGCCATAAGCCATGTTGAATGGAAATCGCTTGCCTCGAGGCCTGAGACAAAGAACTGGTGAACACAGAGCTGCTCGCGTAACAGCCATCAGGATGTGATTGAAACATGGTCCGGCCCTTTTCTATGTGCCACGACATCTGACCATCTTTGATATATGTGTCATGCATCTTTGGGCTTTTGCAATGGCCTGTCTCTCGCCAGACCTGCTGTAGCAATTCCTATCTCGCGACATAAACACAAGGTGGTCGAATTGTCCACGCAGAGTGACGTCCGGATCTTCGTTTGGACTGCTGATTCTGTCAGAATTCAGCAGCTAGGAGAGTAGTCAACACTTCCAAGGAGCTGATAGTTCAACTCGGTTGACTGGCAAGACAGGGCTAAGTCCCATAGACGTGGCCCAGGCGGGATTCATACCCTGGTAGTCATACGAGGTGGGAAAGAGGGAGAAGCGGCCATGGGACACCAGAAGGCAAGCCTGTGTATTTCCCTGATAGATACTTTGGTACAAAAAGTCACGAGTTACAAAGATCTCTGAAGATGTTGATGACCACCAGATGACTTTGTATCAGTAAGTTGGCAACAACGCTGGATACAACTTACTCGTGGTCGCCATCGCATCGCGCTGTCTCCTAAGACCACCCCCAGCAAGAAAGTCCGGTTGTATGGTGGTGAGCCGGCGTTCACAAGATAATTCGTACCGCAGCTCGAAACATTCGCGTCATGCTGCTCCCTCTCCGGACTTCGCTTGTGCTTCGATTTATTATTCTCTCGTTGGATCTCATGCTTCGCAAAGACCGCACGCGAGGACACAGACACCCTTGAAAATGAACCGGCCGGTGTGTTTGGCGTTCACTAGGATTGATCTGGCGCGTATTGTTGCACATATATCTATGATGGTCAGTAGTGTTGACTTCGTCGTCGACTGGAGCAATCAGTGTCGGGGCGGCGTGCTGCTCCCACTGTACCTTTTCCAAAGCTCATATACATGTTCGGTCTAGGCATGCTAAAGCGGGAATAGTTTGGGTTTTTTTCTGTCTTTTTCTGTCCTTTTCTTTTATATATTGAAAGCAATTTCTCAGTCCCCTGTTAAGGGAATGATGCGGCAGCCATCTCACCATATACTTTCCCCCTCGGAAGAATGAGTTGTTGGGTACAAGTGCACTACTTCCGAAAGGCTACATTCAAAGCCCAGGGTCTGATATGCAGAAAACGTCTTTGCCACTGTTGATAGCATACCCAATGAACGACTTCGGCGTAGTGATCACGATGTGTCCACATCTTGCATCCATATCAACGTGGGACATCGGACCGTACTTGGAACAAAAGGAAAGGAAAACGCAGATCAAGACCACTCAGTCGGTCCGGAAGTGATGTACATAGCTGTGTATTTCTGTTCGGCAGGCTCTTATCTCACTGGCAAAAGTGTTGGAACAGTGACCGAAAACCCAGTAAGTCTTGTAGTAGTTTTCAAAATGGAGCAACTTGGCATAGCACATAATTGTCAAAGCATATGGGCCAGAGTGACCGTGCTCTCCGTGTCACATTCAGGAACCGTCAATCCCGTTCCGTTCATTGCTGGCCGCCCAGGAACTCATCTCCACGAGCTCGACACATTATGATACCTAGGTACGTGTAAGAATGTCTTCCTGCCCCAGAACCCCAATGAGGGGCCCGAGCGTTGCCGCGGTCTAGACGGCTGGACCCTGAAAAGACAAGCCTGGCTGGATTCGCACCGTCGACCGCAATCAGCCTGGCCAGATCCCATCCTCGGTACGGACGTGTGGGTATGGGCACGGGTGGGCTGGTGGAACGGCCGGTTCGGCGTTTCCACCGGGGGCTTTTACCAAAGCGATACCCAGCCCCTTCTGCAGAACAGAAAGCGACAAGGCAGGGCTCTCGGGAGCCTAGTTATTCTGTACTGGCTAATCAGTCAAGTCTGGGACCATCGTGGTCCCAGACAATACAACAGTAGTGGCTACAATCACGAATATGTACAGGGCCTACCGAGCTGACGCGAGGTAGATCTGGACGGTGGCTGAAGCACCATCGACTGACGTGTGGCTCAACTCTGCCCCGTCCTTAGGTATATCACTGGACACGTTGGTATGTTCACCTCGTGTGTCACAGGGAGTTGAATAGAACTGGTGTGGCTGGCGAGATCGATGTGGGGAAAAGGCGGTGAGCACCAGGCTGAAGCTTGTGGGAGGCGTACGACGGCGGATGGGCTGGTGGAGGCTGGCGTCCCGTCGCCGTTCACGTCCGTCCCCGGAAAACCCGGGCAGGACATTACACTGTGAGGGTTGCAGGCCGTTCCGAGCGGGCATCGTGAAGAAGAGGCTGCTCGGGCACCAATCAGGTTTTCTTAGCCGCTCACGTATTGACCAGGAAGGACCTGCCATATGCCATATGGAACCATCCAATCGAGGTGGGGGAGAGCCAGCACGGAACTGTGCTTTCTCCCTTTGAGCATCTCGATCTCGAAAGACCCGAGGTTAGACGTCTTTCCTCGTGCTTTGGGCGATAGCATCAGCATCGCCACCAGGCTTGCGCGTGTGCACCAACGGCGACGGCAGTTAGGCATTGGCGGCTCTGGGACTTTTCCTCGGGCAGTACGTCTGCAAGAGCCGTGCCCAAGCCGAAACAAAGTGAGGCGGGCTGATCAGCGGATTGGCCTTGACGGCGATTATCGGAGGGACCGCCGCGCAGAAGGTGGTCGTCTGGGAATATGAAAATGCGGAACACAGAGTTTTCGTCCCAGTCAGCATCGGGCATTGATTGTCGTTTGTCGCCATCCCTGGCCGGCACCTCCATATCGCGCACGGGTGTCATAGAGAGGCGAGCCTGTCGAGGATTGTCAGCCGGGAAGCGAGGCCGGGAGTGGCCGCTTGCACTTGCTGATTGCTCCATTCTGACGGGACTCTCTTGGGACAGAAGCACCAGACTCGCGATAGCCGGATGGTCTGCGCGACGAGACAGCATGCTGCGGGTATGTACAGCAAGTCTTGTCGTCGTCGTCGTCGTCATCACATTAGGCCATCCCTTGCAATGTCTGGCGTCTTGTCTCGAGGCTGGCCGCCTTTAAGACGACGAACGGGGTAATCAAGCGAAGTGTCGGCGCTGCTAGCGTGACGATCGGCACCGGATCCCTGGAAAGCCAAGCTTGTGGTCGGTGCTGGACTGGTGGACTGACTGGAGCTGGCGGGCTGGCGGGCTGGCTGGCTGGCTGCTCTCTGAAGGATGACATGCAGGCAGGCAGGTGTGACTGGCAGCGCCTCGCCAACCAGCTCACGACAGAGATGCAACATGGCCGTCGAGCAATCTCGCGTCGCCGGGCCATTCACAAGGCGCACAATGGGCCACCACGGCTGCCGTGGCCGGCTCTGCTCATCATGATGCTGCTGCAGTGCGTGGCCATCGGCCCTCCACCGCGCGCCTGCCGTGACACCACCTGGAACGCTGGATGCTGATCTGACTGGGCGCCTGTGCAGCGTTGGCTTGCAGAGCATGCGCAGTGCCAACCAACCTGTGTGGCGAGCACGCCTCACCTAGCCAGGCCAAGTTGGATGTGTCCCCAGCATGCGTGCCAGACATTCATTGCTCGTCTCGCGCCGTGGGTGGCAAAGCGGGCACGAGAAGGGCAGCAGTGCGTGGCGTTACCAGTCCAGGACGCACGCACGCACGCACAACACTGTCGACGACGACCTGCAGAGCCATGTATCGTCCCTAGTCTATGCACTTGATGCTTACATGGCAGATGACAGTGCGACGCGGGGGGCACCAATTGGAACAGTTGCCAGTGACATCAGTATCCTCGAGGGCATTGCTGGGGAGCAACCCTCGCGGGCATCGTGAACAATGACTTCAGCGGGCAGGTGTTCGTGCTGCTGCCGGCCCCAAGGAGGCAGGCAAGAGTCAAGACTCGTCCGTCTGTCCAAGGTAGGCTAGCGCTTTTCTTTTTCCATCGAGCGCTTTCTTTGCTTGGTGCATTCATTCCTGTCCTGCACCTCTGCTGCAACCGCGGAGCGCGCTCGCCAATGGGACGCCGTGCTGGGCCGAGGGCATTGGGCCATGGGGCAGCCCGCCCGCGACATGCAGGCGCCTTCTGCATGGATGGCATGGCATGGCTCCCCGAACGACGTGGTGCGCTGGCAGCGCCATGGCCCATCCCATCCATTCGTTGCGGATTGATTGTGCGCGTGCGAGTTGGGCGCTGGCCGGCCCCGTCACGATCCAGTCCGCTCCCGTTCGCCCCGTCCTCGCCGGCAAACATGGCTTGTCCGCGACGAGAGACGACTGGCAAATCCAACAAGTGGACAGGCAACAACCCTCCATCTGGCGATGGCCTCACCCATCTCTTACGGCGGCAGCTGCCTGGCAAGGAGCGTGTCCTGCTGATGGTCGACCTGCCCGAGGACAGACAGCATTCATTCGCCGCGCCAACAACAACTGCAAAAAGTGGGTGCGGCCCAGCGCCGCGGCATTGATACCCAAGCCTCGCAACTGTCCAGTCAGCCCCAGCCAATCCATCTTGGACCTGGGACCTCGCGGATCTGCTCTCGCGGATCTCGAGGTACATGCTTCGAGTACACACATACATGCCATTCTCGGTGGGGGAGCGACTGGTTCTGACATGGTGGCACCCTGATGCTGTCTGACGGACGGTGCGACCAGCGTACGTGTCAGGGTCGACGACGCATGAATCTGCGAGCACAGCACGGGCCTTTGTCCTTCTGGCTGGCCCCAGCACGGCGCCGATTCGCTTACCCTCATGCGTGTCAGTCGTCCACTTCAGGCGCTGTTTCATCCTAGACACTTCCACCAAACCAGTGCCGCCTGCATGCTCTCGTGGACTGCCAGCTTGCCAATCGCTCAATTGCCCAGGCGATCAGCACACAGAGAGAGAGTGAGAGAAAGAGAGAGTGCGTGTCCAGCAAACGAGACAGTATGACTCTGCCCATCAAATTGGTAGCTCCAGCCAGCAGGCAGCCAGAGTCACCACTCACTGCCTGGTCCTTGTGGTGATCCGAGACGCTGACGGCTAACTCGACGACCCCCTACTCCGGAGTCACTGACTGTCTCGTGGCAGGGTCGTGCCAGCCCAGTCGCCAGCCCAGAGTTTCCACCCAACCTTACCCGCTCGAGCCCGCCCAGCTAGGCCGTCTAGTCTCCCACCAGCGCGTGGCATATCCATCTTCTAGAAGCGCGGCGTCGCGTCTGTGGGCTCTCGTGGGTTCGCGCTTCGACGTTGGCCCCACGTTGGGTGCCTGGACGGAGCCACGAGGTGCTCTTGGGCAACAGGAGTTGGCAGGCTCTTTGTCACAAAGGCCGTCGCTGCTGCTGTGTGGTGAAGTGATGGCTGTCAGGCCAAGGCGAGCTGTTTGAGACCCTGCCCCCGGGCGGCGCCCACCCCTGCAACCACTCAACGCGGGCGCTGACAGGGCTCTTTCCCCAGGCTGAGTGCCCTGGCGCGCTGGCTTGTATCGATATTGCCCTATCGATTGCCCACCCTTGCAGCAGCATTCCATGCCACCCGCTCCATGCTCTCTCCCGCCCGCCCGCCTAGCAAGAGTGACCGCCCACCCACCACCCACCTCCTGCCCATCTCCCCACTTCCTGCCCTTCGTGTCTCTGCTCTCCTTGCCAGCCAGACCCTTCTGTTCTGTCCTTCTCCAAACACCTCACCACAGCTCGGCTTTGGCACAAGCACTCTGCTTTGCTCCCTGACACTTTCCAAAAAAAATTCAAAGACTACTCACTCTCCTCGACATCGTCACGACACCTACACTGTAATCGCCAGACTCAAGCCTCTTACTGTACACGAAGCTCGTCTTGCTCTCCGGACTTTTCGACTCTTGTCGATTCTCCCGTCCGGCGCCGAAACCACAACCAGCTTCTCCAGCCCTGTCGCTCACACGTTGCTATTCTCAGCCCAGCATAAGAGCAATTGCACTGCAGCTGCTTGACCCGACGGAGACTGGCCCGCCCTAAGCCTTGACGGCTCCAACCCTCCTTGGGGCATATCTGCCCTCCCATCGCCATTCCTCGCGTGTCCTCTGCGCCAGAGTGGCAAGACCCGGCAGTCCCATTGCCCAACATGCCTCGAGACCTGAGTCCTACCTCTAGGATCGCCTACTGTGAGGAGGTCAACGAAGATGATGACCCTATATCGAGGCGGACGTATGCCAAATCCGTCATATCGCCAAGCCCGACCAAGGAAAGATCTAATACTGGCAGATCAAGGAAAGGCCCCTCAGGGCACTCACCTTCGTCGCCGCCATCGTCATACGACGGCTACTCGGACGAGGATGCTGCTGATCAGTTGTCAAGACGTGAGCTCGTCAAGTCAAGACCCAAGGACTCCCGGAAGAACAGCAAGTCGGGGCCCATCGTCGTAAGCAAGCAGGGCCCCCCGAAACGGCCAGGCGTCCGCCAGTCAAAGACGACTGGCCACATTCCTGGTCGGTCGATAGACGAGGCGTCATACTACGGTGTCCCCCAACATCCACAAACTATCGTCTCTCGCCCGCGATCCAGGACTCGTCCAGAGAGCTATTATGGCCAGACTGCCCGTCAGAATCAACGCGGCCCGCCGATGTCGCATTCTGCTTTCTATAATGGTCCTCCCCCGCCGGGCGGGTTCGCTCCGCAGCCATTTGGACCCCCGAGCATGTTCAATGGCCCGCCACCGCCCCATATGAACCTGCCGATGCATCCGGGGCCACCGGGACCTCCGGGGCCACCTCTTGGGCACCCGCCTCCCATGGATTTCCATGGCGGACCCCGCGAGCTCTCAGCTCGATTCGGACGCCCACAATCCTCTATGGGCTTTCGGCCGCCCTCGAGCTACGAGCCCGAGCCCATGCTCGAGCGTGGAATCCCGCGCAAGCCCTCTGTCTCGAGGAAGATCAGCAAGGATCACGATGACCGCATGAGAATGCCGCCACCGCCAGCACGGCCAGCTTCTGCGCGGCCTTCAATAAGCGGCGGTGACCGCCTTGTCTTCAAGGCTCCTCCTCACGGTACCATGAGACGCAAGTCAAGGCCTCAGGTTCTTGACGAGGACGAGGACGATGAGTTTGACGAGGAGGATGACATCGTCTACAGGCCAGATCCTCGCCGCATCTCATCTGGCTACGGATCCAACGCAAACCCATTTGCAAGCCGTCGTAACGACAGTTATGAAGAAGAGTCAGACGGCGATCTTTCCAGCTACAAGAGGGAACCCGCGGCTGGTCATGCACGCCGCAGGAGCTCTCAGTTCCGCGGAGGCCTGGATGAGAAGACCCGCAAGGCCATGAACTATCAGGACGGCGTCATGACTCAAAGCCATGGCGCGCCTCTCACCGCTGAAGCTCTGAAGTACATCAAGAATGGCGGAAGCACTCGTTCCACGCGGAGCACCGAGAGTCGAGACGAGAGTGACTGGAAACACTCTGCAACCACTCGCACCACCCGCTCCAGCAACGAGGAGGACGACATCACGATCAAGCTTCCCAGAGGAGGCGTCATCGAAGTCGGCGGGGCCAAGATCACATGCGCTGCTGGTGGCGATGTTAACATTGGCCGAGGCAATCGTCATGGCAGTGATCGTGCCACGGAGCGTGATACTGCGACCATCAATGATGAGGACGAGGAAGAGGAGGAGGATGATGATGACGACTTCCCCGAGCCCAACTACAGGCGCAAGAGCCGGACCATGCGCACGCAGAAGCGCCTTCCCGCTCCCGAGCCTCACGTGGGATCGTATCCTCGCAATCGTGATCCAAGGTCAATGACCCACCCGCCCGCGCTTGCGCAGGTGCCATACAACAACTATGCGCCAAGCAGCTACGGCTCTGGCCGACGTACACCAGGACCGCGTGGCGGCCAGCAGGCTGGCGGCGTCTATGACCCATTCCCATTCGTGCCGGCCTTTGATGACGAGGACGAATACGAAGATGATCATTATTACCCTCACCCACCGGCCTCGGGCCCGGGCTACTACAACCCTCAGTACAACTACTGAGATGTTGAAGGAGTAGGATGCCAGATTGGTAACGATGTGCATCTTGAGGGAGGTCCTCTGTTTACGGTGTTCTTTGGCATTCTGCATTTCCTCTCTTATACGTTCTCACGAATATTTCATGAAGCAAGCGGATCTGTTTACATTTCTCTTCATTTCTGGCGGGCCCGCTTGGGGCTCTGCCTTTCTTCTTCAATAAGATCTCAATATCGCTCATCGTCCTGATGTGCATCTTTTGTTGTTAAACTCCAAGGGCGAGTGGTTTGCGAGCCTGTCTTGGCGATCTATGCGCTGCACGAGCACATGAGCGAGGTGGATGCATGAAGAGACATGGCTCAGGTCAATACGTGTTAATATGTGGCAATCCTGTCTGCGAGAATGGCAACGTCAGACGATATTCTGTTTTTTATGCATTTTGTTTGATGGGCTGATTCCTGCCAGGCATTCTTGGTGCCCTGTCATGTCTCCTTCGGACTGTATTTCTCAATGGCTCTCTCATTTCCTTCTTCACTTCTACTGCCGCACCTTTGGAGGTGGTGCAACTGGGTTGAGCCCAGGAAGCTCCTCTGCGTTGCCGGCCCCTGATACTCCATGTAATACAGACTCTTGTTTACGAGGTAGATGTCCCATTTCGCCCCTAAATACACGAGTCCTTTGACAGACCATGGCAATTGCGAGCTTTGCCGTGGAGAAATGCCAACAAGGAAGGGCTCAGGAAGCTAAGATGCCTCATTGTGTCTACGGGCACTGGTGATTGGCGCCCTCGTCCATCCGTAGCCTGTTTGGTGGCTCATGTATAAGGGGTTTATGTCAGGTGATCAGTGGCCAAACTGGGACAGAGCGACATATCTGCGACTGTTCCTGGACATTGGGGGGTTCAGGGGCTGTCGGACATGGCGGTGATCCTCGAGAGAAGAGGGTGGCCCGCGGTGAGTGTGGCCAGCATGGGAGCCAAGTTAATTATAGGCTGGGCGGCTAGCTGTGTGTCCTCTGGCAGCGAGAGTGGCCGTTTCCTCTGTTACTGTCTGGCTTCCTATACGCTGGAAGCAAACTGCATGGTGGGCGGTTGTGGTGAACTGCGGAGAGATCACCGTCGGTTTTGGGCAGAAGGGGGGGCCATGTTTCACTTGGGCTATTTCGTTGCTCTCTTTGGGGTGAGGTTGAACAAGCTCGGTCAAAGGAGGTTAGCCAAAGTCAAACCTGAAGCCAGGGGAACGGCCCGCAACTGGACACCCATACAATAGGGAGGGGAAGATGGCGTGGACCCACAACCGAGAACAATGCACGCACCAGGAACCGTCGTCGGTGGCCGCTGATGACTAAGGTGAGTTGCCTGGACGACCAGCCACCACCGACGTAATCTATTTACTTCCAAGGAATCGATCCTGCCATGGCGCATGTGCAGCAGCAGCAGCAGCATTGATTGATGCGTCGCCCGTCCAACCTCTGTCCATCCCCCCAGCCACGCACTACGCTTGTGCCACCTCGCTCCCGGCCAAGGCACAAAGTGTGATCCGCACAGCAACGACCAGGCAGCCATCTCTAAGCCTCGCTGCGTCCTTGCACCTGCCTACTGTACGTGCTGTCCTCTCCCAACACGTCCCTCGCACTCCATTCCAGCAACCCCACGACCTCTGAGACCTCCACCACAAACCGCAACGATCTATTGACGGCACATAGCAGCAGGGCGAAGGACTCTGTGCAATTTCTCTGCGTCGTCCGCTTTATTCCATCCATTTCTCCTAGCTGGCTTAGCGGGATTGCCTGGGCGATTCCAGCAAGGTCTCAGACTGCCACACACAATTCCGCCCACCGCTTCCACGGCCTCCGCCACACATTCCAGCAGCATCGCGGAACTACGACAATCACACTCGGCGTAGCCGGCTCGGTTGACTTCCCCGAGATGGCTCCTGCAGTGCCAACATGGGCCACTCAGGCTCGCGAGCTTCTCACCTCGGCAGTCCGCACCGCTCGCAGCACAGAGCCCAGTACCAACGATGTCGTGGCCCGACTAGGTCCCTTGGCCGCCCGCTCGGTGCTGCTGGCGCGCGACGGTGATAAGCCGCCACAGCCCGACCCGCACAAGGGCGCCGTCAACTTCAAAGACATCAACAACGCCGGCATGTTTGTGCTCTTTGCCCTGATTGGCGTTGGCTTCGTCATCACCATCATCTGGTTCTTCTTCTGGGCCAAGAACGGCGGGTTCTACTTCAAGGAGAACGACTGGGAGGACTACAAGTCGACCGTGCTCCGCCGCAAGGGCCCCAACGGCACCATCCTCTCCGGCGCGACACCCAGCACCCAGCTCGGCGGCGGCAGCGTGTACAAGGATTACGACGATGTCAGCACCGAGTACACAGGTGGGCTGACGCAGATGACCGGGGACTCGGCGGAGACGGGCAGCACCCTAACTGGAATCACCGGCGGCGTGTCAGACTTTGTCGGCCGGGAGAAGCGCCGGGAGAAGCGCGAGAGGAAGGAGCGCGAGCGGGAGAAGAAGAAGGACCGCAAGAATCGCGAACGCTCTGCTAAGCGCCGCGGCGGCGAGGACGGCGTGCTCGTCGACGAGATGGCTGAAGCGACTGCCCAGGATCACCTCCGTGCCTATCGTCACGAGAAGCCCGCCCGCGTCGGAGGCATCAACAAGGCAAGCGAGGGCAGCGAGTGGGACGGCTCGACACACCCGGACAACTCGACTTCCGCCAGCAGCGACCTTCTCAGCCACCGTGACGATGCTTCCAGTGTACCCCCGTCCAGACCGAGCCGCGCCGAGAGACAAGAGGCACGCAAGAACGGCGGCATCCGCAAGGTTTACAGCACTGCTGACCGTACAGCAGACAGGGAGCAGGAACGCATGCGTGCGGAGGCCAAGCGTCAAGCCAACAGAGACCGGTCTGCCGGCGGTTCCAGCAAGCCCAAGCGCGACTTCAGCTTCCAGCGGGCCGAGACTCGACCTACCCTTGGCAACCGCGGACCCAGCACGATCGAGGAGGAGGCAGACATTGGCATGCAGGGCCGGTACCTGCCTGTCGGTAGCTACGCACCTGAGAGCGATCTCGGTGTCGAGAGCGACCTTGGCACCAAGTCCTACCACCACGTCATCCCTGGCCTGTCCTCTAGCGCCGGCGGTAGCCAGGGCGGCAGCCAAGTGGGCAGCCAGGTCGGCAGCGACCTGTCGTACCAGGAGGAGAAGCGTAAAAAGCGCAGCCAGGGCCGCCACCGTCAGCGCGAGTAAGACGTGATGATACAGCCTTGGTCCTTGCTTGATTGCGGTGTTTTCCTGCTTTCCTTCGCCCATTGAGTTTGTTCATGTTGGCCAGCATCGCGTAATTGAGATTTTCTGTGTATTTTCTGGGCGGCATGCACATCAAAGCACCACGACAACAAATGACGACGCAACGGTATTTTGGCACTCGTGTCATTGAAGCATTTGTCCGCGGGAAGAAATGGGAGAATGGTTCTTAAAGTACGTCTCCGTCGTGCATTCACGTTGCGAAGGTTGGCGTTTTTGTTTTTTTGTCATGTCTGGCATTTTGCGCTGACCAAGTTGTCTAATGAGTTTACGGCTGGGTTCTTCTGTTTCGCTATGCTTGATGGAGCTTCTCAGACAGAATGGTGGATCAGTCCGGGAAGATCAAGTAGGTTTCTGGACATTTGTCGCGGCTAGGCGGGGACAATCATGTAGATTAGATTCACGACAATGACAATACAAAATGAATATACACTGAAGCAGGACGGCTATATTGGGAATGTGACCTGGGCGCGATTGAAAAATAATGATCGAGTGACAAGGGCCATTGTACCAGGGGAAAACGGCAGGGAAACCCGGCAGCCATGCCGCCTTCAACCTGTTACGTCCCGCACCCCCAGCAATAGTCGTGTTCGCCGTCAAACATTTCACGCGTAGGTAGGTCGGACACAGGGCCTGCAGGGCATATTCTACGCAAAAGGGTGGCCGATAGGGACAGTTTATATCCTCCAAGCTTGTAAACATATGATTTATATTGAAAGAGCGTGGCAGCTATCATGTCTTGCTCTCCCGAGTGCGGAATGCAGCAGGTAAGCTGAAGATGCGGACCTCATGAGTAGTATGAAAAAGAGAAACCAGCAAGAAATCGAAATTCGAGACACAATCAGGCGAAGAAGATGCCGGACAATCTTGTGAACGGGCAAGACTCGATCGGGCTTGCTTTCAAATATGAGCGCGCGCGAGACAGAAGCCGTGATTACGAGAAGACGTCAATCGTAGAAAGCAAAAGCACAAAAAGCCAGGGAAAAGTAAGTGCTTGGTTGTAAACAATATATAGAAACGATTGCGTGGATTTGACCATGATGAAATTCGGTGCTTGTTGCCGAGACTTGTGTGGTCGTTAAAGGTCATCGCCGGAAACTTGAGATACAAGAGGGATTATTCATAGCTCGTGATTGCATCTATCATGCGAGACAAAGCGAAAAAAGAGTGATGGGCTTTGATATCCGAACAACGTCGAAAAAAAGAGCTTATGCACCTGCAATGCATGCAAAAGCGACAACTTCCACGGAAATTGAGCAATTGAGCAACAGAGTTTCTCCTCTTGAATTGCATCTTGCAACGTAAAACCATGAGTTTGGTGTTTGGGGAGATACTCCGTCCTTGGGGTGATGGAAAAGAAGCTGTGATCTCAAGTTCCATTTGCTCAGCACGCGGCACAGGACCTGCACTGGTGCAAAAGCTAGATGGATGTGTGCGATAGGATTTATGGTTTTTGAGACTGCCGTGACGACAGTAGGCGACGCTTCCCGAAGACAGTGGTCGAATACGTCCAGAGGTCGCCAGGAGGAGGACGGATACATGACCCGGCCTCCCCTTCAACATAATAATGATTGTTGTTGTCAGCTACGCCTTCTGGCAGGGCGATGATAGCATGAACGTTGAGTCAAATGTCGCATGCCCACAGGCATTTCAGCGTTTCCGATCTTTGCCCTTGCCCTTGCCCTTCCCTCCGCTGCCGTGGTGGTGCCGAGCTGGCACATCCTGCCTGCCAAAGACCGTGTTGATGCATTGACGCAGATATTGGTGGTAGTCCGGAGCGACAAGTCCTATGAATGACACAGGAACGTTGTGATTTATGGTGTGGAGTTTGGCCATGTTGATCCGAGATTTGGGGTCAATCGTTTCATACGAGACCTGTTCGGAGATCGTGATTGGTATAGGAGCGAATCCAAGTTGAGGCTCGCCTTCTAATGGTGGTGGCAGCTCATATCTCTCATCAAATGCTTGGGCGTGATGTTCTGGGTGAACGCCATTTTTGAGACAGCCTTGGAGGCCATACGTATAAATACCCCTAAAACATGGTCAAAACCTGCTTCACGACAAAGGAGTCCATGCTCCTTCCCCAATATGGATCGATATTGCTTACACACAAAGACTATGACCCCTGAGTTCTTTGACCACTATGAAGCGACGGATGCCCGAGAAGTAAGGGTCTTGCCCGCCGTCGGTCAATGTCTCGTTGGGTCTCTGAATGCCACCTCGAGGCTCAAACCAGTTGACTTTGAAGACCTGAACTCGTGTCAATCAATGAGGACATGATGAGGACGCCAGAAGAGATACTCACGGATCCGAGCTGGAAGTTAGATGAGCGGACTATCTTATATTCTATCCATACGGTGAAATTTAGCACAAGATAGCATGGGAATTGATACGTATCATGCCGTACCTGATGCGGGGGGCCGACTTTGCTTGCCCTTGTGGGACGAGTCAAACGCAGGCGCATGGTGGCTACGTTTTCCGTGATGTTTGTTACGAGTGTGCTGCTGAGCATGATGCTGATGAGAGTGTTGTGGCTGATTGAGTTCGAGCGGAACAAATTCCGTAGTCCCTTCTGTGTCGTTCTTGCATCAGCGTCGATGTTACGAGGAAAAGTACAAGCAGACTCACCGTCGAAATAAAGTGGCGCTGCAGAGGTTGATGCTCCATCAGTATTCGGTGAACTGTAATGATCTGCCCTGCTATTTCTCATTGCAGTCTCGAGGTCTGCTTGATAGACATCATCCTGTGTCTCTTCGTAATTCTCGGGTTGAATGGAAGAGTACGCTTCCGGCAGGTCAGCTGGATGGACTATCCCGCGAACAGTCAGGAGAGTGGCATTCCAAGAAACATACGAAAATGAACCTGAGGTTCATGGTCCGAGTCCTCCCCAGCAACATTCAATACGCCGTCTCCCCTGCCCAAGGTGTATTCTGGGTCGATCTCTGAGACAGCAGGCGTTAGTACGTAATGGCCTCAACGAGTTGAAACTTGACAGAATTACCTTCGTTGTAGTCACCACGTATAGGCAGCTGAAACGTCGGATCCATCGGCGCGGGGTCATCCGTCACAGAGAGGTTTTCGAGGCCCAGATTCAGATCATCTTGATGATTCCGAGGCGTGCGTGAATCATCCCCGGGGTAGTAGCGGACGCCATCTGCAAAATGGTCAGCGGCGAGGCTATTCACCTAGTTTGCCGCTCGAACTCACCATTGTCATGGAGCGGCAGGCCATGCTGATTTAGTGTCGAATAGCTCGCGGCTGCATATATCTCTTGCTGTTCATCCAACGAAGCGTGTTGATGTTCATGTGCATGCCCATCGCTGTACCCGTAGTTTTCGGTGTCATTGCGCTCATGCCGACCCCGTCCCGAGGATCGTTGCTTTTCACTACTGCGCATTATGTCATTGCGTGGCTAACAGCCGGGATCTGGATACGAGCTACCATGAAACCGGCAGATGGTACCCCCCTTCTGTGAGCTGCCGAAATCACTACTAGTGCGCGCTTAGGAGTAGAAAATCATTCAGATGCCTGGTGGCGCCAAACCAGTCTAAACGACGCCCTTCCAACGCGACGCGGCCTGAAGGGTTCCCGAGGTTGGTCGTGAGTCCCTTCAGAGACCGAGCAACATGCTGGCAATAAGTCCTACGCTTCTGGTCCCGTTTTACTGGTGGCGAAGGAGTTTTGGGAAAGGCGACAAAGACGTGATTTAGTGCTGGGCATCGGCTGAGTTCGGACGGTTCCGATGTGATCGTGATCGTTCAAACTCGTATGCCACAGGGCGGGAACAGGTGCAGCTCCTCAGATGAAGTTCAGCCGGTGAACACCACAATGATCTGGTCCGCAGGACGTAAAAGCTCGATAGCACCGTGCTGGAATACAATAGGCGGGAAGGCGCAGTGTGTGGACGTGCCATGAGAATCTCTGTCATGCACCAGGCACGTACTCGGGGCAGAGGCCGCAGAAGTATCCTGGGGCGGAATCAGGAGCCTCGGGCCAAGGACCGGATGAGCGTACACAGCGGCAGACAAGACGTGCTGTGCCGCCGAGGACAGAGGCTGGATGGCTAGGCGGAGATGGGCACCGACGCGATCTTGTAAGTAGTGACGGGAGACAAGGCGGACCGAGACTGCATGAAACGCCAGACGGGAGATACAGGAAGCGATGCCGGCAATGGCCATCCATCAGCTGCCAGTTGCCGCCGTGGCAATCGCCGGGGACGGGGTACGGTAGCCATGGGTGGTGAGGCTGCTCAATGGGGGACTCAATGAGTGTGTAGATCCGAGGCCTGTGCCCTGTGAAATGGGCCGTAGAGTGTCCGCAATCTAGAGCAGCAGCTGCACCACACCAAGGCCAACGAGGTACTGGCGGACAGCCACACGTTGTTCATGCCGGCCCGAGGCCATGTACTGGGGGTGTCGCAAATCCGAAGGAGCTCTGGCATGGCGTGGTATGCAGCCCAAGACCAACAACCCTTGGGAAGGAAGCGCAGGGAGGGGAGTGGAGGCCCCCCACGGTGGTGGTGGTGGGTAGTGGTTTGGTCAATTAGTGGTGGTGTGCAGTGAGCAGGGCCTCATGCCAACCTTGGAAGGCCTGACCGGTTGGGCAGCGCACCCGCCATTCCTCACCGGTGATGGCATTTTGCGACGTGGGCAGCATCACGGTTACTCTATCCGTCCAGCATCCCTGGGCCACTGGCCCAGGTGAACAAGTCTAAATGGGGTGGCACTCCAAGCACAAGACGGCACGGCACGCTCTACTCTAGTCCCCCGGCTGATTGCCGGGTCCTGCCTGACCTTGCTTCGAGCGGAAGCCACGGCTTGCGTTGGTGTTGAGACGCCAATTGTCCAGATCGTGCTCGCGTCCGACACCAATTCCTGCCCACGTCCAAGACATATACACACAACACGCGCATCTCTGGCTGGACCCCGACTCAAGAAGACCTGCGAGTTTCTGGCCCTCGGCTTCAACTTTACCACAGCCTCTCCCAGCCGCGCCTGTGCTCCTTCAGAGATTGAGTCCCCTCTGGCCGTCAGCCATGCAATCAATCCAAGATGGCGTTCGTCGACCATGGCCTCCGTGACCATGTCGACATCACCCGGTTCAGGAGCCGATTAGCTTCTTTAGACTCGGCATCTGACGCGGAATCCGATCACCATAGGCACCACAGGCACCCCGACGACCATCGCACTGGCATCCTTCCAATGCTTCCTGCTGCTGGTGCCAATTTTGACGAGGCTGGCGAGATCTTCCCCCGCACAGTCGCGTCCTCAATGGCATCTCTGAGGTCACTCTACGGCCCTGCCACACGTCACACACGACATTTCTCGCCACTCTCGCGTAGACGTCAGTCGTTTCCCGAGCCTCCCAATCTCCGGACGCGGCCCAGCAGCAACACGAAGATGACTCGGCAGATGCACTCAAGGGCACGACTGGACTTCGAGTCAGGCCAAGCTCGCCAGCCATCGTCTTTTGTCCGTGTCACCAACCATAGCCGTTCTCGTCTTGTAACGCCTGCAGACTCGAGCTTGGGTAGTGAAATGGACAGTCGTACATCCGGCGCCACGTACGAAGACCAAAGCTTGAGCGATAGGACAGATTCTTATGATGGTGAGCGCGAACCCAGGAGTGTCGTCCATTCGGCCCAGGACGATCCTGTGTTAAAGCAGTTGTACAAATCTGCTGCCAAGCTGCGATACAGAAGAACCAATCTGTCAGAGCTGATCGAAAGTCTGCGGACTGCTCGATACAATGCCGATGCGCGGCGTAGGGAGCGCAACAAGGCTGAGTTGGCTTTTTTGGAAGCGGCCAGAGCGCAGATGACGGACAGCCCGCATCTTATTGAGCTTCTAGACGATATGCACAGAGCTTGCAACGAGCAGGAAGAAGTGGATCAACGCTTTCGTGAAATGATTGATTATCTTCACGAGGCTGAACTCGCACTGGACAAGCAGGAGCGCGTCTTCTTCAGCACCGCAGCGAGATCCAATACTGCCTACGCCGAATCTGCATCGGACGAAGGGACGGCGGAATCCAGCTCGGTGGACGGTGTAATCATTACCAGGCCGCACGCCGACCTGCCGTATGAATTACTTGGCATAACCGGTCTCCGCCCACCAAACATACACCCTGTCCTGAGCAAGCTACAGGCTTTGATTCGACAGCTCAAGTTAATAGATGAGCTTCTCATCAATTTGAGAGGCAGGAAGCAGTCGCTCGACAAGCTCCGCGATGACCTAACCAGTCTTAATGTCTCCGGGCTCCGGCGGGCGGCACACGACGCTGCTCAGGCCAACCAGCTTGACACAAAGGCCGTACACGCACTAGATACGAAATTCTCGCACGCCATCAACCGTGATGACGCAGACTTTCTTCGATCATATCCATCTGATCTCAAAGAGGCCATCAGGGAGCGAGATCAGACCTTGCAAAGGGTTGCTTATTTCGAAAGCGAGTGTCGGCGTCTGGGGCTAATATCTTCCGTTGACCACTTGCCTCGAGCTTGGAGTGCTTTGTGGGAGGAGAGTCCAGAGGAAATTCAGCTTGCGGATGTGACACGAACGGCGCCACGAAGATCCGTCTTCCCGCTCCTCCTTTCAAGCCCCGGCGCCCTGCTTGAGAGTGAGCCGAAGATGCCGTATCAAGCTCTGACGAGTGCATTGGCGCTGCCGCACACCAATCCTTCCCGCCAGAAATTGATCAACCAGAGTCTACGAGAAGTCAACATTCACAATCTTTTGAAAGGTGACGCGCAGCGAGATCAAGATGGACGCGTTAGGCTACTGAGCGAAGATAACATGCAGGCTCTGGCCACTGTTCAGAAGTCATGGCACAAGGCGGAGTGGATCAACCGATGGCTGCTTCATAAGCTGCACATGTCCTCCATGGAAGCCGAGACATTCTACGCGACATCACGAATCTACACGGAGATTGTAGACCGTGGACAGTGGCAAAGGGACGCTCTTCGTTTCTGGACCCGGGACCAGGCTGCGAACCCTGAAAATGTGGCTACGGACCCAACGACAACTGGCAACAGTATTAAACAGCCCCTCCCAAGTACTTCTGATCTGTTTGTGGACAGGCGACGCTCCGACTCTGATATGCACCTGTACAAAGGGCATGCACTATTGAACCACCATGAGCCTATTCAACTTGAGATACTGTAGTTTTGTACCGCAAATTCTAATTTGCATCCATGGCTCGCACATCGTGTTCATCATGTGACTGCTGTGACCGAACTCAGCACGGCGAGATATACTGCATCGGCACTGGCAGTGGCTCTGGTTGAGCACCGAGTCTTCATAGCTGAACTGCACAGCTGGGTCACAAGAGTCTCAACACCAAACTGCCGGCATCACAACGAGCTGGGTGACATGGATCGGGGATCGAGGCTGCAGCCGATCAATCACAAACACAAACGTCAGGGGCTCTGCAGCAACAAACAATTGCGGCCAGCCTTGTGCACCGGATGCCCGACGCTGCTGGCGGGCCGACCCATGCGCACAACCATTCGGTCCCCGCCACGCCATCGCTTCCCTACACGCCGTGTTGACAGTCGCACAAATTGCATTTTTGCGCCGGCCTGGTGCCAGGCACCAACCGCACGAGTCAACACGAGCACGTGTTCTGACGATGATGCCCGGGAAAGATAAGGAGATGTCCTAGCCATTAACTCGCTGCCCGCCTTGAAACCTGGCTCGGAAAGGTGGGCGGCTGGTCCCATGCCTTCCAAGGTTGGTCTTGTTGATGCTCCTGATACCTGACTGGTACCTTTCATGTCGGCGCCTGGTACATGGCAGTCTGCCTTCAGGTACTTCTGTGGGGGCGGCGTGTGGAGACCATGCAGCACTGCATCTCCAGGTGTGACAGCAGCGTCATCTGACCTCGAATGTCCGCATAGTGGTGTGGCACACTTGGCAAGTTGATTGCGGGCTGCTCCGGAGCCAATGCTAGGCCGCACGCTCCATCGCTGATGACACCTCACAGCTACAGTAGTACCACGTTTCGACCAGCTCCGTCCACACATAACCACCTTCTCAAAGCGGCAAATGGTCAATGTTCGCTTTTCGCCTCTGCTGAGGGGGAGAGAAAGCTCTGGCGGCGGAATGAACCGGCCAACGCCGCTTCCAACTGATGGCGAGTTCAGACTGGTCGATTAATAACTATTGGGAATCCAAGGGCATTAAATTGCCTTTTTGGCGAGTCAAGATGTCGAAAGCACCTGAAAGGCAAACGTGTCCCAGCCTTGGGCAGCGAAGCTGCATGGCGCTCTTCGAACCTTACAAACCTTTTGTAAACCTACTTGAGTAACCGCTTGTTGTCTCGTGTGGTCATATTCAGCTGAACACTGGTGTGACTCTTACCGCCATCAGGCACTTGTGACACGCCTTGACGTGTCGTACGCCCCTTATCTGCCAATCATCATATCCATCATCGTCCCACGGCTTTCAAGCTGTGCTTCCTATGGGGTGTGGTGATCAGCAATCCGGACAATTCGCATGTTCTCTAAACGCTCAACACCACCACCACTACCCGCGCATTCTCCAGCCTGCTTTGTTCGTTACAATCCTTCCTGTTGCGGGCGTGTTAAGCATATCTCTACCTCCGCACAGCCTTCTTCACAGTTACTGTTCCGAATTGCTGGCGAAGCTTGACCTTTTCTTACCACGAGAATTGTTCGAGGAGACATTGTCGCCGAAGCCGGGAGGCCATCTCAAATAAGGACAGGGGAGATGGCAACAGCCTACTAGTGACGATTTTCTTTTTTCTTTTCTTCCCTGTCTTTGTATTCTTATCAGTACCTAGCCCCGCCATGCAGCTTGTTAAGACGAGTTTGCGATAGTACTGAACGAAAGTCACAACGTGTTCCATTAGCTCCTTACGGAATACCGCGGGGCGTCCCTCATTTGTGTGAGCTATCGCCAGAACGTGGCTTTTTTTCAGCTGTGAGAGTGATGATGGGACCATGAGCCACTCTTGAGTATGGAACGACTTCATGATCGTGGGCCAATAGACCGGGGGATTAACTCGCAAGTTCATTAAGACACGCGGTTGCATTAGGGGCTCATGTGACTTCGCGTTGGTTGGACGTTAAAAGGAGATTGGGCAAGTATATGCTGTGTAACCTTGAAAAGCAGCCACGGCAGCCCCAGCACCAACAGCAGCAGCAGCCTCAGAAAGCAGACCGCAATGCGCGAGCCCAGCAAGTCAGCACGTGAGATGGGCCCCCCCGGGCGGCGCACGGCGCGTCCGAAGCAACCAGCGATGGACAACTCCGCGCGCATTCGCAATCCATGAGGCTGTGTGTGTGAATGGCCCCCTAGCCTAATAATGGTCAAGTAACTTCTGATAGGACGGGCAAGAGGCATGCCTGCCTGCCTGACTGCCTGACTGCCTGCCTGACTGCCTGCCTGACTGACAGCAATCCAAAGAGTGAGGCTGTTGGGCTTTTGTCGTGGGCCACGTCTGGCTGACGTCTGCCTGGAGGGGGTTCGTGGTCATTGATTAGAGGGGAAAGTCTGTCTATTTTATCTTTTATGGCGCTCCGGCCAGAGGCGTGTGTGTATGTGTGTGTATGGTGGGGCTCCCACCTTGACGATATGCATGTGTGCCTGGAAAGACACGTCCATGTCGTAGTTGTCTAGAACCGAGGAACTGTGGTTTCACGCATAGGGATGGCTCTGTCAAAGAAAGGACGCCGTGATGTCGTGTTGGGTCATTCGGAGAGAGCTAACAATGAATTACGACGCGGTGATAAGGACAGATCGCAGTCTGAAAGTCTTTTCCCCCTTTCGTGTTTTGACTTTGGTCTTTTCATATTCCCGTTTCATTTGAGCGGCTTGTTCTCTTGGCCCGAACTAGGGAATTGCGATGTAGTCTTTGATGATGATCTGAACTGAGGGAAGGGTCTTGTGTACTCGTCTATGGAGCGATTCCGAGTCCGCCGTATCATCTCAATCTGAAGCAGATCACAGCCATTTCCCTTGCGAGCCGGAAGGACGGCTTAGACTTCTGCCCAAGCCTATCAGCCTGGAATTTGCGGCTCTATTCCTGGGAGTAGAATCAAAATCGCCATTGTTTTGGGCAAGTTCGCGAGTTTCACCGTGTGATCGGTTCCAGATAATCAAACGACTATATCTCTCTGCAAGCCAAGAAGGCCAACTTCAACTTGAGAAGAGGGAAGCCTTTTTTCTATCTCCTTTGGATCAGACACGAGTTGAGAAGCAATGTTTACCAAAAACATACCACCACGTTGCGTAACAAAATGGGGTGTCGAGAGCCAAGCGCAAGCAACCACATACAGCAGGAGCAAGTTTGTCATCCCGTGCAGAAGAGGGACGAAATAAATGTCAGGTGTGATCGATAGTCCCAGCACCGACCAACTGGTAGCATTGCTGATGATTGCCGTGACCTCAATCACGAGGAGGAGGCGGGGAGAATGGGAGGAACGCTGGGAGAAAGCAAGACAGCCACGATATCACACACTACCAGCAAAACGCCGACCAATGCCCTTCCAGCTTCATGTTAGGGGATTTCCTGTTCCGGAGGTGGATGGGTCTGCGCTCCTTGCGATCCACTCTTGCTAGACCAAAGATAGCTGGGAGTTCAAAGTGGAGCTTATCGAGGACGGTCGGATGGACGAGGGTCAGAGATCAGGAAAACTTGGCCATCAGGGCATCTCAGGAGGGAGCCAGATGAGGGCGGCTCACGGCATCAGTCCGCGCCGGACGAACTCATTCTAGCAATACCTCAAAAACAAGACAAGAGGTGCTTGAGCCATGCTTCGAGAGTCACCGCTATCTAAAGGTCGCGGTGCGACAGCCTTGGCATCACAGGGCTCGGTGGCAGTCATAATAATGACCGTTTGTACTTTTGAAACTCATTGAATAGACAAGGCCCGAGTCTACTATGCAATAACAACATGATGTGAGGACGATAAAAACATCAAGAGTAATAGAGCGAGTTTGGTAAATATCTGGAAACGACAAAATAAGCAGCAGCCAAGACCCCAGAACGCCGGTCGCCTTTTGCCTGATTTGGACACCTGTTTGTGGCTCTTCAGTGTGAATCAAAGCTTCGGGAGATGTAGTGTGTTGTGTGAATGCATGAGTCCCCTCAAGAGATAGTACAAAGCCGTAGCCTGGCTTCTTCCTTGTTCTCCTCGTTCTTACTTGGCCTCCTGGTACTGGCCAATGACGATGCAGTGGTCTCTCTCGTAAGGCTCTGTCGGAAGATGTTAGTAAACATGCGCATGAAAAATAATCCTGCTTGGGAGTTGTATGGAACGTACCAAGCGTCAGCTGCTCTTGCGGCTTGATGCGCTCTGCCCTCAGCTTCTGTACCTCCTGGGCGAAAACAGCCTCGGGGGCGGCTGTGCTGTCGATACAGTTGGCCTTGATGGAGATGACTACACCACCGCCAACCTTGAGGAACATGTGGGCGTTGAGGGCGACGATACGGGCCTGGTCAGGCTGGGCAACATCGGCGAAGACGCAGTCGACCATGGGGACGAGCATGCGGTAACGCAGGGGGTGACGGGCATCCTCGACAATGGGGATGACGTTGGTGCGGTTCTGGGCCATGTTGACGAGATCGCGACCGGATCGGTGGGAGAACTCGACGGCGTAGACGTTGCCGGTAGGACCGACAATGTCGGCAACGTGGGAGACGGAGGTTCCGGACGCAGCACCGAGGTAGAGGACCTTGGAGCCGGGGCCCATGTAGATGTTGTCGATACCACCGATGATACCAGCAGCCAGCTTGCTGCGGAAGGGGTTCCAGACTCTGTACTCGACCTTGGTCGTCACAGGCGCGCCATCCTCGCCCTTGGTGATGTTGTCAACCGACACGCGCTTCTCGCCGTAGACCTCGAGGCCGGGAGCCATGCTCTTGGTGAGCAGGTGGTCCTCCTTGCCTCGGGAGACGAAGACACCGTTGTGCCTGTGAGGCTCCTAAGACAGAGGAAAAACGCCATGTTAGCTTCTGTTATCGACTGCGCAGTCGATGGGCTTGCGACAACAAGCAGGAAGACAACTTACAACAACGACCTTGGCACCGCCGCGAGCGCCAGGCTTGCCGCCGCCACGAGGGCCACCACGGCCACCGCCGCGAGGACCGCCTCTGCCGCCGCGATCACCAAAGCCTCCGCGACCACCGCCACGACCACCGCCTCGGCCGCCGCGATCACCAAAGCCGCCGCGACCACCGCCGCGTCCACCACGGCCGCCACGGTCACCACCGAAGCCACCACGGCCGCCGCCGCCTCTGCCTCTGGGAGTGAAGCCCATTGTGTATATCGGTTTCGGGCGAGCTGCGATGGGAATGAATGCAATTGAGGCACAAAGCTTGCCGCCTGTGTGCGTTTGATGGTGTTGTGATGCAGTAGAAGGCTGGTTGAGCAGAGTGCGGATCTCGACTTGCAAGCAGCAAGGAAAATTTCAGTCCCAGTTGCTGGACGCCAATGGCCTCTGCTTGCCGGGTGGGTCCTGCAGCCCAGCCTTTGCCAAAAAATTTCTAGGATAGCTCTATCGCAAGCTCCGGGCATCGTATCGGGCGCCGTAGTGGGGCCCTGATTATGCTGCAGCATATCGATAAGAACCTTAAGCACGGGCGCTGTCTGGCAGGTGGCAGCCAGCCTGGCCAGATGGCAAATAGCACGAGTTTCTGCGAGGTGGATTCCGGATCAGCGCCAGCCAATCACGCCCTCCCGCCCCGTGAGCGAGAGGCATCACGGCAAAAGTAGAAGACATGCACTCGGCACCTCCTTGACAGGAGATGAGGTACTGCACCTGAGGAAAATGCTCATAGATATCAATGACAGGTAATACGAACCAGGCTTCACATGCCCTTGTTTGTCGTAGCTCTTCATGTTGATGATTCGTGTCGCTGTCCAGGCGCTGCTGGACACCGCTGCGCAGCTGCACCCAGAAAAGTCCACCCAGCCAGGCCAGCGGCCATAGGGTAAGCGAGCCCTACTTTGGAAGAAGTGCACGCAGGTCAAAATAGCCCCACTCCCCTTTCCCGGCCGCCCTTTCGCTGGACTCGGCTAGTGGGGACGAGCCTGCCACGAAAAAGTTCATGAATTTTCGACCTTGACGCCTTCAACCTCACGACACCACACCCAACGACCAGACACGGCAATCCATCTCCACACCAAACACAGCAAAGATGGTACGTTTGTTGCGACGAGACGCTCCTCACCACAATCGTCGTTCGGACGGCCGCCGGAAAATGGGACTTTTGCGAATCGAGTCGGACACGGATTATCAGAGTTGCGCCAGTGCCGCTGCAGGCGGCCAATTCAAAACGCCCATGTCTTGACGAGAGGAGCGCAAGCCCACAACCCGCGCTTCCGACGACGACTGTCCCCCCGCCAGCCCGATCACGACGCCCGCATACACAGCGCAGGAACTCCAGGCTAATAATGGACTTCGAATTTTGCAGGTTCGCTACGCCGCCACCGAGATCGAGTCGGGCAAGTCCGCCCGCGCCCGCGGCGCCTACCTCCGGGTTTCCTTCAAGAACACCCGCGAGACTGCCCAGGCCATCAACGGCTGGAAGCTGACCCGCGCCGTCACCTTCCTCGAGAACGTCTGCGAGAAGAAGGAGGCCGTCCCCTTCCGCCGGTACGCTGGCTCCATCGGCCGCACTGCCCAAGGTACGAACGACTTGTGCATTCTCCTTCAGGTGGACCCCGGGCTCGAGTTTTGCGGAGGGGGGGAAAGGAATTCGGCAATCAGAACCACATCGATTGGGGAATTGAGGATTGTCACCTTGGGACATTCCTGTTGCCTTTGTTGTATGCACAATTGCTGACTGTCCCTCTTTGCACCAACAGGCAAGGCTTTCGGTGTCACCAAGGCCCGCTGGCCCGTCAAGTCCGCCGAGCACCTCCTCGGCCTCCTCAAGAACGCCGAGTCCAACGCTGATGCCAAGGGTCTCGACACCTCCAACTTGATCGTCAAGCACATCCAGGTCAACCAGGCCCCCAAGCAGCGCAGACGGACTTACCGTGCCCACGGTCGTGTATGTTGAAACCCTGCCATCAAAACGCGGCTTGACCCTCCCAGGCTCGGCATGCAGACTTGACATCCGTGCAGCCACTAATGCGCGACACAGATCAACCCTTACATGTCCAACCCCTGCCACATCGAGCTCATCCTGACCGAGGGTGAGGAGGTTGTCCAGAAGTCCGAGGCTGTTGTTGGCCGTGACTCTGCCCACCTTTCTTCCAGACAACGCGGCTCTCGCCTCCGGAAGGCTATCACCTCGGCGTAAATGTAATACAAGCCGGGGCGGAGTTATTAGAGGAATGTGACGATGGGAATACGCGCAAAGACGGTCAGGGATAGCTGCTTTTCTACTCCAGGTGTCAAGGCGGTCGTTAAGCATTAGGGTCTCAAGGTTCTGGCATGCAAAAAACTCGCGAAATGGAACTTTTCGTGTGATTTTCCCACAAAATACAAAAACGGATTCATGAAAGACATCACTCAGACTCGGAGATCGGGGACCGGCCGGGCTTTTGCGTGAACTTCATACCATGGCGCGAGCCTCGTTTCTAGCTAGCTGTGTTGGCTAACCTTGACACAGTGCCCCATCATTTCGAGGTCTCTTGCAGAAAGAGGAAAACCGTGATTTGCTATCTGCGCAAGCGCGGCTGACGGCGCTATTACATGGTATAAACACTGGTATTACATGGTTGTGTGAATACTTGCAGGGGAGCTATTGAATAGGCTCGGAAATGGGAAAGGAAACTGTCAAGACGCTTTGCAGAAAAAAGCAAGGCCCACACGAACCACAGCAAGCACCCTCGTTGAGAGGCGTTTTAGTGTCGGAAACGCCACCCGCCAACCCACGAGAGCGTTGGAGATGAGAGTGAGATTGCTCGTATCAGGGCCAACAGGGCCCCTGTTCAGCCTGAAGCATCCCTGGCCACATTGTACCCCAGGCTCTCATCTCGCCTAAATGCAAGTGCAGCTCCGCACCCAGCGACGAGCGTTGTGCAGTTTCTCCTCTGGAGGCAGGTTGGGTTGCGTGCCCCTGGTCGCATGGCTCCCCTTTCCCCCGTTGGCTTCCCCAGATTTGTGAGGGCTGACGCGACCAGGACAAGACACCCAAGACTGGGGCAACATGGAGTGTACTCCACGACAGCACAACCACCTTGGCACAGCCATGTGTTGCACAACTGAGCACCTGCATCCGTACCCTGGTTTGCCCTCTCGTTCCGGCAACAGGGAAGGTCCTCCTGGCAAGTTCCGGGCTGGCAGATTGGTCTTCCATGCGAGCTGGACAAGGTTTACGAGGATGAAGAAGGCCTACTCCATACAGACCGACGATCTTGGTGATGTTGGCACCTTCGCCCTAGCTGTCCAGGGCCCCCTGGAGTCTTGGCGAGACCTAGCCAGACCAGACTGCGCCCTGAAATGTCTGTCTGTCTCTATTAGTTGTGCTGCTGACGGCCTTGGAGAGGAGGATGCCTGTAAGCGAACTGACTCGTGATGATGCTCGATATCTGCTGGTAAGGCCTGCCGTCGCTGCCTAGATGTCTGGCTTTGCAACCTTGGTCTCTCTTTCTTTCTTTCTTTCTGGACTAGACCGCTATCCTCGGGCAAGTTCTCTCCACAAACGGCGAAACAAGACGGTACCTTGCATATGCTTTCCCCCTTTGGAACAGGGTGACGAGTCAGTGAGTAAACGCCTATCTTGTTCACCTTTTACTCTACTCTCGATGGTCTATGCACCTTACAGGGCCAAGCAGGTGCGGGAGGAGGCACAAAGACAAAAGTCCGGATTGGCTGACAAGCAACAACATATTGATGCGGAAAACAGATAGCCTGTTTGCCTCGATATTTGTTGCTGTGGCTTTCCGCACGCCAACAATAGGCCTGCCGCCGTTTGTGCAGCCGGACCTGCCGCGAGACGGCGTGCGTGCCACTACATCCCCGGCAATATACAGGCTGCATCTTGTGATCACTCACATTGTGGCGTATAAACCCCCCCTTTAGAGCCCACTCTGCTCTCCATCCGTCTCATTGACCCTGATTTGGGTACTGGGCGATCACAACCCCACGGCCACTGATAATCTTCGACGCAAGAAGAACCTGCTCATCTTAACCAAGAGAAGACGTGCAGATGTGCTGTTGCTAGCCGCATAGACCTCGTCCGACCGCCTACTTGCGTTTCCGGAAAACACCGAACCTGCTGAAGCTAGGCCCGACTGCAAGCGACAGCGACAAGAGCCTGCGGGCTCACTCCATCCCCAACATGGCGGACGCCTCGCACGACCAGCTCGTAGACATCACAAGCCTGATTGAGAGAGTGGGCTCCATCTTCTCGCTCCTGGGGTCCTTCTTCATCATTGTCACCTTCTCCTGCTCGTCGGCGTTCCACCAGAAGCCCATCAACCGCCTGGTCTTCTATGCCTCCTTTGGAAATGTCCTGTGCAACGTGGGCACGCTCATGGCGGGGAGCTACACTAGATTTCCTGGTTCCGTTGGCTGCCAGCTACAAGGTGCATTGATACAGATGTAAGTGGAAACCACGAGGAAGCGTTCGCATCCAAAGACTTTCTAGGCGACCAAGACTAACACGCTCGAATTGCAGGTTTATGCCGGCCGACGCATACTGGACTCTAGCCATGGCGGTCAATGTGTGGTTGACTTTCTACCACAAAGTCGACGCCATAGGGCTCAGGAGGATGGAGAAGTGGTACCTCCTCTTGTGCTATGGATGTCCCTTGGTCCCGGCGGTGGTGTTTGTGTTCATCGAGAATCCGACCCAGGGCCGCGTGTACGGCGACGCGAAGCTGTGGTGCTGGATCTCTCCCAGCTGGAGTCCATTTCGCTTCGCTCTATTCTATGGTCCCGTGTGGTAGGTCCCTCAACCGCAAAGTTGGACAGGAGTGGCAGAGAAACCCACAAGCGCGTATGCTGACTGATTACCGATCTCCAGGATCGCTATTCTCATCACGTTCTTCATCTATGCCCGAGCAGGCAGAGACATCTATGCTAAGCGCAAGACGCTCCGCGACTTCAGCTCTGGTAGCGGCCACGAGCCAGACTTCCTCAGCATGACCGACCCGTTCTCGACCAAGACGACTGAAATCATCGTGACGAGCGAGCCAGCCACAGACCAGCACCAGTTCCAGCATGCCAACCATAATGCCATTCCAACATGGCGTCAGCGGCTCTCTCTTGTGGGCACGGCCCACACCACAGACGTTTCTTCCGGCCAAGGCCTCAGCCAGCCAGCCGCCACAGAACGCCCATCCACTTATTCGATTACCATCTCCGCCGACGCCGGCGCAAGCAGCAAGCCCGCAGCGCAGAGACTGGTCAGCACCGACACCGAGTCCCGGTACGGCCGCAAGGACCGCTCTAGATCAAGATCCCACAGCACAAGCTCCACGGCCCGCTCCTTCTCCTCGATCGAAGAACGACACACTGCTCCTCCTCCAACATCACCACCACCCTACCAGATCAGTCACCCCACCTCCTCCTCCATCCCGGGCACGCCGAGCCATCAGAGGCCCCAGACCGCGTCCGCCGCCCTGGCCAGCGCCTCGGCGCGGCAGCAGCGCAGCCGCACTGCGGCCGTCATGGCCGCCAACAACGCGGCCTGGTCCTACACCAAGTGCGCTATGCTCTTCTTCACCGCCATGATCATCACCTGGCTGCCCTCGACGACGAACCGGCTGTACAACCTGGCCAGCGGCGGCAACAGCAGCCCGGCGCTCGAGTACATGACGGCCATTGTGCTGCCGATCCAGGGCTTCTGGAACTGCGTCATCTACTGCGTGACCTCGCGCGAGGCGGTCCGGCTGTTCTTCCTCAGCGACGTCCCGCTCATGGGGAGGATGTTTAGCTGCTGTTGGGGAGGAGGACGGGGAGGTCCAGGTGCGAGTCGCGGCCGGTTTGGAGATGCCGGTGGCAGGTATCCCCGGTCGTCGCGACACGGAAGAGCCATGGACCTGGACCCCGGGCAGGCGAGGGAAGGAGACGATGGACAAGGTCTGCAACAACAACAACAGCAGCAACAACACCAACAGTGGGAGATGCTACCGTCGCCCGATCGGATACCGCAGAAGAACCAAAGCAAGACGGTGACGACGGGGCAGCGCAGTAGCAAGGCGCTGATGCTAAAGTCCTTGGTAAAGGGCCAGCCTGGGAGAGCTGAGGAACAGCGTGTAGTTAAAGGGAGTCTCGACAGCGATGCCACGAGGACTCGCAAGAACTCTGCTACTGATAGCACCACGGAGCTGCGCCCTTCACAGTAGGGACATGCTGGGGCCAAGTGGAGGACGCCTGTAATTAACGATGTACAACTGCGAACACGAATTTCTTGTCTTAGGAAGTTTTAAGGACCGTTCCCAGGCCAGATCATGTGCCAAGTGACTGGTTGATGTTTTTTCAACGCAGGTTACAGATGGTGTAATTGTTCAGCCTGCATTGTAATCTATGACATAATTACATTACAAAGATGGTAAAAAGAACTCTCATGGAACCCGCCGCCCAGGACCGGATTCTGGCCTGTCAGATCTAACGAAAATGCCTGCACCACGAGGGATTGAGCCTATGTCCACACCCGCCCCCGGATATTCTCTTACCACAATCCATCGAGCTTTACAGGCTCGAACTGCTCCGCTTATATGGAAACCGACATGACATCTCCGACCGCAGTGCTGTGAACCGAGACTGGATCCTGTTTGCGTGAACAGGACTTACGCCACGGCCTGTGGGGTTCTGGAGGCACGCTTGCTGCCTAGCCGTGCTCTGTGTCAACAGTCACTACATTGTTCTACAACTCAACGCGTCTCCTTGACCGCGATGATATGTGAGTACTCCCATCGAGTGCCGAACTCGACACACTCTTGCACAATCGCATGATCGTCCCACCACCATCTTTCGGCCTTGACGAATGGGCCCCAGACATCTTGCCACAGCATTCGTGCCGTCAGACACCGCAGCTCTTCCTTTACAGTCACGAGGTGGCCTTCCTCTTCGTGCCTGATGGACTGGGGCACGGCTGGAACACTGACTGTGGCAATAGAGCTTCCCTTACCTCTCAACCGTCCGACTGCCAGCCAGGCAGGGAAGGTGCCGCTTGGGTATGTCGTGCGAAAAACTTGCTCAAGGTTAATTAACAAATTGTCAAACAACCACTTTCGCAGCTTTGGTCCTGTCTTTGAGCTGATTGGCTGCGGATCGATCAGTGTCAGATGCAGAGAACCACCAGGAACGAGACATCGGTTGATGTGGCGGAGGAATGGTGGAATATCTGTTGAAGGAAACAGAGATGGCATAGAGAGACAGGTGACTGCCGCATAGAGTTGCGGAGCCAACGACCGCGAACTGGCCGATGCAGACACAGCTGGCACAAGCACTGGCTGGACGTTGGGGAAGAGTCTCGGTGAGATGGGTTTTGTCGACAAGTGGGCAACGGTCAGATCCGGGTGCGTCGCGGCTAGGTAGGAAGCGCAAGCTAATTCTGGTCAGCAACCCAGTACTTCCACGCAGCCCTAATAGGCAAACTGACCTGTGGACTCGTAAAGAGCCAAGATCTTGGGTCTCTTGCTCGTCTGACTCTTGCAGAGCATGCCGCCATGTCGGGCTACACTTGTGAAGCCTCCAAATTGGTACAATGAGGAGAACATCCAGCGCTTCTTGGTGGTCTCGAATTCTTTGTAGACTGCAGCTTCGGAAGAATCGCCCATATCGGCCTTGATGTTTGCTAGCACGAGTTCCGCACCCGCGGCCTGCATCATGCGGACCTCCCTTTGCAGAGCGTTGATGTCTGGAGCCATGATATGGTCAGATTCGGTACTGGTAGGCGTGCCAGGAAACTTGTCGATGTATGCAGCCTCCGCCTCCTTGGTTGGCGAACAACCCCAAGTGTTCGGTGGTTTCCAAGCCTCAAAGTCCACATTCTGTGGCGAGCTAATCGACTCTCCCTGGTGACACATTATGATTTTTGACCCTGACAGGCTCAGTGTCGGGGTCGCCGTAGGAACGGATGCATGTCCTTGAGCTTCGGTGTGGAATTCCTCAGAGACCAAAACCACACTGAAAGGCATGTCAGTGTGGTACAAACATGCCAGATGGTATCGTCGACTTACCTCTCTCCCGAACCTGTCGATGCCGAAAGCCGCGATGTTCTGTTCCCTTCTGCTGATATTTCAATTTCCGAGAGGAGTTCATCAATGCCAACATCCAGCGGTCTCTGAGAAAAGCTGATCTCTGTTTTCTTTGTTACGAAGGAATTGGGACCAAGTGACTGTATCAGATTCTCCGCGGTGACAAGCGATTCTTCTTTAACGAAGTCTGTGCTCGTGAGTATGGCCGTGTGGTCGATGCGATTGGTAGGAGGAGGCGAGCTCGGCGGTGTGCCTCTCTTATCAGACTCCGCATACGATGTGTGAGGCGAAACTATATGGCTGCCAGACCATGAGGTTGAGACAACTTCTGAGTGGTCAGGAGATTGAAGCATGACCTCCGAGTCAGTCTCGCTCTGCTTCACCATGACTTCAGATGTCTTGAGGTGAGATAGAAGAGATTTGACGTCATAAATCGAGCTGTGTTTGTCTTCAGCAAACTCGCATGAAGATTCTACCTGCAAGGCACTGCGTCGAGGTTTGTATGGAGCTGTAGACTTTCGAGCCCGGAAAGACGAGAAGAAGCTCATGCTGTGGCTGCGACTTTCACTGGAAGACGAGCTTGTGGTCGAGAACGATTGTCGTCCATTTTCTGAAGAGCTTTGCTTGTCCTTTCGTTTGACCTCGACCTCCTTCCGTGCCGCCTTCTCGCTTCGAAGCTCACGATTGGGATCCGCCCAGCAAACATCGAACATCTTGCTTCAAGGTCTCTTGTCGAGACTGCAGGTAGTGGTTGAAGAGACCCCGAAGGTCGGATCCACAGTGACTAAGTCGGTCAGACTGCAAAGGAGGTCCAGGCAGATGCCCGTGAACCCTATGCGGCCGTGTACAGCAGTAGAGGATAAGGTAAGAGTTCTTTGCCGGGATTCGAGGCTGAATAGTAGCTGATCGGTTGCTGAGGTGTTTGGCGCGATGCGATGCAGTATGACGGTCTTGAGGCTGCAAGCCTGCGTGGAGAGAAAGCAAGTACCACGTCGCTAAATGGAATTGGGCTTTTTTGTGGTTGGGTTCCGGCTCTGGGGGAAGAGAGGATACGCAGTTGCTTTGGAGTGTGTAAGGAACGGGCTGTGTTTGGTTTGTGCGTGTGGCTCAACCAAGGAGACAATGAGCTGGGGGCTCGCGCTCGCCAAAGGACCGAGGAACAAAGTCGAGTTCGAGGGGCAGCTGAATGTCCTGAGTTGATCGTGAGACAAACGTGATACTCGTGGCTGCTTCTTTGGGACTCTGAGCCAAGCGCAAGGAAGGCGCGAGGTGAAGAATGTGGGAGGCCAATCACAAATGCACCGTGGCCAGTGATCACACTCGGTGCCGGCCCTGCGAACAATGGTTCAGCTTGGCCATCTGCGACTCCAAAGACAACAATGGCGGCTTTGTGGGAGCGGAGCAAGCACCCACCATGATGTCAAATGTCCTTTGTTACTGACGTCTTTTGGCTGCCGTTGATCACAGTTGGTTGTAAGACGCCCTGTGCTTCCCCGATGAGGATCCGGCTTCGCCGTGCGTCCTCATTAGTCCAGAGTCGTCCACAACTCGATTCCATCCCTGAGTGGCACTATCGGCCCGGCTGATCCTCCCGTGGTCTCTGCATATCGTGCTACCGATGCCACGCCATCTGCGATCCCACCCCTCGACTCGAGCCGTTTGGACTTGCATCAGGCTCGGGGAAGATTGTCAATCGCCAGACTTCGAGTCGTGCCTCACGAGTCTTGTCATCTAATTCCCACCTTGTAGCTACAGAGTCTTGTGTGCTCCGTCTCTCCTGGATTAGCCATAGATATGCTAGACAAGCTCAACCTTGGCGCCTGGGTAGACTTCCTGACCATGCTTACACCGGTGGCTCAGGTGTCGCCAATGCTGGGAAGCTGTCACCCTGCGGAACAATGGCTTTCGATTATTTGGAAGGCTAACTCGGTAGCCACTGTTGGACGCCCCCCCAAGTCAGTACAGTAGCCTACAGCTGTTGAATCAGAGAATTCCAGTTTGAGATTGCTCAGTTATGGTTGCAGACATTCGGATTCTGTGTCTCCCCACTGTGCAGCGGAAGCACCCAGTCCCGCCACTGCCGGGGGACGGATCCGGTCACACAAGATATGGCAAGCTTGCTCAAAGCCTGAATCACAAGTTCCGCTTGCTGTGCATCGTGCGGCTGCCTCTGACCCTCGCGGTGATACCCGTAGTCCTTCCGGGACGTCAAGCGAGATTTGTACTTCTTGGACCCGTGCCTTGCGAACATGAGAAATGATAAGATGCCAAAGGTTTTCGACCACGAATAATTTCTCCGTCAATCTCCTCCAGGCCATCACCTTGGTACCGTTTCGGAGCCAATGGGCTCTACACTGCCTGAGGCGCATCACGGACGGCTAAAACTTCCTGGGCTCGCAACGTGACACAGGATGGCTTCAGTTGCAATTGCCTCGTGGCACAATGGTGGCGCTCCATGCCAGCGAATGACACCTTCGAAATCGTGCATTCGACTTCAGCTTCTGGCCGATGCCTGCCTAGCCAGCCCCATGAGAATCACTGCAGGGCTGAGAGGTAGGCAGCTGAACCACATAGCGTCTTGTTTCTGCCCGCCATCCTGGCCATGGCACAATCAAGTTGCGATGGCAGCGCTCACAGACTCCCCTGACTGCATTTCTAGCACGAGGACCAATCGCAACTAGCCTGAGGCCATGCACTTGCAGGATACAGTACTCAGGATCAATATATGTCTCGGATCGGAACCAGGGTTGCCCGCTTCGCTCACTCTCCTGGACTCTGAGCAGCATAGTCTCACATGATCACAAATGAGAGGAAGCCTGCAGAACAAAGTCCTATTGTTGCGAGGGAAGTTGCATGTCTCTATTTGCTTACTGCCAGACAGAAAGATGCATGCTAATGTTTTTACTTTACAGAGAGTAATATGGTGTAGGTGTGGTAGACGTATTGTGTCTGGTGGAACTGAATCGTCTTTTTTTGTGTGGAAACAACTTGGCTTTCAGGAGATGTATAGAACTAAGAATGTCTATCAAAAGCCCAGATGCCTGAAGTGCTGTCGTTTTGAGATAAATATCTTTAAAACTTTGGGGCCAGGCGAAACAGACGAGTGTCTAGGACCAACAGTGAGCATGGCTGATCGGGATGCCGCATCGGCTGTCGCGTACTTGCAGCATCTTTGCTAATCAAGGAGGCCACCCCTGTTTAGATTCGGGAGCCATTGGCAACCCAGAAGCAGTAGAGATACGGCATCGAGATACTTTGGCTGTAATGTATGGCAGGACCGTGCTTTTGACATGTGCGCTATAAATCGCGACGGTCCCATCCTGCTTATCTCCCCGTCACGAGCACATCACCCGTGGAGCAGTCGCGAACACACTATTTGGAGTACGACCTCGAGCGTCGTCAATACCATAACTGCATCTCCATCAAAGGACGCTCAGCACCTTGGCCAGGCATTCCGGGGCCCGAATCTATGTACACTATTTGCCGAAGCTTGACGGGAATGGCTCGCTTGCTGACGAGCATCTGGCACAGTTCCGGGGACGATTTCGACCAGAGCAGGTGTTGTGGTCAGCGACAAAGTCTCCTTCTTTTCTGACTACCCTCCAGAGCAAGCTGGTGATCGAGCCTGGTGTCTCGGCTCGTCTGTGTCTTGGTGTCTGCAAAGTGTGACAGCCTCTTTTCCTTGTAACCCGGGTGACAACCAATGACCCACGGCGCACGTCTGGCAGCCACCGGCCACCAAAGTCGCACCTTCCTGTGCCGCAGGACCCTCGACGCATTTGGAGTCTGGACGCACCAGTGACCGAGAAGAGAAGTCCTAGAGATCACCACTCCGGCGGACCTTCGATCTCGTCCTCGTTCGGCTAGTAGCCGCTCGCGAGTCCACCGACCTTCGGGCGCTGCCCAAGATCACCAGCTCAATCTCGTCACTTTGCCTCTGACGTAAAGATCCTTCCTCAATCCGAGGACCGAATAGGCTGACCACTACCGATTCCTCAACACAGGTCGCTCAGGTATCAACACCCCGCTGCGACGCCCTCAGACACACCAGACGCAGCCTTCTCCTGTATGCAACACTGACCCTGCTTGCGAGCCGGACCTTCCACGTCTGCCTTCCAAACGGGCAAATTCTTGCGCCTCTGCGTCCTACTTCTCGGTTCGTGCGGGGTGCCGACACTTTCAAACACATAGGCGGTTCCAAAGTCACCAGTGACGATGGTTCTTGGAGCAAGGGTCCGCTATGGGCTTCAAAGACTCGCAAGAGTTGGCGACTCTGTCGATCAGTCCACGTTCGGTCGGGTCTTTCGCCTTGACGGTTCAGGTCATGTGAGTGTTGTCGTCCGCTCCCCTGTTCGCATGATCCAACCAACAGCCTAAAACCTGTACACGCTCTCTGTGACTGACTCCGAAAATAGCCAAAAACAATACAAGGCGCCCATTTTGTCAGGGAGTTCAGAGCAGGTTTGACCACATTTGCCACCATGGCCTACATCATCGCAGTAAATGTAAGCCATCCCACCTCCGCGACTCCAGGTGACACTACAATAGTGCTAAGACCACCTGACGATAGTCGACCGTGCTTTCGGAGTCTGGGGGAACGTGCAAGTGCCCACCACATGTCACCACAAAGGGCTGTGTCGGCAATACGGAATACGAGGCGTGTCTCCTCAGTATGTGTTACCCTTAGCGATACCTATCAGGCTTCTCCGAATTGACATCGTAGGGGCAGCTCTGAAACATGACCTTATAACAGCAACTTGTGCAATCGCTGGGTTCTCAAGTATACTGTTTGGCTTCTTGACGAATCTGCCCGTTGCTCTGGGGTGAGTTCATGAATAAGTTGCCCTTGCTGGTATGCGTGTGGCTAATAAGAGGTAAGACCTGGAATGGGGCTCAACGCATACTTCACATACCAAGTCGTTGGCTGGCACGGCAGTGGCCCAATTCCATACAGAGTCGCCCTGACCGCTATCTTTGCTGAAGGATTCATATTCATGTTCTTGGCCTTGACTGGTATGCGCCAATGGCTCGTGCGGGCGATACCATCGACCATCAAGACAGCTTGTGGTGTAGGCATTGGGTTGTTCCTCACCGAGATTGGGCTCTCGTATTCCGCAGGCCTAGGTGTTATTACTGGAGGCTTCGCCACACCACTGACAATTGGAGGCTGCCCTGCCGAGTATCTTGACTCGAGAGGCGAGTGTTCCAGCCACATCATGACGAGTCCTTCCGTGAGTTTGTCACCGTTCCTTGAGAATTTGCAGTACTGATGATAGTGACTTCTCAGATGTGGATTGGCATCACACTTGGCGGATTGCTCATCGCTTTCTTGATGGCGTTCAAGGTCAAGAGTGCAATAGTGATTGGAATCAGCCTGGTGACTGTAATCTCATGGCCGTAAGAATCCTCTCACAGTCCTCTTGTACCAACCGAAGCCGCTAACCTTTGCCAAAGGCGCGATACATCATTCACATATTTTCCGTACACTGAAGCCGGAGACGCTCGTTACAGTTTCTTCAGTAGAGTCGTCGCTTTCCAGCCTATGGAAATGACGCTGGCACAGCAGGAATGGAGCCTGACTGGCTCGACGGCGGCCCAGTTCGCTCTCGCACTACTGACCTTCCTATATGTCGATGTCATCGACTGCACGGCAACGCTGTACTCAATGGCTAAATTTTGTGGCGTTGTGGATGAGTACGGCGACTTTCCTCGGTCGACTGTGGCGTACTGCACCGATGCACTATGCATCTCCATCGGTTCGTTGTTCGGATGCTCGCCAGTCACGGCATTTGTGGAAAGCGGTGCAGGAATCGCAGAGGGCGGAAGGACTGGACTCACTGCCATCTTTACTGGGCTCTGCTTCCTCGCCTCTCTTTTCTTCGCTCCGATACTCTCGTCGGTGCCACCTTGGGCCACCGGTGCTACGCTTGTCCTCGTAAGTTGTCACATGAAGTACCTGTACATCGGACTGCCAGCTAATTGTTCTGCTCTAGGTGGGCTGCCTGATGATACGCCAAGTGACTAACATTAACTGGCAATATATCGGTGATGCTGTGCCGTCATTTGTGACGTTGGCGTTCATGCCTTTCAGCTACAGTGTAGCCTACGGGCTCATTGCGTGAGTATAGCGCCACCCGACCGAGACCCCCAGTCACTAACCCAGCCGATAGAGGAATGATGATCTACGTCGCTCTGAACACGATGATCTGGCTGGTTGTGTACCTTTCAGGAGAGAGAATCACCCCAGCCAATTGGGAGAATCAAGAGGTGTACACGTGGGGCATGCGACCAGGAGACATCCCCGGCTGGTTCTTAGCACTTCGCCACAAATTGAGACGCCGGAGTGCTCTCGTGGCAGATTGCAAGGACGTCATTGAGCTGGCTGACACGGACAGCACTATCAATAATGGCTCGGCACCATTCGTGGCTCGCGAAAGCAAGGGCACCGATAGACATTCGCAGACACCAAGAATAGTCCCAACGGGATCGTCTGGAAGGTGATGTTCAATGCCGCACATCAATTTTCAACAAGAAACGTGCGAGGGCGACGAGAGTCTGGCTGTGCTTTCTCAAAGGCTGGGCGAGCAAGACGGCTTCTGGTAGCCCTGGACCAAACAGGGGTGAAATTATGAGAGAGACTGACCCGTGGTCAAGCAAGCGACTGGGGTTGCCATGGGGTGTTTTCCATTGGGTGCAGATGTGGTTGGAGGTGCAGTCCAAGGATGGCTCTTCTGTGCAGGCCGGGACTGCGGTGGAATGTAGTTGCAACAACAACCAATAGATCTGTACGAGCTTGGAGACTGAAATTTGCCTGATTGTTGCGCCGCCTTGTGGACTTCCAATCACCTTTCCTTACAAAACACCATGCGCTTTGCGAACGACCCCAGCCGATCGTGGATGCAGCAAAGTCGGGCCTGATCCGGAAAGGTCGTTCCTGGCTAATGCTGGTCGTTGTTATCTTATCGCATGGCGGGCCGGGACGGATGGAGCTTGACGTCGCCACGGCCTTGGCAAGCACGTACGCCGCCGTTGCCTCCATCGACAGAAGCCTACGCATCCGGAGGAAGTGAAGCTTACATTTACCATATTCCAAAGAGCTCCTCGATACTCGACAGGCGACCTGCAATCTGGATTGATTATAGCGCACTTACAACGACATAACGAACGACACGGCCAAGTTTCGCACCAGTATCGGCGTCCAAGCTAGGTGTAGCTCAAGGCGACAAGTCCGAGTTCGCTCTCGCCCTCCCCAACCGCACAGTCGACGATAGCGAGAACGCTGTGACACTCGGAGCCATGAGTGGCGGCTGGAATACTAGTGAGTGCATATCAGAACCAACCTACACCCTGCTCTCCATCCCACGGCGGCTTGGCTTATAACTGATATTTGTCGTCCGCAGTCGAGTCCGACGCTGTAAGCCCTCCTACCCCATCCACAGTCCGACTATTGCCTACTATGTATTCCAATGGCACGGCTGACAGCTTCATTCCTGACAACAGGGCGTATTCACATACCTGCTCGACAACCTCGGCGTCAGGGATGTCCAGTTTGAGGAGCTCTTGACCCTCGAGCCGGAGGCGCTCGCACAACTACACCCAGTCTACGGCGTCATCTTCCTCTTCAAATACCCGACCAACGGGCCCTACGCGTCCACAGACAAGCCGCTCGACGGGACATTCGACCACGACGCCGCGCAAGAGCTCTTCTTCGCGGCCCAGACGATCCAGAATGCCTGCGGCACCCAGGCCCTGCTGTCGGTGCTGCTCAACAAGGACAGGGCCGGCGAGGTCGACATTGGCCCTCACCTGCGCGACTTCAAGGAGTTCACCATGGTCCTGCCGCCCGAGTTCCGCGGCGAGGCGCTCAGCAACTCGGAGCTGATCCGCGACGTGCACAACAGCTTCGCCAAGTCGAGCCCGTTCGCCGACGAGACGCAGCGGCAGAGCAGCTCGGGCGAGGGCGAGGACGTGTTCCACTTCATCGCCTACACCCACGTCAACGGCACGCTGTACGAGCTCGACGGCCTGCAGCCCGCGCCCATCTCGCACGGGCCCGTGGCGGGCGACGAGGCGTTTCCCGGAAAGGTCATGGAGGTCCTGCAGCGCCGCATCGCGAGGTACGACATGTCCGAGATACGCTTCAACCTCATGGCCATGGTGCGCGACCTGCGCCTGCGCGCGCAGGAGTTTGGCGACGCCGAGATGCTCGCCCGCGAGGAGGCCAAGCGGCGCGACTGGCAGTTTGAGAATGCGCTGCGGCGGCACAACTTTGTCGGCTTCGCGGGCCAGGTGCTCAAGGGCGTGGTGGGGATGAAGCTCAAAGAGGGCAATGGGGCATACGAGAAGTGGATCGAGGAGGGCAAGACCCGGACAAGAGCGAGGCTCGAGCAGCGGAGGAAAGGTGGTGGAGGTGATGTTGACATGTCAGGATGAGACCGTGATTCAACAGCAAAGCTAAAGCACACGTCAACTCAGATGGGGGCCTATACCCAATGGCATCATGGTCACCCAGGTTTGGGTGGGAACCAAGAATTTCGTGCATTCGGCCTCCTGGCAGTAACACGAGTGATGGTGATAACACCAGTACCCAGCACAGTCAAATCCCAAGGCATGACAGGCTATATCCCTGACCGTCCTCGTCCTCCAAGGCTAAAATCAACCCACTCAACACGTATATACGGCTGCACTCTCTACCATCTGTATTACCCACTCGCTCTTCTAAATGGCCCATAAGTTGCTGTCACACACAAGCTGGTGTCAAGCAGTCTCCACCGTAGGCCCCTTCTCATCGATTTTCGATACCAAGTCGTGCTGCACTCTCAGGTTCTGCGCCGAACTCAGGCTGCGCGCAACGGCGGCTTCGTGCCGGGCCACGACAAGGCGCCGCAGCGCCTTTACGAGAAACCCCGCCACGATATCCACGCTCCAAGAATCCGGAATCAGCGCGAGCACGTCGCCGACATCAAAGAACCCCCCAAACTTGTCGAGCAGCAGCGAGGTCTGCTCTATGCGATTGCTCATGTCCTCGAGGGCAAGGAACTCCCCTAGGAGAGCCTGGAAGAGGTGACCCTGTTGGTCTGATGTTGGAGGTGCGCTATCGCGCCGGCGAGGAGCCTTCTTGTCCTTCTCTACGAGAGGCGATGACAGTGGCTGTTGCTCATCAAACGAGGCTATGGGGGCTTGGTAGATGCTGTAGATGCTGGCTCCGCCGCGCAGGCAATACGCTACAGCTGTGTCGTAGTCGCCCAGCTTATGTACAAGAAGCCGCAGTGCATCCTCGTGGTTGCGCTCCCGGCCATTGAGAATTATGGTTTCGGGCACGAGGAGATCCTCCCCAATCTCGCGCAATGCGGATATGCGGTCGTGAATCTTGGCCGAGTCATATGTGTATTGCCCACCCAGGAGCTGGAGCAGACGCAGGCGACTCTGCCACGCCTCGTCGTCCTTTGGGGCGTTATCAGTCAAGAATTGACGGTAGGTGGGTTTCGGGGGCTGCAATGCCCGGTATGAAGTGTAAGTTGAAAGAACGACTTCTCGGGCTTCCGCCGACGTTTCGAGGCGGCCAATGACGATGTCAACATAGTACTGAATGAGCTCGTTGACGTATATGGTGTGGCCTTTTCCAAAGACGAGAAACTCGAGGTAGTACTTGACGGCAGCAGGTGCCTCGGCTCTCAAGAGTCTGACAACCTCTGTAGGCTCAAACTCGAACTTTCGAGCGCGCCCCTGGTCCTCTACGAAGACTTGGACTCCGAGTCTGGGGTTGCGATTTGCAAGCCAGGTACCGTACTGTCGGACCAGTGCCTGGTTACTGATGCGCTGGAGATATTCGCGAACCCTTTGCTCGCCTTCGACAAGTTCGCCACCATCATCTGGCTCGCCCTCGATTATGCGTTTCCAGGTTTCCAAGACTTCGCCAGCCATCCTCCGGCTCTGATACAGCCTACTTAGCACAAAGAGGCGCCGATGATTCTCAATTAATGTCTCAGCCCGGTCAAAGCAGTCCACACCGCTGTCGACAAGCTCGTATAGCTCAGCCCGGAATGGGTGATCTTGGTCAGCAGCTGAACTCTTGTCAAGCTCGAGTAGCACTGCCAGCAATGCGGCATCTACCGTTCGGAATACCTCGCTCTCATCGGGAATGCTGCCAAAGCCTTTCTTGCGTCGCCAGGCCGTCAAGTAGCGACGCAGGAAATGGAGGATCTTTAGAGATAGCCCATCCAGAGAAGACCTCGTGCTGGCTTTGTCGAATCCGCTTTGCTTGATGAGTTCGTCGGCCGTGCTCTTCACTCCGCCGTAGATCCAGATTCCACGGCGCGTCTCGATGACTTCATTACGCACGCCTGGGATAAGCGAAAGGATCACGCGCGGATCCAGAAGTCCTTCGACAAGAACCTCTTCCATCAGACGCGCTTCAGAGTCCAGGAATGGGCTGTCTTTGACGTCTAGAAAGCTCTGGAGTAGCAAGATGCCAGCCCGCTGCCGCACGTAGCTGAATGTCAAGAACTCCAACTCTGAACGTGCATCGCGGTCTCGTAATGAGGCGAGGATCTCAAAGATTCCTTTTCTCTTTGCAGCTGCATCGTTTGTCGTGGCCGTGGCATCAGCAAGTCTCGCGTCAAGTTGCAAGATCAGCGGATTTCTGATCGCCCACCAGACATTCGCACCAGACCATACCGCCACACGAGTCGTGGTAGTGGCAAGCCGCCTTGCGAAATCTTCCTCTTCGGCAGTACGTGTTGCTTCCCACCCTTCGGACAGCGAGTCATCATCCTGGGAGTCGTTGTCACGTTCGAACAATTCCTTCTCTCTTGACACCATCTCCATAGAAGCAGCAGTCCGAGAGTCCAGGCTCTTCATGGAGGCAGCAGGGTGGTCCACGCCATTTAGCGAGAATGGCTTGAAACGTCGCCGACAGAGATTATCGATAATCTCCTGTATGAAGGTCTCGTTTAGCCCTAAGAGCGACCTGATGCCGAGATTCTGCGGCGAGCTGCCTGCAATGGGAGGCTCGAGCCAATGCCTGACAGGCTCACCATCGGCGTCAAATCGTTGGATCTCCAACCCGTAGTGAAGCCCATCGGCGAAGTCTCTGCCCATCGATGCCAGTACATAGCCATCTGCATCAGAGTCAATGGACATGCGTGAAGCGGCGAAATCCATATTTCCGCCATCGACTACAATCTCCTTCGGGTATCTATCGAACTCGATGGTAGGTCTTGTAGGATCTCCATCGAGGTTGACGAACATGCCGATACCTGGTTCCAGTGGGCCAGTACCGGTTACCAAGAGGAACTCTTCTGGTGTTGGCGACACTATGTGAGGCTTTAGAAAGACTGGGCCTGGCTTCGGTGGTACCGGAGGCGGCACGTCACTCTGCGCTGGTGTCACGGACACGGAAGGAGTATTTTCGGGCCCCGGAACTTCTTCTGGCGGCCGTGGACTAGAAGCAGGATCTGGCGGCGATGGCTGTTGGAATACCGGTTCCTCATCGTTTGCGCGAGGCTCTTGCCGGCGGGTACCGCTGATGAGGTTGCCAAGACTTGTGCCTCGTCGATGTGAAGATGCGTCTGGGCTTGTGTTCTGAGACCGGGCCTGGGTTGAGGAGTTACTACGCAACAGCCCACCCCCAGTACTTGATGATATATCCTGAGCTTGACCGACCACATCGCCTGGCCGGCCATCATCGAGTGAGGATATGGACATGAGCGGGATTTTGAGCTGCCGTTCGACCTCGACAAGGGCATAACTCCGGGAATCCGCCACGCAGGCGATCGAGTCTCGGCGAACGGAGAGCGTTGTGCCGGCAAAGTCGATTTTCTTGAGTACCCGCGCATCGTCGCCTATCCTGACGACCTGTATGCGCCTGGTCAAGGACAGCAAGATCGACACACCTTGCCCATCGCGCTCGTTGGGATCAAGAGCAAGTTGGTTGAGGTCTACGCCACCAATCCATCCGCAATTCTTGACCTGCGTTGTACCAAAGACGGGACTAAGCTCTGGTAGCGAGTAGAATGTCGCTGTCCAGTTGCAGAGGATGCACGCCTTGCCAACTCTCGGCAAGAGCAGGATTTGTTGCACGCCAGGCCTGGCAGTGCTACCGCCAGCCGGTTGTGCAAAGGCTGGCTCGAGTCGGGACGCTAGGATAAAGATTGGGGTGCCCGTCTTGTCACTCGGATCTGGAGGTATCTGAACGAAGTGGAGCAACTCAGAGTTGGAGGTGCCGACGTAGAGATTGTTGTCTGCAGAGACGAGCGGTTAGCGACGTTGTCAGCAACAGGCAACCAGGGCACGGCGGAAGGTACCGAGGTATTCGATGCAATTTATCTTGATGTCGTCTCTGGAGCCGTCGGCAGACAAGGGCACGTCGGCCAGGAGGTCACGAAGTATGAAAGGCCCAGCATTAGGCTGTTGCTGGGCCGGTCGGGGCGGCTCCATTGTGAAGCTCGAGGTCACGACTCTGTCGTCATTGCGGCGCGGATGCGATCACGAGATCCTGCTGGGGCGGAGTCGCCTGGTCTTGCCGTCGTCGAGGTGTTGCCGTGAACTGCGAGGTGGATCACGTGGGTGCGATTGGCGAGATGCTATGTGTCGAGGGGGACCGAGTCGGTTGTAGGCACGGATGAGGTTGCGATTGCGATGCGAAGTGGCCGGTAGCTCCTGGTGAGCTTGAGTCGCATGTGGAGGGCCTTTGGAGCTTTAGGCAGGGGTAACGGGCACTTGAGCGGACCAACACCTGCACGAGCTCAACCTTGGGGCACGTCAGCGCTGGCAGCAACGACGATCAGGACCCCTGCATGCGAGGGGCCATGGGTGCCAGGGGCAGGCAAGGTATCTCGCCCGCCATTCTGCGCTGGGAGGTACATAGACGGCGCTAGGTCGAGGTACCTCACCACAGGGCGAGTGTGCACCCATCTCACGCTTGACCCCAAACCCGCAACCAGCCACGACACCGGTTGACTGGTTCTGGCTCCGTTCCTCGACCTCCCTCCACACTACGACTCTTCCCCAACACAGCTATCACCCACAAAGACACCTCTCCTGTCGCGCGAGACCCTCTGAGACCTCTGACGGCCGGCTCAGATGCGCTGAGAGCCGCAGTGCCCAGAGGCTGCGTCCGACACCTGGCTAGTACGCAACAACACCACGACGACACCATGGCCGACCTCGCCGAGTTCATGCCTGCGGTCGAGGCATCGAAGCCGGACGCAGGCACCACAAAGGACACGCCGTCGGGCCCTTCGGCGGAAACGACCAACAAGTTCCAGGACGCAATCGCAGCATGGAGAGGTATGGCTTGCGCTCAACACGCTCCTCACCCTTGGCAAAGACTGAAGCTAACTTTCTATTCTGCAGCCATCGACCTCACCAACCTCATCCAGACTCTCGACAACACCGCCTCCGACATCGTATCCTACCAGCGCGACTCAACTGTGCAGCGCAAAGATCTCGCCCAGAAGACCAAGGACTTTCGAAAGCTTGACGATGCTGCAAAGCTGACGGAGATAAAGGGTCTGCTGAAAGGTATGCGTCCCACAGGGTGGTATCTCACAGCGCATGACCAGCTAACCACCAGTCACGCATTATAGCGTACCAGACTTTCATCGATCTTCTGACGAACCACTCAAAGTCCACAAACTCGGCCTTCCTTCAGGTGTATTCGGCATTTGAGAATGCCCCGGATCCGTATCCGCTTCTCGAAGCTTCGGTCGATTCCATGCTTGTGTCCGAGGACACACTGCCAAAACTCACACAGGAGAACGAGCACCAGCAAAAGAGCATTTCAAAACTCACTACCCAGCTTGAGGACACGGAGACGCGGCTGCAGACAGAAACTACTAATCGCAAGGACCTCGAGAGGAATCTCGAAACCAAGGTCAAGGAAGTGGAACAGACATGGACTGCACTGCTTGAGGAGTCCAAGGAAAACTGGGAGACCAAGGAGATTGCGCTCGAGGAGAAGATTGAGAGCCAGGATCGATTACTCACGGAGATCAAGGCCAGCTACGAGGTCAACCAACGACTCAAGGGCTCAGAAGATGCCGAGGCCGATGGCGCTCGCGGACACGTCACGAGCGCTGAACTAGACATGGTCAACTCGGATCTCGAACGTACGAGTGCTCGGCTCGCCGAGGTCGAGGCGCGAAACGAGCAATTGCGTCTCGACTTGGCTCAGGCCAAGTCGCAGCTCCCTACCCAGGCACCATCACCCGAGGATGACCCGAGCTTCATGCGCATGAGATCTGAGAACTCTTCATTGATACGGAAGCTTGATGCTTCACGGCTAGAGAAGGAGGCGTTCAAACGTGACATCGATACAAAACTCCGGGGTCTGGAGCGAGAAGTAGGCCTGCTTAAGGACGAGCGGGATAGTCTGAAGACCAAGGTTCAGAAGTGGAGCGACTACGAAGATGTGAAGCAGGAGCTGGAGGTGTTGAAGAGCATTGAGTTTGCGACAGGGGACGATGACGACGTCTTGGCGAGCGAGGAGTCGAATGGTGCCACCACGAAAGCGAAGGGCGACACATTAGAGCAGTTGCTGCTTGCCCGGAACAAAAAGCTCAGCGACGAGCTTACCATTCTTAGAGTCTCCCATCAGGATCTTCAAGGACGACTTGAGAACCTGCAGGAGGATATGTCAAGGACCAACGCGGACCTGGAGCGTGCCCAGAACCTGAACGCGCAGCTTGAGAATGACCTGGCGAATCTGCAGGCTGAGGGCCAGAATCACTTTTCCTCTGGGGCTTCTGTGGCAGGAACGTATGCAAAGTATGCTCCATCATTGGCCCCAGGTAGGCGCGGCGGAAGGACATCACCGACGTCGTCTATCATTTCTGGATTCAATCCGCGGGACGGTGGCGGTGGCGAGGCCATGGGTGGCGGCTCGGGTATATTGCCCATGATCACTGCGCAGCGCGACCGCTTCAAGCAGCGGAACGCGCAGCTCGAGACCGAGCTCTCGGAAACACACAGGTCAATATCGCAATTGCGGCAGGAAGTCGCGGCGCTACAAAAGGACAACCTGCAGCTATACGAGAAGACTCGCTATGTTTCCTCTTATAACCGGGGGGCCTCAGCTACGTCGTCCTCGGCGTACTCGTCGAACCCGAACCCTTCAACGGTGGCAATAGGCGGCAGTGGCAACCCAGGCATCGCGCTGGACCGGTACAAGCAGGCATATGAGGCCAACATCTCTCCATTTGCGGCGTTCCGGGGCCGGGAGTCGGCCAGGGCGTACAAGCGCATGAGCCTGCCAGAGCGCGTCGTATACTCGATCACGAGGATGGTGCTCGCGTCGCGGACGAGCAGGAACTTGTTCGCGGCGTACTGCCTGGCCCTGCATGTGCTGGTCTTCCTCTCATTGTACTGGATGGGCACAGTGGACGTGGAGCAACATGGCAGCCATCTGGGTCAGGCTGCAGCTGCAGCGGCCGGAGCAGGCGCGGCTGGTGTTCGGGGCGGCGGAGCCGGAAGTGGAGGAGGAGGAGGAGGAGGAGGAGGCAACGGCGCGGCAGCAGGGCACGGAGCGTGGCAGCAAGATGCCTTCAACGGACAATGACACTGACCGCTAGAGTGGTCGCATGGTATTCGCAAGAGATAGAGTGAGCAAGCAAGGTGAACAATGCAGTCGCAACCTATAGCACGCCAAATTATGATGCAGACCACGTTGTGTGTGAGAGAGCTTGTGTTATGCAAGTCATCCTGCCGTGCATGTATGTGTGGTGGCAGCACCGCGCACCACCGCCAATAGCACGAGCCCAGTGGTCAGCAGAGGGCAGCAAGTGTGACATGATCACCACGGATCTTGCCCTTTATTTCCCGGCTGGCATTGCCATGCACATCGGCCATGGCAGGCTTGGTCATTGGATGCGGGGAAGGCCAGGAGTACGAGGTTTGCCTTCTCTTCCCCTCTCTTTCTCTCAGACACAGCGGCTGGGCGGCTAGACACCCAACCTCGAACGAGCAGTCTGCCTCGTAGCCTGTTTTTGTTCCTGTTACGTTGTCGGCGGGGAACGCTACGGTGCGGTGCGGTGGACGGGGACGGGGCAGACCAGTTCCGGAAAGAAGAGAGCCCCCAAAGAAGGCCATCCTCATGCGCGGAATTGGGGATGGCTGGGCGGCGTACAGTACTGTTAGAGACAAAAACCCCAAGGGACCTGGGAAACTGCCGCCCAAAAGGGTGGAGAGAGAGCTGATAAAAATAACCACCAGAAGCGGAGCGCGGGAGAGGCTGATTGATGGCTGGCTGTAAGCGCCGGCGAATCATTGTTAAGCGGAGCAGGTGGGGCACTGTCCTCTCTCTCTCTCGTGCTCTCTCTCTTTCCAGGTTTCTGTAGCATCTGCGTCTCTTCTAGATCTCCACCTGGAAGGGGAGGCAGATCTGGGCCTGAGGATCTGGAACTTTTTCCAGCGTTGCATTGTATGTAGCATCGCAGGGTTAGAATGGTCATTCCGTTGAAGGCGGCTGTTGGGCTTTTTGGGGGGACGTGAGATGATGGTAGTGTATAGCACGTGTCAGTCAGTCAGGGAATTCACAGCAACCCTGGATGGACGCTGTTGTCTTTGCACCACCAAGATGCTACTGGGAGCAGACCAAGGCAATCCCACGAGATGGCGTACGCGGATGTCTTGCCGGTCACAACCGCATAGATCCAGCTCTCGTACGAAAGACAGTCTGGGGCAGCCAAGTGCGTAGCCGCACTGCCAAGTATCTGCCATGCCACATAAGCGCTGCCCTGGCCAAGTCTGAGGACGACCAAGACCAGCCAGCCAGCCAGCCGTGGGCCTCGGGGCTCCCACACACACACGGACGCGTGTCTCGTGCGCTGTCCTCCAGCTGGACGCTCCACCGCCGTAGACGCCGTCATCTCTTGCATCCGGGCCGAGAGTGCCTTGCGCGGCGGGCATGCCCACCTCCACGACGACAATAAACATGCAACCCTCGAAGGCGGGCGCTTGGAGGAGCCCTCGAGGCAAAAGCGCGCGGGGAGCCGCGTCCAATGAGATGCTAGCGTGGCCTGCTAGGCCAGGACCTCAACCCTGTCTGCAGATCGGCTAGGCCTGATCGGTGCTGCAGGGTCCCCGCCCGCGGAAGCCTCGCGGCCAATCAGCAGGGGCCTGTGTTTGGCTCCCGGCGTCTAAGTCGCGCCTTCCGCTTCTGGGGCCCGCCCTGGTGGTGGCATGCCCGTTTCTTTTCGTGGACGGCCATCTGGATCCTGCATCGTGGATGGATAGCGCAAGCCGCCAGCCGACGGACAAGGGCCTGTTCCCTGCTCCGCGTTGGCCAGGCGAGTCCTCTTCAGCTCTCTCGCTCTCGCTCGCGTGCTCATAAGGATGCAGACGCCCAGTGCTCGTCAGATCCTTCTCGCTTGCCTCCTCCCATCATATACCCATAAACCAAAAACGATCTGGTCCTGTCTGGAAACAGCAGTCCTCGTGTTCTCCCCCTCGAGGTCTTTTCTTTTCCCGTCTTTTCCTTTTCGTTTTCCTCTCTTCCTCTCACGTCTCCTTTGGTTACTGGTTTCGGTTTCCTCCGTCTCGGATTTTCTCTCGGCTTGTGTCATCCGCTTTCTTCGTTCTTCGGCACTTTCTTCACGACCAGTACTCGATTAGACCCCCCAGCCATAACGACAACACAAATTCACACCAACAAACAGCAGCCACCATGAAGTTCTCCGCCCTCACCACCGTCCTGGCAGCAGCCGTCGCCGTCAATGCCGCCCCGACGTGGCCCAAGATCAGCCCCGCGGCCCTCAGCAGCGGCGGCCTCGAGCACGTCTCGGCCTACTTTAACCTCCTGGCCGACAAGATCTCCCAGGGCGGCGGCCCCGCCGGGCTCGGCGGACCCAACAGCCCCGCGGCCGCCGCCCCGTCGTGCGACCTGTCCCGGGCCGTGCTTCCCCAGGCTCCCGTGAACCCCCTCGAGCCGCCCTCACCGGGGCTCGTGCTCAAGCACGTCGCCGTGGGCCGCGGCACGCAGAACTACACCTGCGACACGTCCAACCCGGGCGCCGCGCCCGTCGCCAACGGCGCCATGGCGACCCTCTTCAACGCCTCGTGCGTCGCCGCCTCGTACCCGGACGTCGCCGGCAAGCTCGCCGCCCTGTCCCTGCAGTTCCCCCTGTCCGCGTTCCCCACGTCCGACGACGAGACGGTCCGCATGGGGCCCTCGAACCTGCTCGTCTCGGGCAAGCACTTCTTCCTCGACGGCAAGACCCCTTACTTCAACCTCGACACCAAGAACTTTGGCCAGGTCGGCCACGCCACCTTTTCCAAAAAGTCGGGCACCGACGCCCCCTCCAACGCGCCCACCGGCCTCCAGGGCGAAAAGGCCGTCGCCTGGCTCAAGCTCGTCGCCGGCGGGTCGGACGCCGTCAAGATCGCCGCCACCGGCGGTCTCCAGGAGGTCTACCGCGTCGAGACGGCCGGCGGCAGCCCGCCCGCGACATGTCAGGGCATGGCCCCTACGTTTGAGGTCGAATATGCCACACAGTAAGTCCCTTCTTCCTCCTCTTCTTCTGCTTCTCTCTGGTTCTTCCCCTCACGAAAAGCATCTCCCCACACTCCCCATCTCTGTCTGGTGTCGTAGCACATGGAGGCTAACACGGTCGTTCGCTTCTTCCAGATACTGGTTCTATGCCAAGCCATAAGTTGGCAGTTGGGCTCTGTAGTCGTCGTTTTCTGTTATGGGCGGTCTTCTTTTTCTTTTCACGAGTACTTTTCGTCCACCGTACGGCTAATCAATTTCAATGCCAATCTTTCTTCAAATTCTGCATGTGTCATCCATCTCGCATGTTATTGGCTTGTTCCCTCCTGTGCATGTATGCCTGTGTGTCTGTGTGTCTGTGTGTGTCTCTCTCTGTTCTTATCTCTGTACATTGCTGCAGGTGTGTTGTAGAGTGCACACCAGCAACAATGACCATGGCGGTCATGCATGAGCTCCTCGTCTTTATTGGTCACAGCGCTCTTCATCTGCTTCTTGTTCATGTTCTACGTTTTATTTTCATTGATCTAACACAAGTACACGACTGCATTGTATGAGTCAAGGGGTCCGTCCATGTGAGACATGCAGTCTTGGTGGCCCACGCAAACGCCATGTCCTCCGTCTCATTGAGAACACATCAAGTTTACGAAACACTTATTTGGGCAGGAACTTGATGGCCGAGGCAATGCTCAGGCCAAACAGGGCAATGGCAGCCAAGCTTCCGACCGTGCTGCCGATAACGCGGCCCTTGGGGCCTGCGCTCGAGGTGTAGCCGAGGGCGTAGAGAATGCGGCCGGTGGTCCAGGTGATGCCAAGTCCGGCGGCGTAGGTGGGGTAGGTGAGGCCGGAGATGAGGAGAGAGGCAAGAAATGGGGTCACGTTCTCGGTATAGTTTGCGTGAGCACGCTGGGCGCAGTTGAACTGGTAGGCTGCCGGATCCTTTGCGGCCTGCTCGGGGGTGGCGTAGGCGTTGGGGTAGGGGATCTTGGAGCGCTTGCGGGCACCGGACGTCAGGATAATGTGGATGATGTTGACGGCGATGGAAGAAGTGGCGGCGACAAGGACGTAGCTGTATAAGTGAGATTGGAAGGTCAGCGCTGTGGTCACGCAACGGTCTCGTTATCGTGCAAAGGACGATCAAGCAAAGTTGGGGGCAGATTGACGGAACAGGTCAGTCAGGTGTCCCTGCAGCGCGCCCGACTACAACAAGCCATAGCCCACGATTCAGAACAAGGGTTCTCGGCAGTGCGATGGACGACGTTGAAATATGCTTCCCCAGCCCCAGATGTAAGCACGGGATGTCGTGATTGGTGCAGCAAAGGCGTCAGCACCTTGGCAGGGTCGACGTCTGACAAACCCAACAGGGCGTTTTGCGGCAGTGGACCCTCAAACTGCATCCCCGTAACTGTACTGGCGGGGTTTAGGGGTTTGCACTCTGATGCGAGCTGGAAGCTCAGTGTACCTCTTGCTGAGCGTGATGCCAGGCTTCTGGCCACTTGAACGTCGCTGCTGGAGGTGTTTTGGGTTGGCCCCGAGGCTGCCGTGAAGGCGGGGGAGGGGCGTTGCCTGGACGGCATAGACTTGGCAGGGAGGGCAGGCAGTAAAAATAACAAATGCGTAAACTTACCCGTACTCGGCGGGCAGCTGAAGGGTGATGGGCGCCATTGCGTTCGTGGTGGATGTCTGTGGTTTTACGACGAGAAGAGGCGCGCTGTGAGGGAAAGGAGGCGACAGGATGGTGTCCAAGTAGCTTGGGGCAAGTACGTAATCTGGTGAAAGCAGGAACACGATGACGACGGGAACGGCAGGCGCGAACTAGTTATTATAGGTACCTTGCCAGAACCTGATCAATTCCAAATCTCCACCGCTCCAGGGGGGGCCCAAGTGCTCCCGCCGCCCGTGTTCGTTCCACGCGGTTCTCCATCGAAACACGGGGTGCGTTCCAGAGTCCAGTCCAATCCCTTGCTGTGTGTGTGTGTCCTCAGCACGCTAGCCAGAGAGTCCTGGAGCCTCGGCCACCGGGGCCGGTGCAATTGATTAGGCCCTGCCCGAGTGTCGTGTCAAGGCCGCCCCGAGTCCACGTTGCCATGGCGTGCCTGGCGAATTATACACAGTCAGTACGTAATCGTACTGCATCAAACCCATGCAGCGACTACGAAAGGGCCTTATCAGATTTTCCGATGATATAAGTTCTCTTCGGACCCTGCCTCAGCGGTCCGCGCATCCATTCCGCACATCATCATCGCCATCACCACAAGAGAAAACCCCTGCCTAGTGCCCATGAGCGGAGACTCGCCTGCACCGGCAGGGACAGATCGCCAATCAGCACGCGCTAAATCCGCGGACCCCCAGAACTGCGTTTCCTGTAGCTGGCCACAAGTGCCCTGCCCCCGCCGCATAAAGTGAGCTCAACAACGAGCCGAAAGAAAGAAAGACAAAGAAAAAGAGCTAGGGTGCGAGACCGAACGAAGAGCAGCGATTCGAGGTTGAGCGTTACTTCTCCGCCTTCAGTTTGTCAGGCTAGAGCCAGGGGTCGTAGCTCGACTGACCAGACTGCCGCGTAAGCCTATGAGTTGAAAACAGCCAGGCGTTAGTTAGTTTTTTTAGACAGGTAACCACCCCTCGGTACCCCCGATAACTCCGCGGTTGTTGGAAACCATGCACAGTCCAGAAGGATCATACAGACCTTGGACTGCCCGTAGGCGCGGTGGTGTTAGTTGCCCCGACTCTCCGGCTCGTGCGTACGCTAAGGTGAATAGTATGCCCCGCTTCTCTTACAACTCGGGGCCTGCATGGTGAAATGTCTCCGAGAGACAAAACCTGGAATCTGTCCAGTTCGGTCACTCCAGAGCATCATCAGCAGTCCTCCAATCAGAACGACCATGTACGATGTATGTACAAGGCAACATTCTCGTTACGTCGACTCGAATGCCTACACTTCACCAATACTTCTTGTAATCCCAAAACAACTTTGGGTTGCATCAATCGCCCCATTGTCGGGACTTCGTCTTTGATTTTCTCTTTCCGCTGGCTGTTTCTTCGCACTCTTATATGCACTCATATCCTCACCCCTTGCACGCTTGTCATACCCTCTGTTTACATGTCGCTTTGGTGAGCACAAAAGATCATCCTCCTCCTCCTCATGACGCCACCCAGCCGATAAAAGCACACAACCCGGTCCCGCACGCCGTGTCCTGCAATGCTATGATTCGTTCACACATGAAAATGCCCGCCCGCCAGTCGTAAAAATCAAAATGCATGCCAACGCCAAAAAAGAATGCCAAAGGAAACAGCCGAGGGTATCTCGCTTGGTGAGGTGATTGAGGTGCTATGGGTGCCCATTGTGAAGAGTGGTGCATAAGTATGGTTTTTGGAGAGGGATGGTCGCTGTCGTAATGATACTGTTTCGCTGAGATAGGATTGTCTTTGTCCGTCATCGCGTCGAGAGACAATGTTGTCCGTCTGGAGGCGTCTCACCGGATGACGCCCCAGTTCGCTAGTTTTCCGCTTCCGCCTTCATGCTCCTCCCGCTGGCCTGGACGCCGCCCAAAAGTGGTCCAGAAGCGCAGCGTCTCGTCGCCAGCTCCTGTCACGATCGTCCGTCCGTCCGGGCTCATAGCGAGGTACAAAACTCTGTACGTGTGCCCCGTCAAGCTGGCGACCTGGGTCATGGATGGGTACTTCCAGACGACAATCTGGTTTTGGCTATAGCCATGCGTTGAGACAATCTCATTCGAGTTCTTGGACCACTGCAGGTTGCACACCTGACTCCCAGTGTCGATCTCGTTGATGACAGTGCCTCGCACGGTATCGTGGAATATGATGCGTCGGTCGGCAGTACCTCCTCCAGACGCGAGGAGGCCTCGCTGGTGCGGCGACCACGAGATCGCCTTGACTGCCGCAGTGTGATCGGAGAACTTCCAGAGTGGCACGTCCGAGAGCTTGTCCCAGACCATAAGCTTGTTGTCATTACCGCCGCTCGCCAGCTGGCCGTCTTCGCAGTTCCACTTAAGACCGCATACTTCCTGCTTGTGGCCCATAAGCTTCTTCATCCACTGATCCGGCGCTCGGACATCGCGGTGGTAGATCAGGCGATCCCGAGAACCCGAGCTGAGCACGTGGGTGTTCCATGCCAATGCACCGACACGAGCGGTATGACCCGTCATTGTCCTTAACCTTCTCGTTTTCTCGGCGTCCCAGATCTGTACCAGGCCCTTGCCGGTGCCGATAGCCAGGTGTGTGCCCTTTTGGATCCATGAGACGCTCGTCACCGTGTCGTCCTCCAGGGTGCAGAGCTTGCTGACAGAACTCGTTTGAGCGTTCCACATGTAGACGCTGGATCCGAGGCCCACCCCCAACACGTTGGCGCTACCCCAATCGACCAGGTTCAGATAGAAGTCGTCGGCGAGCTCTGGTGCATCCAGCACCTTGTAAGGCACCTTGCTGACTGCGCGAGGTTGCCTTCTTGGACTGAGCAGCATTTGCTGGCTTCCAAATCGGACAGGTGACAAGCTGTATATCTCTGACCTGGTGTCCATATTCGGGCCATGACGGCTTTGCGGTGTCCTGGAGGGTGTCGGGTGCCCTGCCACATGGCTGTGATGGCGAGGAGACATGTACGAAAAAAGGTTCTTGTGTGGTGTAGAGGGGGTAAAGCTGGACGGTAGAGCTGGGGGGGTGTTATTTGGTGGAGTATGCGCTCGCGTGCCATCGTTGACACTCGCGGACCGTGAGGAAGGCAAATTCCCCTCGGGTGATAACGTTGGTGGCGTGGCTTGAGGTATTGTGTTTTCAAATAGCTCGGCGCGTAGCAATGTGGAGAAGGTGCGATTGGCCTCCTCGGCTAGATGAGTGTCAGCAAAGTCCTAAAGATTCACGGGAGTGAGGCACTGGAAGGGCGTACTCTTCTGGAAGTGAAGCTCGCCATGCGGGGTACGTTTCTTCTGTTTGGATGGAGTGGCCGGTGACCCTTCATCATGTAGGAGGCTGAAGCTCGCTTGCAGATCCTGCCCTGACCGGGACGGTATAAACCTGTTGACACAAGATGTGAGCATTCAAGGTACGGTTTGGATGACTGCCAGGGTACTGGAAGCTGCCTGATCTCACCTGTCGCCGTTTATCCTTTGCCGTTTCCTGCTAGGGCTTGCACCAGGCGTGCTGTCCCGCCTGTCCCCAGTCAGCTCTCTGGAGAGCGCCCGAGATAACGCCTCCGCATCGATGCTACTGCTCACGCCCCCTTCACTAAGGCGAGTGACATGCCTGGCAGGCCGGCTCTTGGTGTTTCCATTCTCCAGACCCAGCTTGGCTTGCAGCCGGCCCCGTTCTGATGGCGGCGGCGGTGTGGACATTCTGGCGGGCGTGCGAACGGCGGGGCTGTCGGCCGCATGTTTTGTGGACACAGTCACTGGCACAGCGGCCAGCTCTGAATCCGCGGCCATGGTTATGGTGATGGCAATGTGACTTTTCCGACTTCGGCTTGTTGTTGTGGATGTGCACTGGACCTGGATAGTAGCTGGACTGACGAGCTAGAGGTCTCTCGGATGCACTACTGGCAGGTCCCAGAATTGATCCTTCCAGACCGCGCGCGCACTTTCTGTAATAGTTGGTGATGACCTCCTCCTTTAGATGCCTGTAGAAGCTGGCCGACTATCGCATGCTCTGTGCTCGAGGTGGCTGTCCGGGATCGCCGTTTGGTCGTCGATGGTGCGGTGCAGGCGACAACGATGGTCTCTCCGGATGGCAATTCCGCGTCTGAATTGAGGGCACCGAGATGGGCTCGATGACCGGCTATTGGATTTGTGATATTTGTTGGCGTGGTGGTTGAGCACGCTGGCGGGCTTTGACGCCGGCTCTGGAATGACGCTTTGAAAGGTGGGTGGCGGGAGAGGCGCTTTGGGACAGCCAGCGGGTCGTGATGAGGTGCTTAGATATGCCGGTGTCGTTTACGTCCGTGCCGCGAGCGATGGACACGATGGATTAGGTGGCGGTGATGGGATAAGATGTCGGGTCGCTCCTCTGGGAAGGTGTGCGATGGTGAGGGTGCGAGCAAGTGGGAGAGGTGGTGGTGGTGGTGGTGGTCGAGACCTGGAGCTCTGCGGCGGCAGGCGATAGACGATAGAGAGGAGGTTGAACGGCGCGGGTGCAGTGCTGGGACGGACTGGGACCACCCGAGGGTCGCCTTGCTGCGGGAGCGCACGCTCGAGCCTCGAGGCAGGTGCCGCCGCCGTCGTCGCCCCTCCAAAGTCAAGTCAGTCAGTCCCCTTCGCTGCACGCAGCGCTCCTTCCCGTCGCGCGCGAGCCTGAAGCAAGCCCCCCCAATTCGGACGCCCTGTCGCCCAAACAATAACAACACCGTCCCGTCCCTGGCGGGCCTCGCATTGTCATTCGCTCACCGCACCGCACCCTGGATCCTACTCACGTTGTCGTCCGACGCCGCCCAGGTACCGCCATGACTACATCTGATTATCTCGTCAGTCCTTTGCGAGCCTCGCTGGCTTACTTGCAACATGCTTTTAACCCGGCAGTGCACAGCACTCTGGCCCTGCCAAGTAGATTTGCTAGGCGTGCCTGGAGAGCACACGACATTCATCAGTCGGTCCATTCCCACACCTTCAAGCCGACTTCTTCACAAAAGCAATGAGCATGGACACGGGACCCCCCGGCACTTGGCGAGCCTCTACTTCAAAACAATGCACGCGATGTTTCTACGTGTTGCAGCGCCGCCGATGGAGCTAACTCCGGACGGCAGGGCATCGTCGAGCTTAGCCTTGCAGAGTCGAGCTGCCCGAGGAGCACCGGGGCAGGAGGTGGCTGGGCCCGCGTAAATGGGTCCCCTAGCCCGGTTCACCCAGCAGCGCGTGCACACGCGCGTCAGGCCTGCTTGGCTCCGGGTCGACGCGCGCAGCAATGGCACCAGGGGGCGGCAGACATGGACATGGGGGTGCGGACCAGACTTGACAACAGCTTGATTCACCTCGACCTGTTCGCAAACGCACTGTCGACTCGAGCTGTGCCATTCGCAGTGTTTCAAAAAAGAGTAGAGCTTTCATACTTTGTCGAGGGTGGCTCTGCATGGACAGCGCATCCGGCCCGTGGCTGTCTGTCAAACAACCGGGCGGCCATCAGTCGGTCAGCGATTTGCTGTCCATTCAGCCCTCCCAAGGTGCAGTGCCGTCGTCTCCCGTCTCGCCAGGCCACCGCAACCGCCATGTCGAGTCTCCAGATCAAGCCTGGAGACCTGAGTTGCGTGCAGGGCGCAGTTTGCACGAGGCCCTTGCGTGCCCAGCGCGCGAGAGCTCCCTCCTGGCCAGACGTTGTTGTTTGTTATGATGCTGCCGATGCACCCGCTCCCGGAGCGAAAACGGTCGTCCTTACAGGACGCGCGCGCCGCCAGGGATCTGCGTCCTTGTCTATTCCGATAGGTTGTCGACGTTCGGCCCTGGCGTTGCACCCAATTTCCAGGGGTGACGGACAGTGGGGCTCGCGTGCTGCGTGGCCGCCAGGTCGGGCTGCCCTCGCATCGTCATTGACCACTTAAACCACGACGCGCCACGCGACGTGCCGCGACCCAACTGGCGACCCCCTCCTTCACAATGGCTGCTGCGCAGGGGGCCCCCTCAAAAACAAGTTGCTTGTTCTGGCAACACATGCCACAGGAGTGTCTCTCTTCATGATTGGGATAGCTTGCAAAATAAATATAAAGCAGGCTGGTCAACTTCGCCATTCACATTCAACCATCATCTCTGGTAAGAAAGTAGCTCCAATCAGTTGCCTTGAAGCGGGCACTTGAAGTGAAGACTGGGGATCAGATCGATATGCGGGGAGATCAGGCAGGGACCGTGCCATGGCCTGAACCAAAGCCTGCCACTCTGGGAACTGCTGCCCAAAGTTGTGCAACATGGTCTGATGCCATCCAATCGATGCCACGCGACAAATGTTCTGCAGTCGACGTGGATGGCAATGCTGCGTCTTTACCCCTGCAGCAAGCCCCCGTTGTGTAATGATGCCATGGCCGCTCCGAGACCGTCGGGTTGCAGCTGTGTCGTTGAGCTTCTGGCCGCTTCTCCGTGCCCGTGACAACCAACCCTATCGGCGCGCCGGCTAGCGTCCAGCTTGCGGCCTTCCTGCGCTTTCCGCGGCCGGCTCATCCCGTGACTCTTTCCTCGGGCGGCCGCCACTCGAGGCCCAACCCTGCAAACACCCTCTTCTCCGCCGTTAACAAGTCAGGTGCCTGGCCGTCGAGATCGCTCTCCAGGTCGACCCATCCTCCGTCTCTCCGATTCCGTATACCGCTACTGTCAAACTTCAGGCGCTTCTCCTTCTTGCAGTACCGGCGCAGGTCCCTCTCAAAGGTGGTTCCTCCCGACCAGCCAATGACGGCGCATCCCGCTGTCTTCCAGGGGCTGATGATGATGTCGACTCGGCGATGTGGATTTGGGTTCTTGGAGTGCTTGGAATGGTCAAACTCGGGGTCTTGCCAGACGACCAGAGCCTTGTCCAGCGTGTCGAAGCCAGTGCCAGGCTTTCTGTCTTCTCCTTTCCATGGCAGCGGACACTGGCCCCTCTCGCTATTTCGAGTGCTGAGCGTCAACGTGTGAGTAATGAACTTAGCATTCTCTAGACTGACGACGACCTTCTCGACAAAATGGGCCGTCGCATTCTCGTCGGGATTGCTGAGGACCACGTCAACATCTCCGCTGTCTTGGCGGCCGCGTCTGTAGCTGCCTACGATCACCATCTGGAAGCCGGCGTGGATTCGGTTGGCGTGCTCGAGTATGGTGTCCCCTATAGCTGCTGTCTCCTGCCGTGGGATGCGAACGAGGAACTCCTCGTAATACTTGATTCCAATCTGCTGGACTCGCGTGATAGTTTCCCAGCCATACTCGATGACATCATCCAGATCTCGCCATCCTTTGTTGTAGAATTCCCGCGCTGTCGTCTCGCCAACACCCCAGATGTTGTAGAAGAGCTTGAGCACCGAGAGCTTGTCGTCGTTTTCTGCATCGACGTTCTCCTGGAGAAAGCCATTTTCCTTCCATTCCTTCCATTTCGCAGCGATCTTAGCACTGCATCCAGGAAGCCGTTCGATTTCTACAGAAACCGTCAGTGTGAATAGCTCCCAGCCTATGTGAGCACGCCGACTTACCAGCAACTGCGGTGACTGGGTACGGATAAGCGCAGAGTGTAGCTATTGCTGTTGAATACGCCCGGACGCCAATCTTGTCGTTCTTCAATGTTCTGAAAGTGCGGATTGTCTTCAGGTGCTCGATAAACGCATCGTTGGGAGGGTCTGCGGGGGACGGCCGCTGGCAAGAGTAGGTCGTATGCAAGTAATCAGGGATCGGCGGCAACTGAGTCCCAATGTCATGCTCCGAGGTCGTCTCTAGCAGGAGTCGGGGGCGCTTGCTTTGGGAAGATGGCGAGGTGCGCTCGTGCTGCCGCTTGTATCCATGGGGAAAGGCAGACTTGGGGGCTTGGCCAGGTGTGTCTAGTTGTGCGCGCGCAACAATATCGCTCGGGTTGGGCAAGTTCGGCTTGTTTGGTTCCGTTCGCTGTGTCTTCTCACTGGCCTCCTTCCGGATGCCCTGATAAAGTAGATATTCGTCGACAGGCAAGACGACATGGCGCTCCAGAGACGTCGTTAACCACGCCAACTTGACGATACGAACTACAGGCTCTCCGCGGTCTGTTATGATTCTCCTGACAGAGGCTGGGGAGGTCGTCAGCTCGTCTGCATCGACTTCCGAGGCCGTGTCGGAGCTGTCACTGCTCATAGATCCGCGACGAGCACGTTGCGGGGCATCAAGCTCTATGATTCCAGGGTCAGAAGACAATGCGGCAGGGACAAGAGGGTCCGTGTTGAGCCCAAGTCGCCGCAGCTCGAACCTGGCTCGGCCTGATTGGGACAGGTTTGCCACAACAACATCGGCCTCATTGACGTCATGGGTCAAGGTTGGTATTGTGCCCTGCAGCTCGAGGAATCTGTCTGTGTCAATGAAGGTGGGCAGTAGATAGATGACGGGAAAGTCGAGAGCCATTTTTGACAAGCGAGGTCCAAAAATAGTTGTGTCCGTGCAAGCGTGCTACAGCGGCAGCCATGGTCGTCTCTTGAATCTCCCAGTGCATCGCATCGTGCCGCGCCAGGCACTTCTGAAGCCGAGAGCGAATACGATGACGCCGAAGTACTGGGCGAGCTCTGATGACGATCCGGTAGTAAAGACGATGCTGCCTGGAATGTCTCTAGGATAGGAAGTTGCAGGTAGGCGTGATCTTGCTGGAAGTCGTGACGCAGTTGGCTGTCTTGGGGGCTCCTACAGCTTGCTGAGCTTGATGCCTTTCAAGGTCGGTCATGAGCCCATTGCTTCAGGATACCAGGCTTGGGCAGCAGCAATCTATCAGAAGCTTGGAAATAAGCCGTAGAATGACGTTTGTAGGTTTATAGAAGGTGAAGTCTTTCCGGACTGAGTGGTGCGACAACAATGACCGTTGACCAGTCCGCCATCCTTCATGAGCATCACACCGTGTGACACTTTGCTGGCTTGCACCGCTGATGGGGGTGCTGCTCGCGCAAGTTGGTACCGTGCATATCCATAAGAACACTGTATGCAGGGCCATCACCCCCGGCATATCGTGATCGCAACCAGAGGCGATCCCCCAAACTGTTTGCCTGCTCACCCGCTAGTAACCGCCAGCGACTTCGTACTTTTCGGTCGGCGTTACCCCGTTCCAGGCATCGGCCAAGGGATCGCTTGTCATGCGCATCTACTTGTAATCGAGTCGCGACAACTACCAGGCAACTCCGTCTCGCCCACGATCTGCCTCCACCTCCGACCAACTCAGCGCCATCAGCTCAGGCTCGACGTCGCATCGCTGTCGGGAACATGCTGCGCGCTTGAACTGTCCGACCTGCACCGTGTGCTTTTCGCGACGCCCACCCAACGCAACCACTTGCCTCACCTGCGACGGTTTCGACATTGCATACACTAGCTGTGACGCCCTGAGCCCTCCGGCGCCCATTCTCCCTCGCCATCATGTCATCCACCGCCATGGACCTCGCGCAGACGCTCCTGCGCTCGGTTGTGCGCGCCTTCTACCGCGACAGAGAAGCCTACGACATGCGCCACATCCTCATCGTCGACGCCCTGGTGATGCACTCGGCGCTCCGAGACGACGACCTCGGCTACCTCATGTCCATGAACCTCAAGGACCTCCACAAGATCTGCGCGACTCTCAAGGAGCAGCGCTTCATCGCCCAGCACGTGCGCCCCGAGATCAAGGAGGGCCAGACGAAGCCGAGCAACCGGACATACTACTACATCGACTACCGGCAGGCGATAGACGGAATCAAGTGGAGGGCATACACCGTCGACAAGGCGGTACAAGGAAACGCGGTGCCGGCGCAGGAGAAGAAGGAGTACTTCTGCAGGCGCTGCAAGTCGGAATGGACGCAGATGGAGGTGCTGGACAACGTCACGGCTGCCGGCTTCATATGCCACAGGTGCGCGTACGTGCTCGAGTATGACCCCGAGCGGCAGGCCGGTGGTCACGAGCAGTCCACGCGGCTGAACAACCAGCTCAAGTTCATCACCGAGCTGCTGCCGCGCCTGGATGAGGTCGTCATCCCAGATAACACATTCGAGGTCGCCCACTCGCACGCGCGGCCTGTCGAGCGCGACCGCACTAATCAGGTCGCCAAGTCGACCGTCGTGGAGAGCGCCAAACCGACAGCAGTCCGGGGTATGGCTAATACAGGACCGCGCGACCTCACCATCAGCATTACGGATCAGGAGAACATCACGGAAGAGGAAGCCCAGGCAGAGCTCGAGCGCCAGAGGAAGATCAAGGAGGCAAACGCCCTCCCCGTGTGGCACGTGCAGAGCACCGTCACGGGTCAATCGCACGATCCGAACGACGCCACCTCGGCGAGCGGCGCTGGTGGCAAGCGCGACGACGACGACGACGACAAGCTGTTTGATGACAACAAGGTCAGTGAGGCCGAGCAGGCCCGCGTCGACGACGTCTTCGCCCTGCTGGCCAAGCAGCAGCAAGAAGAAGCCAGCAGGCGTGCCGCGGAGGAGGAAGAAGAGGAAGAAGATGACGATGACGACGACGACGAGGACGAAGAGTTCGAAGACGTCGCGGGCAGCGGCGCTGGCGCGAACAGCAACACAGCTCCGGGGGCCTCGCTCGGCGGCGGCGGCGCGGCCACAGCCAAGCGCGGCCCGTCATCCTTGGGCAGCGGGACGACGTCGGCAGCCGACACGCCCGCGTCCTCGGACGACAGGCCAAGCAAGAAGGTCAAGGTCGAAGAGCCGGCCGACGAGGAAGACAGCGACGAGGAGGAAGATGTCGCTTTCGAGGATGTGTAATCATAAAACAACCATCATGACAAGGCGTAATAACCAGGTCCCAGGGAAGGAGGGCCGAGAACCACGTGCCACATCTTTCAGGCACGGCATGCAAAATCCTTGGGGCGAGCGATGTCAGGGGACGACAAAACCCTTGTCCTAAAAAGACAGGATACACAAAAGCAAGCATTTATTCAGTCAAGTGCGCTAGAATAGAGAAACCCATAATGGAACATCGCAAGATACAGCAATTAAACCTGTTCAACTCATCCTGTCTGACGATTCAGGAGAAATGGATAAAAGGCGCTGCGACATTTGCGAAAGGCAAGATCACAGGCCGGGATGGCAAACAGTCGTGACGAGAAGATGTTCAATGGTGGACGCACATGTGTGCGCGACGTCAAATGCAGCATAAAATGAAAACGGTGTATCCATCTAGTCGTTCCGCCCATACTTCAATACATACACAAAAGCCACGCTTCCCTGTCCATGCTCCTCAAGTGTTCAGAAGGTCCACCATAGTGCTGCCGTATTATGAAGAAGACCGAGGTTTGCCTCGCTGCTCGTTTTCATTCACGTTCAGAGAAGCAGCTGGTGGTGCGCTTGTGCAGTATCAAACGTATTTGCGCAGCTGCGAAAACGTCAGTACAAAATAGCCATAGTTCAACATGACGAACCAGGGATAACTTACATCGAGAGTAAGAGACTTGGAACTATTCACGTCCTGGTCCCGGTATATGCCCACTAAGCTTTCCGAGTCCTGGAACAGACCCGCCTTGAGACTGATGACGATGAACTGCATGCCGGGGCCCGAGTGTTCGCGGATGTAGTTCTTGATCTTCTCGACGTTGGCGTTGTCGAGGGCGGCATCGACTTCGTCGAGCACAAAGAATGGGCTAGGCTGGTAGCTGTGGATGGCGAAGAGTAGCGCCAGGGCCGCCATGGTCTTCTCACCACCAGAGAGGTGCTCCATATCACGGAATCGCTTCAATGGCGGCATGGCGTGGTACTTGATGCCACTCAGGTAGGGCTTGTCCGTGTCCTCCTCGATATCAAGGTATGCTTGACCGCCAAGAGGATACTGCTCACTACGGGTAAGATCCTTGTAGACGTGAGAGATCTGCTCCTGGATGTGTGTGAAGGCCTTGTTGAACAACTCGTATCGTTGAGCCTTGACATCGTCGAAAGCATCTTTGGCAGCCTTGTAGGCAGCCTTGGAGTCCTCGAATTCCTTTTCCGTGGCTTTGAGACGTGCTTCAGTCACTTCCAAGCGCTCCATAGCGCGCATGTTGGGGTTGAGCTTCTCTAGCTCGGAAGTTAAGGAAGCTATGTTGTCCTGGAGTTTCGTTTCGATTTCTTCGTCACCTTCGGCCTGTGACATCGATCTGTCGTTAGCTACTTTGCCGTTGGGGTCTACGTCTGGTATCACGATGCTTACCTGCTTAAGCTCGTCGCTAAGTCCGTCGAAATCAATCTCAATGCCATGATCTTCCATGGCATCGCCGAGGGCATCAGCTTCGTCGCCTTCGTCTACATCCATGGCGTCGGGATCCTGTTGCAGCAGATTATCGTCGTTCGGTATGTCGTCCAAAGTTCCGCTTGACAGAGGAATGTTGACTTGTTCAAGTCGGCATCGTCGTAGGAGAGCGAACTTGCTGGCACTGTTTCTTTGAACTTCTGTCTCCAGGGAGCTGATGGCCTTTAACCGGCTCTCGATATCTCTGCTTCGCTTTTGGACTTCGCTTTTGGCCTCAACCACTTTCTCTGTGTGGGTGGCCAGTTCATCCTTGGCATCTTCTAACTCCTCTTGCAGGCGCTCAATCGTGGCCGTGTCCTCAGACATAGCCGCCTGAATCTCGGCTTTTTCAGCCTCGTATGATTTGATGTCAGCGTCGAGTCTCCGTGACTGCGCCTCAAGCTTCTCGACTCTGGTCTTGAGCTCGTTCTGTTTTGACACTTGCCAGCTCTTGTCGCTCTGGAGCCGAGACTTCTGAGTCTCGAACTCTGAGCGGCGCTCGGCTGCCTCTTGTTCAAGACTGCCCTGCTGGGCCTCATATGCTCTGATGTCCGAGTAGCCAAGCCGCTTGCAAAAGTCCCCAAAGATCTTATCTTCGACCTGAGCAATGGCCATTTTGAATTTCTCAACTGCTGCTCGTGTCTTTTGTAGGTTGGCTTCGCCCTCCTTCAGTTTCGGCTGCCACTCCTTAAGTTGCCGCTTCACGTGGTCGAGCTCTTTCTTCTTGCTGGCGAGGTTTTGGTCAAAAACTGAGACCTCGTTGCGAGCAAACGTCAATCGGTGCTCGAGCACTGCAAGCTCATTCTGCAATGACTCCTCCGCGCCGCCGCGACGGTCCGTCCGTGGCAGCTTCTCGATCTCGTCTCGGAACTTCTCGGCAGTCTTACGCAAGTTGTCGACGTCGTGTTCCTCGAAACGACGTTTGCCACCCTTGTTCTCCGGCCCTCGTCCACCAGTCAGCAGACCAGCCTTGTGGATCACGAAACCTTCAAGGGTAACAGCCTTGACGGGGATCTTGCGTTCGTAGCAGATATGCTTGGCGATTTCCAGAGTGTCACAGACAACAGAGCTTTCGCAGGCGTAGGACATGCCTCTCTCGATAGAGGCATCAAAGTCAATAGTATCAATGGTCAATCGTGCACCCGAGATACCCTTGATGGCCGTGTTGACAGGATTGACCTTGATGACGTCAAGTGGAATAAAAGTCATAGGAGGGAAACGCTGGTCTTTGAGATAAGAGACACACTCGTTGCCAGTCTTCTCTGTGTCCACAATCACGCTGTCGAAATTGCGTCCGAGAGCAGTGATGACAGCCTCGTCGTACTTCTTTTGCTTTGGCTTGCACAGGTCACCAACACGGCCCTTGACGCCCGGGAAGATGCGCCTCAGGGAAGAGACCATTTCTTTCATGCGCGCTTCCCGGTCGTTTTGACGCCGCCCATCGTCGGCTTCCAGCAGCTTGTTGAGGACATCTCGGTATTTTTCCTCGAGTTCCGTGCGTCTCTGGTTGGTCCTTACACGCTCAGACTGGATCTGGTTGTACTCTTTCTTTTTCGAGTCGATTTCGGCGGCAAACTGCTTGACAGCTGCTTGCGTAGCGTCTCGACGCTCCTTGATGGTGGCCAGCTCTTCCTCGAGCTTTTCCGCGGCGGCAGAGTATGCATCGACCTTGCCTTTCAGACTGTTGACTGTGACTTCGTCGGTTCTCAATTGCCGCATCAGATTCTCGAGCTTCGCCTGGTTTTCCGACGACTTGGCCATAGCTTGCGCGCGTAAGGAGTTGTATTCCTTCCGGTCAGCGTCCGTAAGTTCCTTGCCCTGCTTCTTCATGGTCTCTGTCCACTGGTCCTCGAACTGTTTCTGGGCTTTCTGCACCGTTGCAAGGTCCTTCTCGATTTTGGCAATAAGCTTCGCCTGCTCGTCGCGTTCTTTCGTGACCATGTCGATCCGCTTACGGATAGTCTCGGCCGTCGCGCTTGTCTGCTGAACCTTCTCTTCTATTGGCACAAGACTGTTCTCCTTATCCTCGAGTGCTTGTTCTTGGCGTCGAATTTGCCTCTCAACTTTGTGCACACTCTTGGCCGCATCGGCTTGGTCTTTCCTCGCTGCCTCAAGCGTCTTTTCGTACTTCTCGACATTGCGCCGGAACTCCTTGAGATTCTCTTGGTGCTCCTGGATTTTGGCGCTCGACTCGTCCATCACCTGCTGAAATTTGTACAGCTTCCAGAGAATGTGCGTGACGATTGCGGCATCCCGCTCGTCAGTCTTCGCCTGGAAGTTCTCTGCCTCACGCTTCTGCTCCTGGTATTGCCGGATCTCCGAGTTGATTCCGCGACGTCTCTGCAGCTGGAAGGTGGAGTTCTCAGCTGCCTGGTCTGCTTCGCTCTGAAGCCTCTCGTATTCTGCCTTGTATTCCAAACTGCCCGAGATCTGCTCAATCAGGCGCGTCAAATCCTGAGGTGATTGTGAGGCAATCGCCTCAACATCTCCCTGGAAGACAAGGAAGTTGCGGGCCTTGATCAAGATGTTCTCAGCTTCCAGTGCTTCGTTGTACTGGTGCGCGGTAACCACGCGATCGTTGATTCTGTACTCGCTCGAGCCGCCAGAGGTAATGGAACGCTTCCAGCGCTGTTCGTCGCCTGCGTCGTCTTCGTAGACAGCCATCACCCATGCAGTCTTGGGATCGCCGCGGCTAGCCTTGTCGTCGCCATTCAGATGTCCGTTGGCCTGGCCATTTGGCGTCGGGTCGGCTGCCGAGCCATCGTCATTGATCTTGGATGTCTTGAGAACGCGTCCGCGATATACAAGGTCCTTCAGCTGCGCAGAACGGAGATGAGATGACTTGATTCCCAGGACGAAGGAAATGGCGTCCATACTGTGGGGGGGATAGACATTGGTCAATTAGAATCACGCATCTCGGAACGGGCGGCGCAACAGCAGCTGGGACATACGAGTTTGATTTGCCGGAGCCATTGGGGCCGATGATTGAGGTGAAGTAAGAATCGCCGAAGAGAAGGGTATGGTGGCCCTTGTACGACTTGAAGTCTGTGTAGATAATGGTAAGCAACGGCCGCTGAAGCTGGCGCGGGAGCACGAGGCAGTGGTGGGATTGTGAATGCGCATACTGAAAAGCTCGAGACGAATTAGTTTGCCCATGATGACAGAATTCTAGCACGACGCCAGCTACCGGTACATCCGTGAAGGGGTGGCAGACGATGCTGGGCGCGGGAGCTCGCGATGCGACACGACTATGGGACGGCGTAGGACGATCGCCAGTGCGCGCCTCAGTACATGCCAGGGTTGGTGGCGGATGGGTATCGTGGGTAAGGAGTGACGGAGACGAGATAGACTGGGCGCAGCTTGTGCGGGAGGTCGCTGAGTGGTCGTGCGATGCCCTGATCGCAAGCAGTTACGGAAGCGCAGGCGCGTGCTCGCAAGAAAGGCGGCTTCAGCGAAACTGGCGATGGGGTATCACTTGCACAGCACAGTCGACGCGCCTTGGGCGGAGGGTCTGCTTGGTGGGGATCGGGCCGCGGGGACAATGAGAGTACTTGGAGTCCGGAGAGCGGAATGTGGGTGTGCGTGTACCTGGTGCTCGAGGGAAGCGCGACCAGGCACAAGTTGACCATGAGTGCTTGCTTACAGTGCCACAACGCGCCCGGGTCCTCAAGACGCGCTCTGGGGCAGGCAGTCTGGCTTGGTGCTCGGTGTGAGCAGTGGAGACCAAGTGGCGCCAGCTGCAGATCTGGCCAGTGAGTTAGACGCTGAGAGCACTGGACCTGGGCAGACCCCACGCCCAGTGCTGCGACACTGCAGCCTGCTCCTGCTGGTGATCCCGCCCCCAACGACCCAGGCTAGTCGACGTCACCCTGCTCCACCCCCGTCATTTCTTGATATCCAGGCAGGCATCACAAAGACCAAGTCGACGTCAAGGCCTTCAGCAGATCCTCAAAGTCTCTTGCATCCAGCAGAGTGGAAGCTCAGAGTTTCTGTGGCCAGCTCGATATATCTCAGTTGCGCACCACCACGCCAGCACAGGCCCACGTCTAACCCCCCCTCCCCAATCTGCCACAGGGCACCTGACCGCTCCACCAGACCAGCTACTTGTTCCCTCTTAGCACAACCGGGCACTTCTGTCGCAACCCGTGTCTGATATTCTCGTCTCAGAACTTCCTGGCTGAGGTCTAGGCTCGGGTCTTGTGTGCCTTCGCCGCAGGAACACATCAGCATACCGTGACCTTGAGCGTCCCACGAAGCGGTCACTCACCATCGCCACTAAGCAGCTCCGGCCTCGTCCAACCACAGCCCGCCATCCTTGCACGCGTCGCAACTTCCACGCTGCCGTTCATCCTCCCTGAACAACGCACCCGCTGCTCACTGTGCTTGACCGCGACCCCTAGTCTCTGTCAAAGACAGATCTGCCACTCTCCAGCACCCTAATTCAGTTGGCGTGCTTGCCAGCGTCGCCCCCTTCAGCACCCCCCCCCCGTCCCACCACTAGTCACGAGGACCCTGAGGCGGTCTCTGTGAGATAAACTATACCTTCTGCCGCACCTAGCCCACCACGAATCACATCACCGTGCGCAACCACGGGCACAAGACTCCTTGCGCAGGTTCCTGCCCGAGCTTGGCTTGATACCAGTCTCTGAAAAGGTATGGAGGTCTTCCGCGACAGAATGGTCCAGTTTCAGCATATATCTGGTCATGCATTCTAGGCAGTGTTTGAGGATCACTCCAACTGTCCTCGTGATCTGCCAATCTAATCTGCTTGGGTATTTGTCAAACATGGCTGACCTGCTCGTACTTAGAGGCGCAGAGGCCCTCCGCCGGCTCTCTTTCCGCAACGACATCCAACGATATCCGATACGAACACTGGCCGAGATGAGCGCACATTCGCCGGTCTTCACGGCCGGGATCCGTGACGACAAGTCTGGAGGCGATGCAGGGTCTGCAGAAGATGAGGCGCCTGCTTTGTCCCCGAGCTCCTCCCCTTCAGACGAAGCTGTTTCTACCTCGACGACCCCGCGACTCGATCCGATCACCCCAAGCAGCCCACGTCTGTCTAGGAATGGGTCGTTCTCGGGCAGCAGCTCTTATCACGAAGATTGGGACTCGTTTCCGCCTCTGGACCGTCTTACGGTGCTAGACCTTCTCGACAACTTCGCCCTTCCGCAACAGCTCGAAAGGCTCCAGAGAGGTCTCTCTGCGCAGACTGAGAAAGTTCGCAAGTCGAGAGCAGCGTTCCAAATAAAGAGCCAGGAGGCCAAAGGCCGAATGGTGGAGGAGTGGCGCCGGCGTGTGCCATCGGCAGAGGAACAACTCGAGAAGTATCGCACGCGCATGAAGAAGAGTGTCGACAAGCTGGGCAAGCGCTGGGGCGACACCAAAACCGTTACGTTGCGCGAAAAGGTCTCCTTTATTTGCGGTGTCATGAACGTCTTCATCAGCGGTTACCTCATCGGCGCGCATTCTGACTGGTTCCACGTTTGGTACACGACACAACTCATCTACTTCATGCCAATCCGCTACTACACCTATCACAGCCGCGGTTACCACTATTTCCTGGCCGATCTTTGCTACTTCGTCAACGTGCTGCTCTTTCTCAGCATTTGGGTCTTCCCGTCTTCCAAGCGGTTGTTCCTGGCTTCATACTGCCTGGCGCACGGGAACAATGCCGTAGCTATCATCATGTGGCGCAACTCGCTGGTGTTCCACGACTTCGACAAGGTCACCTCCTTGTTCATACACATCATGCCGTGTGCTACGCTGCACTGCATAACTCACCTCTACCCGCTAGCAGAGCAAGCGGCGCGATTTCCGGCTCTGTTCCAGATCAAGACAGCCTCGCCCGGCTCGTCAGCTGCATATGGCAATCTTGTTTCGATGCTTGCATGGTCCACGATACCCTATGCAGTCTGGCAGCTGAGCTACTACTACTTTATCACTGTCCGTCGGCGCGAGAAAATCGCAGCTGGGCGTCCGACTTCGTTCACGTGGCTGCGCCGGTCGTACTCGAAGACGTGGATTGGCAAACTTGTGCTTTCCCTGCCCGAGGCATTGCAGGAAGCTGCTTTCATGCTCATCCAGTACGCGTACGCGGTGCTCACCATGCTACCGTGCCCGCTATGGTTCTACAGCCGCTGGATGTCTGGTGTCTTCCTCATGGTCGTCTTTACGTGGAGTATCTACAACGGATCCACCTTCTATATTGACGTGTTTGGGAAGCGATTTCAGAAGGAGCTCGAGAGCCTCAAGGCCGAGGTGGCCCAGTGGCAGAATAACCCTGAGCACATGCTCTCTTCGCCGGTTATCACGCCACAACTCGACGCGGACGGGGCGAAGCAGATTGGTGCCATGGGTGAGGTCAAGCTGGGCGATCCCGCAGGAAGCCTCGGCGGACGTGATCCTGCCCCAATCGATGAACGCACCATCGAGGAGCATGCGTTCAACTCAGGCGTCACGGCTACCGGCATTGATGGCGGCGCCATGGATGTCGCTAGGGAGAGGAAGTAAGAGGATTTTGCACGTGGCTTGTCGTCACTATTACACGAAGTCGGTCTACCACCCTAAGCATTGGTCTCCGCAGGGTGATTGTCAAAGATACATGAGATGGCCGAGCCCGACCGACTGGCTTTTATCGCAGAATATTCTGGCGCGATTGAGGCTTGTGCTTCTGTCCTGAAATTGCGAATACCGGGATGGGTTGCGTCGTCTCGTGTTACAGTCGAGGCGGTTTCTGTTTTTTTATACGTCGTTTTTTGCTACATGTTCACGAGTTATGTCATCTTCCGCCTTTTACCGCGGTGTCAACAACCACCACAATCAGGCACGCGCATCACGACCAAACACACCCCTGGTGTGCAGAGCTACATTATGATGAAATTGATACCCCCGCATGTTTTCCGAGAGCAGAGACACCAGGAGGGAAGAAGGAGAGGAGAAGGAGGAGATCTATGCAGCCAGTCCCTATAATGAATCTATTCCACACACTCTAATTATGCTAATCATGCCACATAATAACCTCTTGCTCCCGGCACCGGTGGTGCCTATTGTGCTCCGTGGGACAATGTACAAAGGCAGTTGTTGCAGCAAGTCGTCCAAGTCTGTCTCTGCTCGCTTGAGCTCCTCAAGACAGACGTATCCTTTGCTCTTACATGCTATTATGACAACGCAGTCTCATTTCTATGGACTTGGTCTTGGAAAAAAGAGTGACAACAACAAACTCCATCGACAAAAGACAAGACAGAGGAGCTTCTGCTGTGAACTCTTGGCGGCCTGGCCTGGGAAAACGGACAAGGTACTCCTCTCTCACTCACTCTCTCTTATCCTTGTACATGAACGAGATCTTTTTCGGGATACTTTATAGAGCGCAGCAGCAGCAGCAGGACATAGCCTGTGTTGGTTTTGGTTCATAAAAAACAGGACGGAGGCGGTAGTCCATCAGGCTCCCTCTTCCCTCACCTCCCTCGCTCCCCCTTCCCCCCATGCGCCTCTTCTCCCCATCCCTAAGGAGACAAAATGCCACGAATACTCGGCCTTTTCCAAACTCCCTTTGCGTGCAAAGAACAGAGTGCGGGTGGGAAAGGTTCCGCGTTTCAACTCCTCCTTCACAGCCAGGAAGGTCAGGAACGAGGTAGGTCATACGCAAAGAACATCGGCAAAGACACCAAAACACTTCCGCGTGGTTGACCAGTCACACACATACACACACAAAGCAACGGGGTCTGTACACACTAGTTGGGTGGAAATGGTTCAAGATGTCATTCATGTCTCTGCAGAAGTGTGAATAAGGCGGCCGTGAAGAGGAGCTCTCTAGCACCTGTTCTCCTCGCTGGGAGGTAATGAAAAGACGAGGAGAAGAAAGACGAAGAGAAATGTGAAGTAGGTACACACGAGGAATGACCACCACACAAAAGACTCGTAGAAATCATTCCCGCTTCAACCGAAACAGCCCGGACAAGAAAGTAAGATGGAAAACGAAGGATATGGGAAAATCATGACATGAACAACACTTGAGAGGTTTCCTATTTGACTGACTGGACCAGTAGTGGTAAGATACCGAGGAACTTGGTTGAAAGCGTGCTCTCCAAGCAGCTCGAGATGGGGAGGAAAATAGCAAAAGACGTCAATTCGTTACTGTCTTTTCTCAGAATACTGAGATGATGAGGTCGTGATATGGTATAGATGTGTGATATGCCCTCCCAGGAAGGAAACCCGGAACGCCGTCCGTAACTCCTGTAAATGAGAATACAAAACAATGATGAATGAGACTTCGGCCACGCAGCAATCATGACGTCCGTGGACGTCACTGGCTCGCTATGCCGAAATCACCATTGCGAGCAGCCGCCAGCGATGGGGCCCATACTTCTAGTATGTGTCGACGTACTCCGACCGGAAAGTGGGAGCGTGCTGCAAGGGTGAATACTTGATTTCGTCCTCGGCGTAGGTTGGAGAGTACCGAACCTTCATGGCAGGTTGCGCTGGATAGCCGTCGTACAAACCGGCCGGCTCCATCCGGGCGGACGTGTTGGCCGTGTGGTAACTTGACTTGGAAGACTTCTGCCGCGGAATGTCTTCGTGGGAGACTTGGCGCGTAGAAGTCTTGCCAGGATCGACGGCGTAACGGAAAGTCCGCTCAGTAGGCTCGGGGGACCGATGCTTGCTTCTGCGATGGCGACGACCGCCGTCAGAGTCTTCGTCGTCGTCTGAGTAGTGGGTCCGTCGGTGCCGCGTCGGACTTCGGTCCCGAGCATACTCGGCTGTCCGGGTGTCCATGAAGGTGTGAGCTCGAGTCATTGCCGGCATACTTGGCCGGACAGTATACTCTGTATGCGACCGTCCAGGATGCACACGAGCGTGGTACTCGGGTGGCATGGTGTGCGACTTTTGGAGCGAGGGCGCGCCACGTGGGATGTAGTCAATGCCAGCAGGGTCTCGCGAAGAGCCTCGGGCGCTCTTCTTGGCCGAGGACGACTTATCTGTTCGGCGACTTCCGCTCTTGGTAGCGGATGAACGATGAACAGCTTCGTCCTCTTCGTATTGCGGTGGAGGCGGCGGTGCGTGAGGACCGGCAGGAGGAGGTGGTGGTGTGGGAGCTGCCATGGGGATTGCATGTCTCGCCTGGAAGTGCTCAGTCGCCTGTGGCTTGGCGGGGCGGTTATTCAGTGAGATTCTCGCGCCGGACCGCTCGAGGTAATCGGTAGCAATGTCCATGTTCTCCGAGTACTTCCTCTCACGCTCCGACGTCACCACGGGGATGACCTTCTCCCGCGTGCCAGACGTCTTCCTCGTGGTCCGGTAAGCGTCGTCTGAGTCGCTATCTGACGAATAGGTCGCGTACGTTGTGGTCCGCGCGGACGACTTCTGCTGTTGAGTCTTGTACTCGGCATCCTTCTTGCGAGTTTGTTCGACCTTCTTCTTCTTCTCCTTGCGCTCTTTCTCCTCTCGTTCCTTGCGCTCTTCCTTCTCCTTTCTCCTCTCCTTCTCTCTCCGCTCTGCATCCTTCTTGTCCCGCTTCTCCTTGTCTTCTTTCCGAGACTTCTCTTCGCGTTCTCGCTTGTCTTCCTTCTTGCTCTTGCGCTCGTACTTGTCCTCCCGCTCTTCTCTCGAGGTGCGCTTCTCCCAGTCTGACTTGGGGGCGCGCTCATAGCTGGCTGTTTTTCTGGGCGGGTGGTGATCGTAGATTGGGACGGTAAACTCCTCGTATGATCGGCTAGGTGGTGTGCCGGCCGCATACGTCTTGGAAGAGGGTGAGGCAAAGGTAGAGGGCCTCGGCTCTGCCGTGTAGACGCGCGCGCCATTGTAATACTCGGGTTCCCGCTCGCGCCTCGAAGAGCGAGGCTGGGCGGTTGACGAGGTCGACATCCTGCTCATTTCCTTCTGCAGCTCGTTGAGCTTGTACATGTCGTCGTACTTGTTCTTCTCGGTCTCGTTGGAAAGCAGCTCGTAAGCCTGCTGAACCTTCTGGAACTCATCTTGCTTCTGCTGCTTGAGCAGCGGGTCTTGGATCTTGTCTGGATGGCACTTGAGAACGAGCTTCCGATACGCGGTGCGGATTTCGCCAAGCTGGGCTTCTCTCGAGACTCCGAGAGCCAAGTAGGGGTCGGGCGGGAGGGTCAGCATGGTGAAAGACCGGCTCTGACGATGCTGAAATTCGGGGGGGTTAAAGGCTTGAATCTGGCCCAGGCGGATCTTCTTGCGAAGTGCGAGTTAAAAGAGGCACGGGTGCTAAATGCAATGCCGCAATCGAGGAGTCCAGCAACGGGCGGCGAGGTGTTGAAGCGAAGTCGAGTACAGATTGGCAAGAGAGACGATTTGAGATTGGTGGTTCCGATTGAGGGATGCTGGCAGCAGAACACGGAAAGGGGTGGTCGTAGTGAGCCGGCTGCCAGATTCAACAAAGAACTGGCGGAGGACGAAGTGGGCGGAGGCCGGCGTCGTCAAGACCGGGGAGGAGGCCGTCGTGCGGGATGGGCGGCCGAGGCGGAAAGGGTGGCGGGTGAGGAGGGAGAGAGGTTTTGGTGCCGTAGCGTGTGGTTGTGAGGTGGTTGTGGTTTGATGAGGTCACGAAGGACACATGGCCGGGCAAGCAAGCGGCGGGAGGGGAAGGGCCCGGGGCGCGAGGCTTGACGTCTCTCTTAAAGGGAATCAGGCTTTCTCGTCGAACAGGGCAGCACTGGGACAGGGCAAGGCCGGGCGGGAGGAGGAGCAGGAGGGTCGGGTGGTGGGTGCCCTGTCAGTGCCAGTGCAGAGCCAGAGCCAGAGCCCAGAGGGGGGCGATGGCTTCGGCCGCCCAGCAGACGCCCGCTGGGGCCATCGGGCAGGGGATCGCCAGGCCTGGCGTGAGCAAGAGGGGCGGGCCCATGCCATCCCATGCCATCCCATGCCACTCCACTGGTGGCTGGTTCGCTGGCGTGGGGTGGCCCGAGGGGCCCAGGTAGCCCGTGCTGCGAGGCGACCTGCCCCTGGGTGGCGAACTCGCGGGCAGGCCGGGTACTCTGCTAGCCAGAGCGACTAGTGGCCACGTCCTGGCACAGCCGGTGCTTGGCTGCGCGCGAGCGAGCACGAGCGAGATGGGGCCCGTCGGCCACTTTGAGCTGCCCGCCCCGCCCGGCCCACGACGATGCCCGCCCGTGACGACGTAGCTTGTCCTCCTGCCAGGCTTGCCGCCTCGACTCTCCAGCCCAGGTGTCCAGCTGCCTCCGTCACGCTCGCTCCCAGCAGCCGTTTCCATGCAGCAGCGACTTCAAGCGGCAAGTCCGTCTCCGTCCGCGCGTCCCGAATGCTGGGCCACACCAGCTCTGTCAGCTGAGTGATGCGAGCTCGTCCGGTGCGCAGGGCCACCAACTTGACAGTCATGGTTGCTGACGTGAAGCCGCACAATCAAAAGTCTGGCGGGCCAGTCCTCTGGCTGGTTTGCGGCCAGTGGCCTGTCGATCCTGCCCCGTCCATCTCCACGCTTCTTCCTGCTTCCAAAAGAACCTTTCCCCCCTTGCCCCTGTGCCTGGACGCTCGCTCGGCACAACCTTCACATAATGACGAGCACAACGACAGCGGCACAAGGGCCTATCCTTAGATAAGCACCGTCCTCAGTCAGCGTCCCAGATCCTCGCCAGCACTCGTTGATTGAGCTTCCTGCTCGACTCGCATGGGCTTGCTAAGAGATGACTGTTCAAAGTGGCGAGCTGAGCACAAACACAAACGAGGCTCAGCCCTTTTCACGTGAGCATGGCCCGCTCGTCCACTCACTCAGTGACCAAGCAACTATCGGTGCGGAGTCGTACACGTCCTCCAAGCCCAGGTGCCCAAGGACCTCAGCAGCCCCTGTCAAGACCCCGTGCTCGCACGACTCTTGGGCCAGATACGATCGTACCCAGCAACGGCTGTAAGAGGCAGCCAGAGGACTGCCGGGTTTTGGCTTGTGGCACGACGAGACGCAGTAGCACCATCACGAAGTCGAGCTTTCAACGCGGCAATATCCGCTTCGATAGGCATGAACTTTGAGACGCAATGGTAGCACTTCCCACCCAGTTCATTTCAGTCGCTTTCAGTCCCTTACAACTCATGCAACGCCCAAGTCTCGCGTCGTCTTTTGCAGCCGCGGACAGCGCATAGGCCGAAACATTGATGACGGAGCACGGCCATATCTCAAGTAGGCGAGGCCTGCTTTCCACAGGTACCAAGAGCGGTGCATCACCAAGTCGCTAACGCACCTGAATGGAGCCCCGATTCAGTGCTTCGCCTCGCCCGAATTAGTTTCCAGCAGAATGGTACGGAATCAGCTACTGGTCACCCGGTGACCAGACTCTTTACCTGCCCAACCCTGGTTTCGAGATCTTGCGGTCGTCATTGTTTATGTCCAGGAATCGCTGCTCTCGAAAAGTCGGTCGGGCTGTCAACTGGGCGACCAAACCCCGCCTGCAGTGTTGTGGATGATGTTACAGCCATGCTTCAGCACTCGTGATGGGCTCACTTGTTCAACCGGCGGTGAGCTGCATCTCGATAGAATCCCAGTGGAGCGCATTTGGCTCCTGGATCGACGGCCCTCTCTGGGACACACATGCGCACATACAATGGGATTGTTCGCTTTCTTACTAGTGCCTGCAGAAGATTGCCTTGCACTGGGATCTAAGCCCAAATCCGTCTTTGGTGCTCTTGCGAAAGGGGTGGTGGCTCACTAAGTCAATAACAGCGTTCCGCATGGCGACAGCCTTCACAAGTTGACTCGTGGGCGCAGGGGTCCTCTCTGCAGCCTCAGTCCTGCCCCGACACCCATTGCTGAGACCATGACCAAACCAGGAAACACGCCTGGACGATCGGTACAAGGAGAGGGCTTTCCCGCCACCTGGTACGCAAGGTACACCCGATAAAGATCTTGCTGAGGCGAAAGTCCCGAAGTGTCAGAGCAGCTGTCAAGGTTTGCCCCTGCACTGGCATCGATTTGCTGTATGCTATTTTTTTTTTGCCGCTCGCGGGAGGCAAACCTAGGCTTGTCAAACCCAGTCACGCCACCACCACCCGAGCCGGCTAAGACATTGTAGAGGCATTATCCCCGCGTTTGGACCAGCTCGGCGGCTGAGCACCACGCGGCACCCGCCAAATGGGTCAGGCCTCGAATAAGAAGCTCACGGGTCATCACTTAGCGTTGGTGGCGGGGTGCTACGCGTGCTGAGCCCTGATGATCCTCCAGGACCCTCTTGTTTGATGCACATTGGGATTGGATGAGGCTGGATCTGTGCACGATCTTGCGCTTTCAGCTCGACAGAACAAACCAGCCGCGCAAGACAGTCAGCAACAACATGGGTCGTTGTCAACGCAATCGACATCTGATTCCGTTTTTCGTCTGGCGTGTCTTTTGCGATTGACCCTGATCAAGGGCTTGCTGAAGCTGCGATTGGTCTGCTTGGGAATTTCTCTCCAACTGGAGCCGATTGATGTCAACAACCAATTAGCACCATCTTCGGAGAGTCTCGGGTCTAGTCGTTCTCCCACTCGCAATGCACCAAGGGACATTGTCGCTGTATGCTTCAGGCTTCCAACGGGTTCTTGCCCCTTTTAGAAGGGCAGATCCGCTCCCGCAGCTACAAAGTCGATATCAGGTCGCAAATGGCGGCAGCTGAAAGGAGAGCCACCTGCAGTGAGCACCGGACCAAGCCTTTACCCCACTCCATCAGCTTCCGCTCACCATTGGTGATGCCGCTAATGCTTCACTGATTCGCCCTGTCCGCCTCATCAGTTTGGGCACCCATCGAGTTGAGGGTCTGAGCCAGTGACGAGCCGGGTATGGCTTCGCGGACTTCGGCTTGCTTTCCAAGTTGAAATCGGATGATGCAAGCAGGTCCAGCAGCTTCGTGGCATGCCTGTGGAAGGAAGCTTGTGGCTTGAAGGACCTCCTCTTGTCAGAGCAACCAGGGCCGATTGAGCTGTGAGGGGTCATCTATTGCTCCACCACCAGAGTGGGGGAGCAAGCCTCCTGCCCATGCTCATGATGCTTTGCCTCAACGACCGGGTCCTGCAGTCCTTCAAGCGACGGTTTGTAAGTAGCACAGGGACCGGAGGGCCCTGCATTGTCGTCCCTGTCTCAAGGCCTCCGATAGGGAGCAGCCTCAACTGCGTTTCCATGGCAATGAGAGCGAAACGAGGGCAGCACGAGCAGAGCTGGGGATGGAAGTGCCGGAATAGGCGGTGTGGTTCTCAGGTGAGTATCAGCATCACCGATCTGACCCGGCTGGCGCACATATGATACTCTTCATCCAGTGAACACACCAACTGGCGCTTCTTGATTCGACAATTGCCTGCTTGATGGGGTCCAGCAATTGCTTGGGGACGCCGGGCGGCCCATATACGACTCTTGCCGCACCCACCTGGCCGCCCTACAGGCCAAAGTCCCCGACTTCAAGCCCGCGGAATAGCAAGCGCTTCTCCTGCCACAATAGCAACGATGACGATCCAAATGAACAATCTGACCTGTCTTCCACGGACACGATGATCCGTCACATCAAGCACACGCCTGCAGAGGGGAAGAGGTGGCCCGCACTATTGGGACAATCAATTGCTTAAAGCACATGGAGCAGGCTGGCTGGCTTGCATGGATGTGAGCGAACATCGATGGGCCAAGGGAGCAGCAGACGGCCAACGAGGACAGTGAACGTGGCCCCGTCTCGGATGTGACCAAGGAGAAGTGCAGCAAACCTGCGGGCGTTGCAGGTGCGCTATATCTGTTGCATGACTTGTTGGTGCATGGAGCTCGGCAGGCTCTTCCAGTTTGGAGGGCATCGAGTGGAGGGGAGTATCCGTCGTTTAGAAGGCCGCCTCGTCGACGCACCCTAGCACAGGAGCAACAGGACAAGTACTCGGTATGATCAATGGGCTTCATCATGGATGTGCGACTCGGACAGGATGGCGACTTTTGCCTCTGTCGTCCGATTATTGACCATTCTCGCCTCTATCCTCGCGGCCTGTGTCTTTGTCGTTGGGCAGAGTTTCTGGCGCTGACTCTGCAACGAAAACGGGTGGCGCAGAACCGGCCAAGAACACGACTAGGGAGGCGGACTAGCAAGGACGCTAGCACAATTAGCCCGGCTTTAGCAAGCGTCGCTAGTATGGAATTCAGACGGCCTCGTGGGTTTTGAGCCAAGCTAGCAAGCTGGGACCTCCTTTGTTCTGGCTTGACGGGGCGGGACGAGGCGGGACGAGGCGACAACGACAGCGAAGGACCCTCCCTGGCATCTTTGTCGACTTGCCGACTGCTGAGTGTGTGCCGTGATCAGTGATCACTTGTCAGGTCGGGATCAGCTGTGTCGCATTGCACAGCATGCCCAGAGAGAGGCGACCACTTGCTGTCTTACTGTCGCGCTCAACGGTGCTAGTCAGGCGTTGCAGCCAGTGGACGCCATGACTGGCTGTGGCGGCAGATCAGTGTCAAGGACCCGGCGATCAGACATGTCGTCGCCGTGGGGCTCGATTGGGCGCGGGTTGCTCATCAGATGACTAGAGACGGCACCACAAGCAGCATCCCCCAACCATCGCTAGCCGATCGACCAGATCAGATCTTGGGAGGTGACGGGGCAGGCGTTGCTCGTTTTCTCTCTTTCAAGCGTCAACCTGCTGTTCTCCCAGACACGAGAGGCAGCTGACTCTCCAGATCAATGGCTGATAGCGTGTCAGCTGGGCGGCTGCGCTGCCTGCGCGCCGTCTTTTGTCTTTGCCAATGACCCCACGACCCTTTCAGACGACGACAGCCAATGCTACCCCGCCATCGCAAGAGCTGCCGTTGCAGCACAAGCATGCCGTTGCGCATCTGCCCGCCTTGCTTTCTTTTTCTTTTCTGCTTGCCTGGGCGAAGCGTTGCGATCCAGGCCGCCCCACACAGGCGCCACATGCCTGCTGCTGCAGATGCAGATGCAGTGCGTGGTGCGTCGTGTGTGGTGGTGCAGTCTTGGCCATCACACCAAGAGCCCATGTCCATGTCACCCAGCAAGGCACACACACACACACACACACACACACACACACACACACACCCGACGATGCTCCTGTTCGTTCGCTATGCAAGGCCGCTGCCGCTGCTGGCCCAGGGACCTTCCATGCCGCACAACTCTGTCTGCATAACACATGGGCATATCGTATCCACTGCTCCCCCCAGCGGTGAGATCCGACTCAACTGTGTGTGCCCCGCGCGGTACAGGTCTGGTCTCATCAGCATTTCCACATCTCCGATCTCCGATGTTGAGAATGGGCACGCACAGAAACGAGTGGGAGTGAGAGAGAGGGCGGGGAGAGACCAGCCACGGCGGTTCCCTATCGCGCAACCATCTTACGAGTCTGACAGGCGAGGCGAGGCAGAGGGCATTGTGGTAGGATGCTCAGAAGGGCGGAGGCACGAAAGATGCACAAAAATGCGCCCCGCCTCCTCAAGCGCCAGGGCCTGGACGGCGCTGGCTGGCTGGCTGGCTGTCAGATCCCAAAAGATCATCCCGCAGTCTATCACTCCTGGACCCCCCAAAAGTCAGAATCACCACCAACCAGTCAGAGTCCAGCTCGAGGGACAGCTGCTGCGTTAGATGCGTTAGGTGCGTTGCGTTGCCCTTTTTCCCCCCTGCGCCCCTTTTCGCTGCGCGGATCACCCGCCGTCGCCGCCGGGACTGCAGGAGCCGGAAGCGAGCCATCCAGAACACACAGCACAAAAACTCTACCCCAGAGCGCTTGGGAGTCTCGTCTAAGTGGACAACTGCCGCTCGCAAGGAGGGGGGGATTGCACCAGTAATTGGTGCCCATCCGCTTTCTTGTCTCTCCACGTATGCGTGCGTCCATCCTGGCTTGTCTCCTCGGTTCTGGTGTCAGTGCCAACTTCTGCAGTTCCGTTGTCTTCGTCGTCGTCGTCGTCGTCGTATGGGAGGGTGCTCCGTGCTTGATGCCCCGTGCTGGAGCCAGTGAGAGGGAGGCGATCATCGGCTTCGTGGCGTCCCAATGAATCGTCTTGGGTCTTCTTTTCCGTTTACTTTGACTCCTGCAGCGGCGACCCGTCTGCGTGGCATTTGTCACTACTCCTCCCTGTGGCACCCTTTGAGTGTGTGTGTGTCGAGGGCTTGAGTAAGCCGTGCAGATCCGCCACACTTTGGTTGGTTGGGGATCTTTGTGTGTGCGCGCAACGTTTGATGTGCTTTCACTGGCGTCCAGCGTGTATTGCCTGTCAGGAGCGAACGCCCCTTGATTGTACGTACCTTACCTTTTTCATGCGTTATTGGGCCCTTGTCTTTGTTTGTCCAGTCGGATAGTGCCCTAGGTTATCTGCACAAAGAACTAAAAAAGAAGACCATGGACCGTCCACGAGATGGGATTCGCGGGCGAAGCGTGCCGTGTCATTGGCTCCCGAGTGTATCCAAGACAGTTGTGTGTGTCTGTATTTGCAGGTGGTCTTCCATTACGGTACTGAAGCACAGTCTTACTATACTCGCGCCATTATTGCCACTTTTCTCTGCTCCGCGTGACCAGGGGCTTGGGGCTTCTTGCCAGTCGAGCAAGAAGCAGACTAGAGGGATCAATATGATGGTGGTGGTGGTGGTGGTGTTGTTGTTGTTGTTGAGCGAGAACTCGTAAGCGCGCAATGGACAAATATGAAAATGCTAGTCTCGCCATGCGCCTGACAGAGACAAAATCATTGAACGTCGTGACCTTCACAGACTATACCCATATACACCTAGGGACATTATCTACAGGCAAAGGATCATTTGTGTGCCCCCTTTTCCCCCTGGTCAAGAAATACTCCGAAGTGCCGGCTTTGTGTATTGACACACACAAAAAAGAAAAGAAAAAAACACAGGTAGTGATCCGGGACGGACAAGCAGGTCGCACAGGTGCGTGTTAGCCAGCCCGTATTGTTCCACCCAAGGCATTCAGCTTAATTATGGTATGGCACACCTCACGTCCACGGCACGGCACGGCAGCAAGGAGATAAGAAGACTTCCAACACACACACAATTGATAGCCCATCCATCCGTTACACACATCTCTGTCAGACGTTGGGGGGAAAGAGAAAAGGAATGAGTACCCGTCTTTTTCAGGGGTAATACCACTACATAGAGAGTGTCAGCTGTTCTCAAAGGGGAGACAAAGAAAAAGGAAAAGACGGGAAAGGTTGGTGAACACATTGCATGGGAAGAAACACTCAACGGTGCTGCATCTTGCTTTGCTGCGTGTCTTGGATTTGCTTTTTGGCTGCTGCTGCTGCTGATGCCTCTGGCTCGAAAATGCTCCTGCTTATGGCAATGTTGGCAATGTTGGCACATTGCCGTCCATGTTCATGCTTTTTCCCCCCCTTTGGCGAGTGGGACTTTTCTCGGATAGTCACGACAGCAGCCGTTTCGCGGCGATCGAGAGAGAGAGACTGGCGAGACTCGAATAATCTCCCTTTGTAATTGTGTCGGACCGTCCCTGGTCATGCGATCGACCAACAAATTCCGGATCAGCCTGTGGATTACAGATAACTATCGCATGGAATAAATTAAGGGATGGCCGGCATTTCTCCCTCCCACGATTTTTTCGGGGTCTGACCCGCGCGTCCTCCTTGGCATAGGACTTGTTTCGAGCCGGGGTTGTCGTTTGAGGATCAGAGAAGGGTTTGGCCTGGAAGTCTTGCGTTTTTTTTTATGGTGAGTGGTGGTGGTTGGGGGCAAGAATCAATCTTGTTGTTCGCACTCTTGTTGTTAGTTTGATTTCAGGCTCTCGAGGGTGACAGAACTCGGAGGTTGAGGGCCAACAGATTGGAGGGCCATGCGCCGAGGAGTTCTCAAATGGGGGGACATCGGCGTTGAACGAGGTCAGGCTCATCAAAGCCCGGCACCACGACGAAGGTCAGGCTTTTTTTCCTTGTTCAAAAAAGTCCGCCAGTGGTGGCATCCACGACGGGAAAAGGCGGCGATCTGCTACGACACGGGATATGGAGAAGGGGGATATTATGGTGGTGTGTGGCCTAGTAGTAATTTTGTATAGAATCAGGAAAACGAGGTGGTGTGTACGTGATAGTAAGTCTGGTTGAGCAAGGGGCTCGGCTGGTCGGACTGGGGATTTTCTTTTTTCTTTTCGTCGTCCAGTCGCAGACAAATTCTTTTCGGGAGTTGTGATATTGGTCCCGCGGGGCAGAGTAGACCGTATTATTGCAAGAGTGTGCTGGTTGTGACCGCTTTGCTTCACCGCGCCAGATGCTGCTGCATGGTGATCATCGGAGATCAGAGAGGCGAACTTGCCAGATCATGGACAATCAACATGACAGGTTAAAAACAGATACCAAAAAAGTAGAATGTGGTATGGCCAAATAGTATACATTATTCGTAACGTGCGCGCTCAACGGACAAAAAAGCGCTCCATGTCAAAGGGGATGCATAGCAGTGAACTAGTTCCGCAATCTGATCATCAATAAATGTGAAGATTCTCACCAGAAGGAAGTTACGAGCTGGGCACTTGCTGATTCAATCAATCAACACTGCCTTGGCCAGCGCAAAGCCGTGTACCTTGACTTGTGCGTGGACTGATTCTTCCAAGGTGTTGTGTTGTAGTCACATCGTGGATATTAGAAGTCATGGCAGAACATCCCTCTATGCTTCTTGCTTGTTATTCCGTGTTCTTGGAGCGTAAATTCTGCTCGTGGACTCGACCAAAAAAGTTCTCGATATATTGCAGGGCCCGCCAGTAGACCGTCGCTGTGCCTTCCACTACGGTCAGATACCATTGTTCCGCCTTGTATACATTAATGTACAAAAATACCCACTGCCTTGGCTGCTTCCTTTCCGGCGCCTCCGTGGTACTTGGACACGATCGACTGCCGTTCCACAGCAGCCAAAGGACTATCTAGAAACGTCTTGAGACCCCCCCAAGGCGGTATGTTTCTTATATGACGTGCTTCCGGACCTCGAACTCCTGTTTTCCTCGTCATTTATCGCATTGGGACTTTGCTGGATGAATCGCCACGTAACAGAACAGAGCTGCCAATAATCCGCTGTTGTGAATATTACCTGGTCTCTGGATGGCCTTAAAAGGGTCATGGGTATTGTATAAACTGACAAATATCTTTCAATTATTTCACAGGGCAGCACGCAACTTGCCAGGCCAATATTGTGAGCTCGCCAGATCGTGGTTGACCGAGGGCTTTGGTTACGAATCATTGTGAGCTGAACGATGCTATAGTATGAGGCCATCCGTCCAGCGTATCGGACTCGTATGCAATTGATGTGAGCCACGCAATATGCAATATCAGGCAACCTTCTCAATTCCAGAACCAGGAGCGGTTACTAAAGGCTCGTCGAGCTTGTTTGAAATTGGCCGGTTTTGCTCTATTCTACTCGCATACAGGCAAATCGATGTCAACCACAATAGGCTTCATCAGCCGCCGTGGGCCTCGATGTGGGTAAGACCCCGACATGACGGCGCAGTTTACGATGCACGTCTCTGCTCGGCCTAACCTTCCTACCAAGGCGGGTTGGTCGCTCCGTGGCGAGGACGGATTCCCACCAAGCCCTTCCACACCGAGACCTGGGACCGCCACGCCACCACCACAACCAACAGCGGCAGCAATATCTTCAGCGGCACATGAACCTGGCTGTCCAGTAGTTTGCGTTCCCGATAGAGTTGCCCGACTTCCATCATTGTCTAAAGGCCTGCCGCCCTTTCTGGTCAGATCGACCAGGCAGATCTTGTTATTGCCAGCCCCCGGATCTTCCCAGAGTTCAGGTGCCGCCTTCTCTTTGAACTTGACGTTTGGGTTGTCCAGGTCCCACCGCACGCGCTCAGCACCACGACCCTCATGGATGTGACCGCAGACAGCGAATCGCGGGCGGACGCGCCACATGGCTTGCCTTAGGGCCTCGCAACCTGCAGGACCACCGCCGGAACCGTCTTGGCGGAGGTACTGCTCGTCTCTGTGGGTGCGCGCTGGGCCATGGGTGATGAGGATGTCCGTGTTGAGGGGAATATCTTGCCATATCCTGCGTCCGAGGTTGATGTCGCCGGCTTGGTACTGGAAGGCCCATTGGCCCGTCGACGTGCTCATCTTGGGCGTGTAGGGCGAGCCAAAGACTGAGAAGGTTGTTCGTGGGCCAGTTGGTGATGTGAGAGTTATCCTTGTGCTTGAGTGGTTGAGATATGTGATTCCAGGGGTGCCAAGAATGAGTCTCTCGCAGTCCTCTGGAGATTGGGGGTTGGTGTTGTGGTGGTAAAGGCCGTGCTCGGCGTAGAAGCCGCCATCTAGGGTCAGATCGTGGTTGCCTGCGACGACAATCTTGCACTCAAAGGTTTGCTTGGCCAGCCAGGCGAGCTGCTTCGACAGCTGGACGACGGGGAATATAGTCAGCGGCAGGCGATGGAACAGCCTCACTCGAGAATAACCAACCTCACTGTAGCTGCCCGTGTTGGTGAGGTCGCCAGAGTGAATGAGGACATCACCACTGGGCAACTTGACGGTAGCGTTGTGTGTATCCGACACGCAGACGAAGCGCGTCCGCCGGGTCCTGGGTGAAGCATCCATCGTGACTCGCCGCAGCAGTGAGTGGTACATATGACGAATTCTGAAGATATTGCTGCTGCTTAAGGCATGTTTGGGTGATGTACTGCTCGAGGCGCCTTACCCGTCCAGGCCACCCTGGAAACACCGCGACACATTGCTCGCTCGAGTGCTCATGTCGAAGTTGTCACGTCTCTACCAACATTTTTGATAGCTGCTGTATCGTCTACCCTGACCTAGCTTCGATAGCAAGGGATGGTGCTGCAGATTTTGGGAGGCAATGGCCAGGTGAGATCTAGGCAGGCAGTGCAAGTTATGGAACCCCCACCTGGCCTGGAAGGAGCTCTCTATCACGGCAAAATGGCAGGCAGGTAGACTGGATCTCCGCTTGGAACGCACGACCCTGTCCGACGTCGTCCGATGTCACCGTCTCTTTCTGCGCACCTGCAAGACACCTCGGCCTCCGCATAAGAGTACGTGCGCGTCCGAATGCATAGATCCAGGCACGTTGTGGGGGTCATGCTAAGCATGAACAAGAGCAAGATGGATGTCCCTGGTCGTTGTACGTGCGTGCGTGCGAGGCGTGGCCAAAGGGTCATACTGGATCGTGCCTCTTGGTGCAATCCGCAGATTCCCATTTCCATTCCCAAGCGACAGCACAGCACACACGAAGCTCACGCTCACGTCCAAGACGACTCGGTCGACGGGCAATCCTTGACCCATCATCCCAGAAGCCACCCAAGTGACTGGTAACCAGGCCGGGAGTTGTCCTGCCTGTGCCAGCCCTGGCCGGGAGGCCGACGCGTGACGAGACTGGGCAGGCCCCACGCGTTGTGCAGGGCCAGGGACATTGCGTTTAATTCAACGGTGGAAAAGAGGGCCAGTAGACGCGGTCGCGGCCCTGTCGAGTGGGCGGGCCGGCCGGGGGTCACCCAGGCTCGAGGCTAACGTGATTGAAGCCTCACCATCCCTGGCCGTGGAAAAAGTGCAGGGCGACGTTGTCAACAGCCAGCGAGTGCAACGCAGCGAAACAAGGCCCACGGCTATACGTGCTATGGCGATGATGAGCAAGTGATGGCAGGACTCGAGTCTATGCCCGAATGCACGACGCCTGCTGTATTTATGTGCCTGCTGGTGATGCGGCTGCGGACTCTTATCATCAGGGCGATTGAATCTCTCTCTCTCTCCAAGACGGAACGGCCAGAGATACGCAAGTGACTGCTCGCCCTGCCAACCCCCTGCCCGCAGGCGCCAGAGACCCTGCATCCAATTAGCCCAGCACACGGCTCGCCTTCACCGGCACACCTGCGCGCTCCCGCTCCACGTCCTCCAAACTTGTCCGCCCCCGTCTGGTCTTGCTGCTTCACGATCCGTCCTCTCCTTTCCTGCCGCCGCCCGCACGCTTGCCCGCGCCGCCTTGCTCCCTCGCCACCACTACTCGACTCCCGCCGTCCGCGACCATCTCCGCCTGCCTCATTGACGTCCTCACGTCCTCTGCACAACAACCTCCCCTTCTGTACCGCAACTGCGCCTCCCTCCCTTCGCTCGGCCCAGCCACCTTCCCTCCGCTGGTCAAGCCTGCCCATCTCGACGCACGACGAGCACCCGCGGGCTTTTCCCCCCTCCCTCTCTCTCTCATCCTCTCTCTCTCTCTCTCTCTCGCCTTAGCTTTCAGGCGAGCCGTGCTGGTCACCACCTAGCCTCTGATATAATTCACCACAACAAAGCCTTCCGCTACATCCGCCGAGACCCTTGTGGCCGCAACAAGAGATTGGCGTGGCACGAAAATCCAATCGTCCACGTGTGCAACCACCAGCTCGGAGCTGACCTCGAAACGGTGCCCACACGGTCGATTCTGTCTCACTTGACTCGATAGACAGTCCCCGCACCGCTCCACGCCCACTGTCTCACCACTTCACCGTCATTGTCGCCAAACACCACCTCGGAACTGACCTCATAACTCGACAGCCCCGTATCCACTGCTCACGGGTCGCGCTTTCTGCCGGCCAATTTATTTGCCGACAGTCTGCGCGGCTAGTCCATGTCTAGACTCCGAATTGAGCGTCTGGCCAAAACTACAGGGCTGTTCTAAGCTGTCAAAACAGTTAGGCGTAGCTAGGGCAAGATGCGCAATGATTATGAGGACGCAGCCCACCTGAACGGGTCGTCTCACGACTCGGCGGTGTACACTGGAGGCCAGGTCGAGTACGATCCGTACCGGGGAAGCGAGTACGGTGCGCTAAAAGGTGCGTAGCTGAGATGATGTTAACGGGCATATTCAAATTCTCGCTCATGTTGAACTCAACCAAGTCCTTTCCACAAGTGGACTGGCCCTTGCTAACGCTGAGTAGAGAACCAACCTCGGACAACACGGTCTGCCTCGGTTGCGGACAGCAAGCGCCCGGCCACGGAGCGTACTCAATCGGGCGACGTAGCAGAGCACTCGAAATGGATTCATCGGGACAAGTTGGCGAAGATCGAGAGCGAAGAGCTGCAGGCAGCTGGAATCGTGTTACCTAGGGTCAGAGCACCCAGTCGGCCTCGACGGGATCGAAGCCAAGACAAGGCAAGCCTCCAGAGGCGCGATACCGACAACTCTCTGCATAGCCACACACGCCCAACCTCTCGCAAGAACTCGGTTCAGTCGGACTGGACGCCGGAGGTCGAGGTGCCAAGCTGGGATCTGCGTCTGCCCGACGAGATCGCAGAGGATGCTAACGAGCAGTACTGGATTCAGGGCGGCACTGGTAAAAGCTCGAAAATCCCTGTTGCGAAACTCAGTCCGGCTCCGATACCAGCGGACTTTCTCGACCGTGACGCTCCCATGTCCCGGAAAGCTAGTCACGGAACACTTCTCGACGACGATCAATCCTTCTCCTTGTCTAAAACACGTACTGCTAGCGGCAGCTCGCACCTCATGGACGATTCTCCCAAGGGACAATCCGCGAAGAAGCAAGCAGGGGAGACCTCGCCAAAGAAGGCCGCCCAACCCCGCAAGTCTTCGGGTCCTGCCAAGCCAGTTGCACAGTCCCGGCCCAAGACTAGGTCCGGTTCGACTTCAAATGAAAAGGGTCGCAGCACTTCGACGACGAGGCCAACCACGAGATCAGGCGAGATCCGAGCCCCCGAAGGCGAACCGCCGTGGATGGTATCGGCTTACAAGCCGGACCCTCGCCTGCCACCGGACCAACAACTCCTACCTACTGTTGCGAAGCGCTTGCAGCAGGAGAAATGGGAGTCTGAGGGCAAGTTCGGCAACGTATACGACACAGACTTCCGGCCCCTGAATGAGCACGAGCTTTTGAAGCCCCCGGAGCTGCAGAAGCCCAAGGTCGCTCCGGAAGAGCCCGAGCAAAATCCAGAATGGCCGCTACGGGGAGAGGCTAAGAGTCCCACAATCGGCAGCCGGCCGGGCACAAGTTCATACTCGACCATGCCAAAGATTCAGGACAAGCCCCAGGTCAGCCCAATGCCAAGTCCGCGGATCGGCGCACCTCCTATCCAGCCTCAGCCTCAGCCAACGGCAGAGCAGCGACCGGAGCCGCTGGAAGTTGCGGAGGAGAAGAAGAAGAAGGAAGCGGGCTGTGGCTGCTGCATCGTCATGTAGTTCTGTCGAACGCCTAGGCGCCGTGATGCATACCTGCACACTGCCGCACTTTCGGGTGAGCTTCTGACGATACCGACTACGATGTTTGCGATACTTCTCTTTGGCCGGCTTGTACACAGCTTTGACCGCAGGCACTTTTCATTCATTTCTCAACCTGGCGTTCACGGAGCCATTTTGGGGGGGAGCACGCCCGACGTGACCAAAACAGCGAGGCGTTCAAAGTTCTTTCTTTCTTATACCTCATAGAAGTTTAACCGTGCCTTTGTGCAAAACTGCCGCATTAAAGTTCCTACCAACCTGCAGCGACGGCCTGCCACCGTCGTCCACCACTTACATCACTTCATAATACTCTTTTCTCGTTTGAGATACCACCGGCATAGCGTGCCCTTCTCCTTAGCATCACGCGCAATTACATGATTCCCCGTTGTTTTTATTCCTTCTCGAACATTTTTGGTCGAACTCAAAACAGCCGGCACGTGTTCACATTCGTCATCTCGCCAACATGGAGGCCGTGGACCGAAGGAAAACGGTGATGCGGCAATATCTTCCTCCCCTGTTCGCGATACCCCGGGCGGAGTCGTATCGACTGACCATCGAGCTTCAAATCATCACCGCAAAGTGTTTGGAAGATTCTTGTCGTTTAACCACAAAACCCCACAACACAAACAACAGAACTCGCTTGAGGAACCATTAGCCTACGTCGCTAGCCCCCAGCAGGCGTTTGGGAGTATGTATTGAATATAGCAAAAGTGACCACTCTGACAATGCGACTGACCTTTTTAAAAAGCAAAAACGTGGTGCACAGTGAAGGTCCGGTCCTGATTGCTTCCCATTCCAGATTATGCCCATCACCTTGAAGGAGTGTGGCCACTTTGTTGATTGTGCCCTGTGTCACGTATTCATGCTTGCACTTGCACAGACAGACAGTCACCAACCGGCAGTGTTTGATACCATGTTTTTGTCTAATCTAGAGGCGGACGACGGGCAGGTAATATAAGTGGAGAGAGGTTGACAATGTAAATGATGGATGGGGTATAATAATGAAAAAGAAAACAGAGAAACACAGTATGTGCTAGGACAGCGGTATGGTGGAGTACCACAAAGGATATCTGCAATGAATGTGAGGCAAGGAGGGAAAAAGAGAGGATGCGATGAAATATGTGCACAGCGTCGCGCCGCGCCGTGCCAAGGGACCACCTCTGATATTAAGAATACCGGCCCACGGCAACATCCATCATCCTTCCTTTCCGCTTCTTAGTTATACTCTCTTTTGTATCTATATTATGTGGAAGATCTGTCGTGATTTGGAGGATCAATCGCATATGCAGATCATGTGAAACCCCCTAACTACACTAGACGAGGACGTACAACGAGCAGATCTGCGAAAATGACAGTAGTGTTAGCATTAGACCGTCGAAAGAGGCAAAATACAACAAAGAATGCTCACCAGACTCAGACCCAAAATCATGCTGCACCAGAACAGCACATTATTGGCCGTCTTGTGCTTCCTGACAAAACGAGTGTTCTGGAGCATGACGATGGGCAGCTGCAGCATCTGGCAGATGAAGCCGTAACCTCTCAACTTCTTGGTGATGCAGGCCATGACAATCTCGTGGCCAAACGCCGAGATGAGGAACGTGATCAGAGTCGCCATGTTGCGCCCGATCTTCGGCCGCGATGTATGGTACACGTGCCGCCGCAGGAACCTGTAAACGGGCACGTTCCACTCGCGGCTGAACTCCATCCAGTCGGTGCTATTCCACCAGTCGCTGTAGAAGTGGCGATCGCCGAAACGCGTGATCTCAGCAAAAGCACCAAGGACGTACTCAAAGATGACCAAGAACACGAGGAGGAAGGTGAGCATAAACGGAAAGAGGAGCCAGGAAATAGACTCGGCGAGGATCAGTAGCGTCTCTCCGGCAGAAGGCTTTGCCTGCAGGCGCAGGTTTGAGTCTTGCAAAACCGGCAGGATGAACTCTTCGGAGATGATGGTCAACAAGAAGATGCAGCCAAACGTCGCGACAATCTTGGCGATGAGCGACGTCCAGTTGATCGACTTGGCGCGTGGGTATTCGAGCTCGTAGCAGAGCGTCGGGCAGAGCAGGTAGTCAATATAGTTGGACCACGTCAGGTTCTGTGGGTAAGTGACATTGCCGATCGGGCTCGTAAGTTCGCGCGCCAGATCCTCGCGGAGCTGCGCAAGGCCCTCACCCTCGTCACTGTCGGTGTCGATATCGAGGTCGGCGTGGGGGTGCCCGCCCTGCGGATTCTCGGCGGTGGGGTAATTATACGCCGGAGCCTTGGATGCCGCAGGGCTCTTTGGGTTGTCGAGGGCATGTAGGCGCTTCTCCGTCTCGGAGAGGTGACCAATGTAGAAGGCGTACGAGTGCATCTTCATGAGCAGGACCATGGTGTGCAGGAGGAAGAAGACCTGCGCCGTCCATGTCCACTCGAGTATAAATGGCAGAGCGACCCACAGCGCGAGCCAGGCAACTTGGTAGATGCTCTGAAACGCCATACCAGCCTTGTTCCAGGTCCAGGCGCTCGTGCTGGAGCTGCGACGAGTGAAGTTGTGGAGGGGCAGGCTGATGGCGGTGCTAGCGACCATGAGGAAGTCGGCAATGGCGAGGTGCCAGAGCTTTATGGGAAAGAGCTGCCAGATCTGTATGCGCAGGAGGCTCCCCGTGTCCTTGTAGTTGCGCAGCATGGTCGTGGTGGCCATGATGGCGAGGCCGATCCAGAAGAGGTTGAAGAAGCCATGGAAGTCGCGGTAGTCGGATTCGGGATCAAAGTGCGACACGCGCGAGGCGTACTCGATCGTTGGGAAGATGCGGCCTCGCCGCTCTGCGCGAACCTGCTTGCGCGCAGACGAGATTGCTTTCGTGGACTCGGGGGCGTTTTCTGGTATCGGCGTCGATCGACCACTGTGGCGCGAGTGAGAAGGAGCCGTGTCAGCCAGGGTACATCACAGCAAGACAAGATCCACGGGTAGGAATTGGGTGCGTAGGAGGTGCGAACCTAGTAAGGCCCGAGGCTGGATCTTCTGCCGTGAGCTGCGACGAGGCCGTAGAGCTGAGCTCCTTGACGAGGCCAGATATCTGGGAGTGCTGGGGCTTGCGCGGGCGGGGACGCAGGACATGGTCGTGATTGTTGGCGCCGTTGGAAGGGCGCAGGTCGACGTCGTTCGAGGTCGCCATGGCAGCGGCAGCAGGTGCAAAGGGAGGAATACAAAAAAAGGAGGAGGAGGAGAAGGGACGAAGCCTCAAAGACCGGGCGTAGGGTGAAAGAGGCCGAGGAGAACGAAGATAAGGGAAAGCGCCCAGAGTCAGGGGAGACGAGAAAGCGCTTAGGGACAAAAGATGGTGGTGTGAAGATGCAGGGTGATTTGAGCAAAGGGGACGGGTCCCAAGCAGCGTACGGCCCACGAACCGGCGGCGGACGGAAGCCGAGAAGAAGAGTCTGGAGAATGGCAGGTCTGGCGAAACGGCAGGGACGGCAGTGGGAGGAAGTCGCGAAGGAGGCAAAGTACACTAACGTAGATGCAGTGACGATGCAGGCCCCCAAAAGCCCCCGAAACTCGAGTGGGGCACTCGGGGGCCAGCCTCGGGTGGGTGCCGTTGCCACAGGAGGAGCTCCGGGAGCCACTCAGAGAGAGTCTCATCCTGGACAACAGCGACCTGGAACCTTGCCCCCTTCACCCTAAGGTAGTAAGTAGTACCTTAGGGTAAGTAGTGTACCTTTCTCTCCGCCAGAGTCTCTCGCAACCATAGAGACTGGACTGCAAGCTCCTCTACGCGGTTCCTATCAACCAGAGACAGCAGCTGCAACATGTGCATCGCCGTTTTGTGCTCGTCATCACTGCACTGACTAAAAGCACCATCATGGTTGTTGCCTGAAATACCACAACGACAGACCCATCCGCGAGTAAGCAACCCCAACCGCGGGGCAGCAGTGGGCACGAAATCGGCTCCGGTCCAGGCTACCGCGATTATCACTCGATGACAATGGATGATGTAGCCGCCCCTGTGACGGCCGCCCTATCCCATCCCAATTCCGCCCAACACAGCAACAGCAATTGCCGGTGCAGCCGTCCGGGTCACCTCCTCCCACTCACTCCACTGACCATCTCTGGTCAGATGGGAGGTACTTCAACGTCTCCCTATCCAGGGCAAATAGAACCCGCCGCAGCCGAGCAAAAGCTGCCCGATCGAGACGATGAGGGCGAAGAAGCTCCGGCGGTTCCTGGCATGTCAAGTGTGGACTGAACCGACCCCCATCTCGCGCCGTTTTCCCATAAAGGAACACTCGCCAGGGGTCCTTACTCGCACTCCTGCCCGCAGCAACATGGGCTAATGGGTTCGGCCGAGCTCCGTGACGTCATCCAACTATTTGGAGCTCTCTTCCCTTCTCGGAAAGCACAACGGTCCAGTCGACATGCCCACCACCACCACCACCACCACCACGACAAACGCCGTTGAAAGAGAGCGACCGCCGTCATGGTCGAGCAACAATGCGACCCAGATTACCCCCACATACGCACATGTAGATACCCATGCTGACAGTTGTCGCAGCCAATCAGAGCCTGGGTGCGGTGGTTTGACGTCAAAGACTAATAGTCGGCCTCTGGTCCAGGATGTCTGTGCGCACACGTCGGATGGCCCGTAATCTGACAACCGGGACAGCCTTGGCATATCCAATGGGGATGCGGCCCGAGGGCCTCGGCTCAAAATGACCTGACTTTTTGAGGATGTACGTACATTTTGGAGGTGCAACCAACCAAAACAAATGCCCGCTACTGAGGAGCTTGGCAACATGATTCACAAAGGGCAGCTATTTGCGCCGACATGGGTTTCATTCTTTGGCTCTCTCCATTTCTTCGACTCATATATTGAAAGATAGTTCAGATGCTGCTCACCGCCGCGGACTTCTTACAAGTTTAGCGATAGAGACTTTTCCAAAAGCGTGCTCACACAGTCCTCCCGCATCCGTTGTGCCTTCGCAACCCTCGCGAGATCTCCGCATTGCCGGCACCATTCTTCCAGCTTGCCGAGGTCTTCGAGGAGCAGTGCCTCCGAGTCTGTCCATCGCTCCAGGATCATGATTGCTTGCTCTAGAAAGGATACCGCGAGCTCGAGCTTCGATGGTGTCGACTGTGGTGAATATTGTTGGCTCGGAGAGCTGGCAATAGAGGCAGCTACAGAACTACTCGTCGGCGATACTGGCGACAACGATACACCATACTCCTGAGGTGCCAGGACCTCGACTATGCGCTCCTGAACCCTTTCCTGGTCCCAGAGTGTCTTGTTGAGAGCGGCTAAGCCCTTGTAGGCGTTGTAGGCGTAGTAGCCGCCCTCGAACTGGGGGTCACTGGCGCGCGCGATGATGGACGCACACAACGACGCCACTTCTGGGCTGAGCCAGTTGCTCTGATCACCAACCATGAGCAACTGTAGTGACTCGAAGAACGCTTCCTCTTCGGCCTGCACGCGTTTCATCATGGCAATCTCAAATGCCATCTCCTCAGTCTTGACGGACGAATCAGCGGGCGTTTCGGACGGGGTGGACAATTTTCTCTGAACTCCTCGAAGCTGTGCTAGCCGGCCAATGTCGCATCGCTGCTGGAGACGCCGATATCGCGGGTCGGTCGAACCATCCAGTACGGGAATCTGGAACAGGAAGGGATATAGTTGCGTGACGGTCGACGGAGGAAAGCCAACCTCATTTTCGTCGGAGATCAGGATGTGGTCGATGCAATCGGTCAGAAATTCTTGCCGCTCCGCCAGCCCGACCTGGTCGCCATCGAAGAGCTTCTCGATATTCTCCAGCAACGGCTTGATGGGCCCCGTGGCCTGGATAGCTCGGGCGTAGCCCGAGAGGTATCTCCAAGTTTCTTTTCCGATACCTGGACTACGCATGCGCTGTAGGTTTGTGACAAGGTGGCAGAAGCCTTCCAAGGTCGGGTCCAGGACCAAGTGGTGTATTGACCGAAATGAGCGCTCGCAGACAGCACCGCCTAATTTGGGAAGCCCCTGGGCGAATAGGCAGTCGGCATCATACATGTCGCGCAGAGCCATCATGGTCGGAGTTCCAACGTAGAGACCCTTTTCCACAATCCACGACACGCCTCGCCCGACTGAGGCTTGCCGTTTCCAGGCAAGATCGCGGAAGCACTGGAACAGCAGTTCTTGCAAACGTGCGTGCCCACTCACAGAGACAGATGGCGGCGGTGTAAGCTGGCGGATATAAGTAGGCAGCTGCCGTTGATCTTCGGGCATGGCGTCTGGAAGGTTGAGGGTATCGATGCCTTTGCGCCGCAAATACGCCTCGATCTGGACAGGCTTTCCGTGCCGTTTAAAGGTCGTCGTCTTGCCTGCAGCACTCCGTTGGCCTTGAACCTGCAGCATCGCCACAATATCCCGTTCACGATTGTTCTTGTTGAATTCCCTGTTCATGGTCAGCACGGATGTACTCTCTCTGCTCCGCCAACCTCAGTCCCAGAGGAGGCTGGCACGTATGGCGGTATGCTTCTTACCACTCAGCCAAACGTAGCTTGTACATTTTCGTCCTGTCACATAGCCGTTGATCAGCTCTGACCATCTCTGCGCAGACGCTCGACCTTTCAGGCGGGTGCTCACGTTGCCTTGAACCCTCGGGATTCCATAATCTTCATCACGTCGCGAAGCGGTCGACCTTCTTCGATGTAAAGCTTGTGGATGACATCTTTACGTGAGTCCCATTCTTGTCGTGAATGTCTCTCATGCTTCGATTTACGCGCTGCCGCCGGTGACACAAACTCCTTGAATGTCAACGGCTTGGGGGCTGGGGCTGTCCCTGAAGGAGAGGCCGAAGGCTGAGTGCTGCCCCTACTGCGAGGCGCGGTTGAATCTGGAGATGGCTGTTGATGATACTCGTGCGAAAACGTCGTCTTCGGACACTGTTCTGGATTGAAGTATGCTATATCGCAGAGTAGCGTTTGGTTCTCAAGAGGCTCGACCTTTGCCTGGCGATAGTCTGGCGATGGCGTTGGCCCGCCATGGGTAGGTCGACTTTGGACATTCATGGGGCCTGTTACTTGAGGTCGGACTGCACCAGGTGCTGGGCAGTCAGCCATAGTCGGGCTAGCCCGTCGGCATAGCACCTAGAGTGCGGGCTGGTCGCAGTTGACAGTTGGGTTCCGGCAGTGGTCAGCACAGCTGAGTCTCGAGACGGCCAAGAATGTTGAACGGCGTGTTGACGGTCGGCACCGACAGGTCCCGCCTGGTGTCTTTGGGGTGGGTGCGAGTCTGCGGCTTCTCGTTGTGGTGGTAGCGTAAAATGTGGAGGCCGAAGGCTTTTGCTGACGCACGTTTGTGCTGCGTTACAACCAGAAAGCCCGGGGAATAAAGACTACTACAAGGTCAGGGCAGAGAAAACCGGTGAGGAAAAGGACAGGGCGAGTATGATGGGCCGGGTGAATCAAGCAAAAGTGGTGGTGTCTGTACTATGTAATGCGAGGAAGTCGCCGGGGTTCTTGCCGCTTCGACAGAAGAAAAGGTTGGAAGCCTCCCTAGCTCCGGGGTTAACTAGCAGCAGCACCAGCAGCCCTGCAGGCTGCACCAGGACTGTATCTACCTTGGACGTGGCGGCCGGCGAAGCACGTGCGAAGAGCGGATGACGCTGCTAGAACAGCAATGGGGAGGTCCTGAAGCGAGATTAGGCCGGGTGTCAGGATGTCAAAATGTCTCTGTGGCTTTGAGTCGCAGTCGGGGTATGCAGGCATGCAGGCATGCAGGGTGGGCCACGATGGCTAATGCCCGCGGGCCCTTGATAGAGAGGAGGAGAGTGCCGCGAGGGCGGGTGGGCAGCACACCTCCTGAGCACCGGGCTAGACAGAGCCTGGGCAATCGTCAGTCATCCCCCCTGAACCTTGCAAGTTAAGACAGGCAGCGCAGATACAAGGGCTTACAGGCGTGAGGACGATCCTGGCGGGCTCTGCACCACGCGGGGGAGCGCTCTACGCGAAGCAGTGCCGGAGGGTGGATACTGTAGCGTAGCGCAGGTGGGCGATATGCTCGTGGGCGGACGCGAGTTATCGTGATGGGCCAGCCCCTGGGCCGCCAGTGCCGGCATCTGGCAGACTGTGTGCGTGTGCTCCGCAGCGCCGCCCATGCAAGTGCGGCTTCTTGTGCATACCATGAGGTACATTGAGAGCAGCCTTTGGAAGAAGCGTTTGGCGAGGGGCCTGGGAATAACAAATCGAGCCCCGAGACACCAGCCAACGCTAAACTCCAGCGGTCCCGCAGCCGACACCCGCCTCCGCAACCCTCTGCTAAGCAGCCAGCCACAGCGTGGTCCTGTCTCGAGCAAGTGCTCGGGTGTGGGGGGTTTTCAGGGGGCCCGAGGGGAACTCTTGCCTGCTCATGTCTCCGGAAGGGATGCCTGCCACGACGCGACCCCGGCGCCCGCTCTAGGGGCTCTCCCGGCGCTGTGGCGTCAGAGCCCTGCCTGTCGTTGGAGGTGCGGTCCTGTCTGTCGGCTTGCTTGCATGCCTGTCTCTCGTTTGGGCATCCCACTGCTCTGTGCTTTGCCCCAAGCCTCCGATGCGCGACACGAGCCTGTACACGGCACCAGAGGGACCAGTTGACGTTGCGCGATTCCCAACCTTGTGCTTCTTGCCTGTCAGCTGGTCGCCAAGTGCGCCTTCCTGATCCAAGGCTGGGCTCCGACAAAGGTCTCGCTCGACATATAAGCCCCTCGTCTCTTTCTCCTCACTCTCGCGCTCTCTCTCTCTCTCTCTCTTTGGCTGCAGGGAGGGCGGCCTGATCGGCCTCACTCTGAAAAAAATCCCCGGCGGATGCTACCAGAGCACGCTACCCCTGGCGCATACGAACGCAACGTTCCAGTCAAGCCTTGGGTCGCCTGCCGCCGGCCGTCGCACTCTGGCGCGGCTCCTGGTCCCCCAGTCCGTCAGTCATGCTTTCCCGTCTACCTTGGCCGGCTTGCCCTGCCCCGCCTAAGCCTGCCGCCTGAGTAGGTCGTCGAGCTTTCGTCCCCCGACGCGGCAACGCTAGCCGACCGACACGAATCACTGATCAAACGACAGGCCGCCCCCCCCCCATGCCTCATATCCCGGACTGCTGGGAGGCACGCGGCGCTTTATGTAATGTCAAGATACGGCGCACAATAGACTGTATCGGTGGCCCTAGCAGCTCCACTCCCAATCCCGTCGTCTACCAGTTGACATCGGCTGATCTCCAAGGCCCAGCCAGGATGACGTCCTCGGCAGGCTTGGCTCGACTTGTGATGAGCTGTTCCCCTCCCAGAGCTCTGCAAATACATCTTGCGAACAGGGCGGGGATGGATGTATGGCGACCTCATGAGCATCGCATAGGGATGATCATCTCTCTGTCTCTTGAGCCTTTGCTGCGCGTCTTGCGGTAACAGAGTGGGTCCTTTTGCCGCCCCTGTCGACGAGCCTCGATATTGAGGTTGAAGATTAAACACCCCTGGTTGCCACTACTGTGTGCAGAGCAATTTCTGGACAGCAGCTCGGGGATCTGTGTGTGAATCTAATAATATCACCAAGGCGCCAGGGGTCGTCTTGGAGGCTTGCGGACAGCGTATCTGGGATCTAGGTAATAGAGCCAGACAGCCGCCCCCTCTATAAGATCTGCGGCATGCATGAAGCCCCCCCCCTCTACATACTACAGCACAACCACTTGCAGGCATTGCCGCATGCACATCGAAACGCACTGGACCAGGCAGCTTCCATTTGCAGCACAAGCGTACCCCGGACTCCGGGTCTGCCGATGCAGTCATTTCCTCGCCGGCGGGGCAGTAGAGGCTCCAGGGCTTTCGTGCTCGGCGGATTGCATATCCCGCGCCGCCCCCGACCCTTGACGGGACCCATGTAGCAAGAGAAGGCCCACAAACTGATCGCCTGCACGGATCCCTGCGCTTACAGCAACGTCCTGCAAAAGACAAGCCCGACTGTGCCAATGCTATGGAATGTGTTGCCCCTTATTCATGCGTGCATCAGAGGAAGCCATCCCCCCTCTCATTCTCTCTCTCTAGGTGCGCGGTCGTGTCCCAAGATCTGCAGTCTTGATCGGTACGGCACAGTCAGATCAGCGTTTCCGCAAACGCCCACCGAGAAGGCCATCTCATCCCTACTGCCAAGCTGGATTGTCTGTGCTGTGCTGCCGAGGACCGGGCCGTCTTTCTCCTCGGCGACCACCTTCTAGAAACTGATGGCCTGCCCGCCGTTTGCTGACACCGCATGCCCTCTCTAGGGGTGGTAACGCCTCGTTTTTCGGCGCCAGGGGAGGATGTTTCATGTCTCTTGTGTGGTGTTACGACTAGCATTTCCTCTGAGCACTAGTGCACGCGCCCTGCATAGCCTTCGGGTCATCGCAAGCGATCAGCCCTCGGTGATGGCAGGCCACAATATGGCCCATTGGTCACAATCACTATTTCTGAATGTGACATGTGTCACGCGGCAAACAAGGGTTTGGCTGAGCTATCAGCACCACATCCATCCACCTGCCTCGCGCCCCGCCACCGTGCAAGAAACCCACACCGATCAGTAGAGATGAGTGCGTCTCATTCCATAATAACAGCCAGAATCAAGGGTAGTCATTTAGGCTAGGAAGTCTTGGCCGCGTCTGAACCAGTCGACCCTTCCGCCGCCTTGTCATCGTCAGGCTTTCTCTCGGGCCTCCGCGTCAGGATCTCGTCCACGATGCCCATCTCCTTGGCCTCGGGCGCCGTGAGGTACCGGTCCCGATCCATCATGTCCTCGACCTCCTTTGCGCCAAATCTCTCCCGCCCGGCCGACTCGTTCAGGTGCTTGCGGTAAATCTCGTTGACCTGCTCCCTCGTGCGCTGGATCTGGTTGGCGTAGATGAGTATGTCACTGGCCTGGCCCTGTGTGCCGCCAAGGGGCTGGTGGATCATGATGCTCGAGTGCGGCAGGGCGTAGCGCTTGCCCTTCTCGCCGCCCGTCAGCAGCAGCGACGCCATCGAGGCCGCCTGGCCCAGGCAGACCGTGGAGACGGGGCTGCGGATGTACGCCATGGTGTCGTAGATTGCGAGCCCCGCGGTGATGGAGCCGCCCGGCGAGTGGATGTACATGGTGATCGGCTTCTCCGGGTTGTCCGACTCGAGCCACAGCAGCTGCGCGACGATCGAGGCCGAGACTGTGTCGTCTATCGCGCCGTTGAGGCATACTATGCGTTCCTGCGTAATTCCCAGGAGCCAGTCAGTCAGTTTATCGTGAACAGTGACGGAGGTCGGTAGACTTTTGGAAGGTAATAACAACACACCTGCAAAAGTTTTGAAAAGATGTCGTCTGCCAGGAAAAAAAGGACAACGCAAATCGAGTCAGTAAAGTAAATCGGATCAAGGTTCTTCTTCTAGCTCGGGAAGACGGCCCAGCTCGTCGCCAAAACGGCGCGTGCCTGAACTAATACTCACATGTCCTCCAGCCACCAGACTACATCGCACGTCAGCAAATCAAGTTCAACACAAAATACCGAGGGAGCTCAAGGAAAACTGCATGCAGCGGGCCGCGGTCAAGTAGGTGTCGCAGGAACTCAAGGAGGATAACTGACTGTGACCTCGGTGATGTACGGCAGCGGCACGGCCCCTCGCGGCGGCGAGGCCGTCGGCGCCTGCTGAGGCTGCCCAGGCAGACCAGGAGGGGAAAACCCTGGGAAGTGTTGTGAGAAGTATCTGGCCGGCTGTGTCTGGAGGGCGCCAACAGTAGCAGCAGCAATCCTCCTCGAGAACGGTGATGGTGTCGGTGTTGGTGTTTGGCGCGAAGCAGTGGTGAGCAGTAGTCTTCTCCGCGCCTGTGCCCACGGAGCTGGGCGAAGCGCTGTGCAACTCATTGCTGTTCGTCGCGATACTCTATGCTCGTAGGGTTGCCTGATTGTCGAAGTGTAGTGTGAGTGCTCTGCAAAGACGGCAGAGAGAACAGCTTGAGGAGGTTTTGGCGGCCAGCTCTTGTGGCGAATGATTGGCTGGTTGTATTTGCTCTTCTTGCTGTCGGTCGTTGAGTAGCTGGTACGAGGCGAGTGTGGCTGGGTCGGAGGCAATGATTTCGGACTTGGATCTATCGCGAAGCACTGTTATTTGGAGGAGACGAGAAGTCTCTCTGTTGGGTGTGTTTCGCAGTAGTGGCGCGCATATGTGTGTGTAGAGGTTCGTGCCATGAAGCTATCCTCTCACTGGAGCTCCTCGTCCTTGCGCGCGCCGAGGCCGAGTTGCGGAGCTGCCAGCCCCCCCGCAATCCACACCACTGCTTATCGATTGTGCCTGTAACCATGACATAGTGCGGCGGGCCAACACTTGCTCGTGGGAATTTTGATCCGTCTGCACCACCCTTTTACAAGTTCACGCGTGCTCTTTCGCTTTTGTATTTTATTTTTCTATTTGGACATACAACACTCTCCGTACACCACAAAACATGCGGTTATGAGATCATGAACGCCCATACCTGCGGACCAACACGCTGTCTGCAGTGGTTAGCTTCTTCCCGACCCCGGCCTGCACGACGGCGACTACGAGCATGGCGCGATCCGCGATCGCCGGACCAGTTTCCGCACGGCGGACCGGCGGGAGTACGGACAAAGGCGACTAACCAGACAATCTCGGGACACGAAAGTAAAGGGGAGGAAGACACGGGCGAACGATCCAAGGCACAGGCACAAGCACAAGCCGACGCCAGCCACGAACACAATGACAGCAATGACATGCCCCTGCACGAATTTGACATCGACCCGAAGGAGCGCGAGATCAGAACCGCTGTAGGTACCATGCCGCTGTCACCGATAATGGACCCGACGTTCTGGGAAGCGAAGCAGCGATTCAAAAAGGCGAAACCGAAACCAGGGCAGGCGAGGGACGAGTCCAAGAAGGAGGGGAACAACTCCGTGGAGCGCCAGTTCCGCAAGAACCCGTACGCGATGGCGTTGGCGACTCCCATGAGGCAGTGCGGCATGACCAAAGTACGCTTGCCAAACTTCTTCCTGCAAGATTTCAACTTGTTGCTACATCCAGTGACGCAGCAGCCGTGGTGGGTGCCGCGGACGCTGTTGCTGCAGCAGGGCATTGCTGATATCCCTGATGGTGCTGCTACTCATACCGCGAATGGCGAGGGCTCGACCACGACGGGAAGAATACCTAAGACTGTGGCGGACGTCCTGGCGGATCCGGTGGATGTCCTCCTGAAGCAGTTCGAGTCTCAGCAAGGACCAGACGAGGGTGACGGAAGCGCGAACGACCTAGATCCTTTCGCGATGACCACCGCCACCACCAAGACCAAGCGAGCAGATAACCTCGAGCCATTGCTCGATAGGCCGGCCGCTCCGCCGGTTGCACAAAACCTGCCCACAATGAGCCCCGAAGGGCAGCTCCCCAATGGACCGAGCGCGTATCTGCTCGCGCGACGGGATCTGGTGCGCGCCGTGGGCGTGCCGAAGTCCGGATTCCATGAGCGGCGGCTGCCGGGCGCGTCGAGTTCACGATACCGTCCATCTAGCAACACAGCCTGGCGCGTCGACATGGATTCGGTCGTACTGGACCTCATGCGCCGCGGCATCCTGGCTGATCTGATCTACCTCGCCCGGCTTAGCGTTGAGGACGAAAGGCACTACATTGTGCGGTGCTTCGGGTGGGACGACGTGCAGTATAAGCACCGAGGGTCAGTCTTGTGGTTTGATCACCCCAAGCCCGAGGGTGCTTCGCCGAAGGATGTAAAAGCTGCGGTCAAAGAGCCACCCGAGCCTGGACCGTTTGCCACGTTCGATATCGAAAGCGTCACTTTCATCGTAAACGATCCAAAGAAAGAGAGCGTCGCGGTGCACAATCTGCCAAGACTGCTTGGCAAAGAGTATACGGAGCGTCTGAAGCGGGAGTCGAAGCCATTTAACGAAGGAGGGGAGATCTTCATGCTCGCCGGGAGGAGGACCCGCGAGGTCCAGAAGAAGCTGTGGAAGCTCCAGGGCTATATGTGTGACTGGCACGGACGACCCATGTGGGAATGAGCCTACAGTCCCTATACGGCCTCAGCCACTTGATACCAGGCTGTGAGCATATCAGTCAGATATATAATGGGGCACACATTCGTAACATGTCAGGCATAATATCCTGGTAGCATGACCTGCGCAGAATCTGCGTGTGCCAGCAGGAGACGTACCGGCGCCATAGTCACTACTGCGCGAGTTGTCAAAGTCGTTCTGAATCTGACATGTATGGTCCCTATAGCAGTCACTGCCACAGAACAAGTGACTGGAATAACATGATGCACGCTCCGCATCTGGGTGGAGCAGCAGACCACAAGCTGCGCAAGCAAGCACGCCCCACAACAAGCAACTAATTCTCGGGTGTAAATCAGATGGAGAGGCATCCTGGAAGGCCGCCGTGTGGAACTCCTTGGGCTTCATCGCTTTTGCTGGATTGTTGAGCTGTCCCTCGCCGAGCCTGGCTCGAGCAGGATCGCCGCCTCGAGTCCCTGCTTGTGGACAGCTGTGCGTGCGGGGAAGCTTTGCCAGAACTCGAACGTTGTCGTCATTTGGCTGATCTGTGCTGGTGGAGGAGGGGAAGATGGCGCACGGCGATGTGACCTTGCCTGTCGTGTATCCTGGTTGGCGATTACTCCCATCGTACGAGCGTGCAATTCTATTGCCGTGATGCCTAACTCGAAGCACCGGCACCACGCCGGGACTTTTCCCAACGACTGGCGTCGCCCGTGCCTGCTCGACGGCTCGGGCGTAATAGCTCGGGCTGCCGAAGGATGGCACGATTTGCCTGCATAAGCGAAATGGATGCAATTTCCCAGCACGAGGCTGGCATGCGGATTTTCAAAAACGTACTTCAAGTAGGCTGCCGTGCTACCGGGCTAGTAATGAGACGAGAAAAGTGGACGGCTTGTTAGCGTGAGATGCAGTGGCCAGGGGTCCTGGCCCGAACCCACTCCTGTGCAGCTTAAACTCGTCATTTGGCTGCATTCCAACGTCTCCAGGCGGCCCTAGTCGCAGAGGCGTTGCCCGCCGGGCACCGCGTGATGTGATCTTGCTGCCGCCAGTGGCACGAACAGTGAGTCTGTTCGGGTCGAGTCCCAACTTCTGGGGTGTGCTGCCGACGGCTTATTCGCAGAAGCCAAGCCGTGCCTTGCGTCGCAGACTCCTCGACTCGACGGGTGCAAGGAGCTGGCCGAGTGCGCGATGGTCCAGCTACAGGGACAACCCGCGCGGACTATCCCGCACTTTGTTTTGTGGGTGCCATCCTTGCCCCGAGAAGTGCCCACGGGCGAACCGGGTCGTGGAGGAACTGTCGGCGAAACTAAGAAAAGGCGTGCCATGGACATGAAGACGCACCAGGGGTCGCTGCCGAGTCGAGCTTGTGTAATCCCCTCATGGGCTTTAAGTGTCCTGACGAGGCGTAGAGCAAGACGCCGCCGCCGCTGGGGCGTGTGTCGTCGTTGGTGCGCTGCTCAGGTAGACGGGAGGGTAGGGAGCCCTGGAGGGGAGGGGAGAAAATACAGGACCAGACCAGGCTCTGCATGTCCCGCGCCATGCAATGCAGGCAAGCTTGGCCGGTCGCGTGCCCCACAGGAGCTCCAGCTCCAGCTCCAGCTCTCGGGCGCGCCTTCCCCAAGCCTAGCCCTGGAGGTGCATGTGCTCCGAACTGTCTCGCATCCCGCAACGGCCCTGCGCACGCGCTAGCAACTTACATCATCTTGCCGCTTCCCGCGGCGGTGGTGCGCCCAAACAACAACAACGGGCAGGCGAAAGTCTGCCACACCTCCTCGACGACACCGTCCTCATTCCTCACCATTTCCTCCACGTGAGACAAGCTGCTCGAGCTTCTCGTCGCCCAGAACCTCCTACGAGCTGCTTCCCCCCATCCCGCAGCTTCCTCTCGTCCTGCTCCGTGTCGCGCCGCGTGGGTCAATCGCATCTTGTGGTGCGAGTCCGTTCTGCTCACAATGGCTGCGCAAATTGGGGACGCCGACGAGGTCTACGCCACCGTATGCGCCCTTTGCCCCAGACTGCCAGACGTTTGGGATTGACTGACTGGTGATTTCTTGCTAGCTTTTGCTCAACGACACATATCTTCCTGGTAAGTTGCCCAATTTGACCACAGCTGTCGCATGCGACAAAATGTTGACAGTACGACTACAAAAGGTGCTCTGGTGCTGGCGCATTCGTTGCGAGATGCCGGCACCACCAAGAAGCTGGCCGTCCTCGTCACGCTCGACACGGTGTCCGCCGGCGTGATAACGCAGTTGCAGGTGGGTTCGCCCAAACTCTTGCACTCGGCCGGAAATGCGGCCTGTGTGCCTTTGCAGAGCTGACGACCAAATGCCTTAGACTGTGTACGACTACATCATCTCTGTACCTCGCATACGAAACTCTCAGCCGGCCAACCTCCACCTCATGAACCGTGCAGATCTGCATTCCGCCTTCACCAAGATCAATCTCTGGAAGCAGACTCAGTTTCGCAAGATTGTGTACATCGATGCCGACGTAGTAGCGTACCGCGCCCCCGATGAGCTCTTCAACATTTCGCATCCTTTCTCGGCCGCCCCCGACATTGGATGGCCAGACTTGTTCAACACCGGCGTCATGGTCCTCACTCCGAACATGGGCGACTTCTACGCCATGTTGGCCATGGCCGAGAGGAACATCTCATTCGACGGCGCCGACCAGGGTTTGATCAACATGCATTTCAAGAACACCTATAATCGTATCAGCTTCACCTATAACGTTACGCCGTCCGCTCATTACCAGTATGTGCCTGCGTATAGGCATTTCCAATCGAGCATCAACATGGTCCATTTCATTGGTGCCGAGAAGCCTTGGTTTCAAGGTCGAAATGTCAATCATGGAGGAGCCTCACCCTTCAACGAGATGACGGGCAGGTGGTGGGCGGTCTATGATAGGCATTACCGCAACACAGTAAGTTCTGAAGACCCTTCACGACGAGACCCTTTCAACTGACAGTCAACAGACACAAACATCGACCGTCCCAACAGCAACTGAAACAACGCCTGACAGATCGCAGCCAACCCCTGAGCTGGTGCAGTATTTTACCAAAGGAGAATGGCGACCGAAAGCCGCTGAGCCCCAGCCCACTGGTGAGCATTACGGTCACAGAGACCATGGACACGAGCCGCGGCAGTATCATGAGCAAGTCCATGGCGACAGTCGCTCAGATCACGATCACCAGAAATCAGATCAGTCCTCATCCCAGCCTGTCCTGGGATCAGCAGAGCCGCCGCGTAGCCACCACGAACACACTGTGGAACCGAGTGACCAGGCGGGCTCTTTTGTGACCGGGATGGGTGTTCCAGCCGTGACTGTGTCCACCTCCTCCTCAAACAACGTCGAGGGCGCTGAAACTGAGGCTCGCGAAGAGCAGATTCCCGAGCAGCAAGGGGCGCCAGCCACCCCAACGCCCGAACCGGAGTCAGAGCCAAAGCCAGCACCATTCCAGCCTACTTATTCCACCTGGGATGCGCAAAGGTCAGTTTACCCGAGTCCGGCGAGTATACCCTACAGAACAGTAATAGCTGACATGATTATCTTCAGACATGCTCCTCCGCCCGATTCGAAGCCCGAAGCTGTCAACTTCCCGGCCATGACATACGAGATGTCATCAGACTCCACGCCGTTCGTTCCGCCGGCACGCTATCCTAGTCCTCCAAAAGACATGTGGTATGAAGTTCCAAAGGAGCCTCCGGCGCCGCCCTCGCAGAAGCCGAGACCGATCTTCCCTTGGGAGGCTAATCAGGCTCCCCCGAGCCGCGTGTTCCCCGATGACGTTTCGCAGCAATCAGAAGAAAAGCCGCAGATGCCGACGTTGGATACATCCACAAGTGAGATATCCGGAACCTCAGCATCACGGCTGTCGACTGAGTCAATCATCACAGGCGCCTCTACTGTCGATCAAGACAGCAAGCCAAGCACTCCGGCCACGCCTACGATCCAGATCACCCCGTCGGATCCGTGGACGTCTTACACCCGATCAAACGCCTGGGACGAGATGCCCGAGATTGAGCGTTATGTCGATGCGATCCAAAAGCACCGCCGTTCGCGCAGTCGCAAGGCCCCAGGCACGATCGCTCTGCCAGGACCTGGCGCTGAAAATGAGCAAGGCCAAGGTCCACGACGCAGTTCGAGGCTGACCGACTTCCCTGGGGAGGACGAGCGGCCGAGTCTGCCCGTGACACCTGCACCTATACGCCGCGCAAAGTTCTGGGGTGTTGATGGCCCAGATCCAGTCGAGGGCGAGGGTGATCCGCTACTGCCAGCCGCAGAAGGCGTCCCCACGCAGACCGACTGGGTATGTTTGCATGGACGCCGTTGGGGGCCCGCAGACTGCCTTTGCGACCTGACTAATGTTCTGCGTTGTCACAAGGACCCTGTGGAGCAACTTCAGAAGCTCGCCAAGCAGCAGTCTGATATGCTGCTACAGAAGCTGGGTGACCAGAGAAGAGACAGCACTGATCTCCCGCCTCGCTTGCTACCTTTTGGGTCAGAAGACCTGACATCACCGACATATGTGTCTCCCGCGCCGCCGGCACCGGCGTCTGTGACGTCACCATCCGACCTTGATACGACCCCGCGAGCAACGCCTCGACAGAAAGTCACATAGCCACAGCCCGGTGCCTAAAACGACTCAGGCAAGCTTGTGCACGAGACAGGAGATCCCCTTAACGTCAGCAAGCCAGAATCTCCTGTGCACAACGAGCGACTAATCTAGGATAATGCAGCAGGTCGGTGAGAAGTCAGTGCGTCAGTGGACTGTGACCAAGGAGAGTCGTGTTTTGTGTTTTGTGTTCCTGCTTTTGGTGTGTAGGGTACTGAGCAGCCGGTGTTTCGGCAGGCCGCCCTTGAGCGGTGTTTATATACAATGTGAGGACCGTCATCCATTCTTGACACAAGCATCTTTCCGGTACCGTTTTCTTGCACTCTTCTCCTCAACTTTTCTGCATCATCATCACCGCTCAGCGCTGCATAAAGTCAGCATCCACATTTCGATTTCCTGTTATTTCTTTTGGTCTCTGCATTTGCACACGAAGCAACACGCATATCTGTCATCTGCATCGTCTGTATTTATCATCGATGAGGCATCGAGGCATCATTTTTATTTTTCATCCCGTGTATGTGGGCTTGTACTTTTCTTTGGGTTGCTTTATCATAATCATGGTTGGTATTGGATGGAACGGGGGGGTGTTTGTAGCCAGTGGGGAGTAGGCATGGGTTGTGTATATCAGTTTTCTTTTGGAAATATAAAAGCATATGTGGGATTTCAAGGCACCATGATCCAAAGGTTGATTGTCCAGTCCATGACAACATGCCTGTTCGGCTTGTGTTGAAAAAACCATGTGTGCCCTGTTTCCATCTGGAGTCTAGGAGGTTCTTGTGTGAAATATCGAGACGCTCCGCAGAGCTGGTCATCGAGGACCAGTTAACTGAGCAAAAGCCGAGGGCCAGCACCAAAGCGGGCGCCGTTCGTCTTCACGCAACGCGTACACATTTGATGGGGATACAAAACCTCAGTTTGTTTGTCAGACCCCCCCCCCCCGGCCCCTCTTTAGATTGTTGTCGTTGTCGTGATGGTCGGCCTCAGCACAGCAACGACGAGCCAGCGCTTCCGCTCCGAGGGGTCCTCGTAGCCCCGGTCCCAGGCCCAGGGGCGGGTGTTGCCGTCGCAGTCGCGCTCGTGGATGGACTCGACCTCGAGGCTGTTGGCCTGCAGGTGGGGCGAGGGTTGCAGCGACGACCAGCTGTTGTTGGTGTTGTTGTTGTTGTCGTCCCTGTGGCTGTCCATGGTGGTGGTGTCGTCGGATGAGGAAGTGGAGGCGGAGGCGGTGGGATCCGAAAAGAGGAACCCGCGCATCCCTTGTCTGCCTGTGTGGAAGCCTGCCACGATGAGCGCACGGCCGCCAGTGTCCTCCTCCTCCTCCTCCTCCTCCTCCTCCTTCTCCTCGTGTTTGTTGGTCTCATGAGAACTGATTGCACTGGCTGCTGCGTCGTCGTTGTTGCTGCTGTCGTCTGCCTTGGTTGACGGGCCTGTTGTGGTGCTAGCGCTGCTGCTGAGGCTACTGACATCGGCGATGACTGCGGATGATGATGAGGAGGAGGAGGACGACGACGACGACAACGAGGATGGATCTGCCGTGCTCTCCTGGTGGTGCAGTAGCAGTGTTCGTCGCGGCCGCGGCGAGCCGGGCCGGCGGAGTAGCCACGCGATGGACGCCGCGAGGTTTGCGTGCTGCGAGGACATCCACAGGCAATCGGCGGCCAGGACGCGGTCGTACGCGTGATGGTGGTGGTACTGCTGCTGCTGCTGCTGATGGCTTGCTGCGAGGTGGGAGAGCCGCGATGACACCTTGGTGGCGGAGGAGCCGCCGCCGCCGCTCCTGTCGTGATCGTGTTCGAGGGGGTCGCCGGCGTTGGCGGTGCCGACATGAGCAGCATGTTCCTCCTCCCCGTCTTTGTGGTGCTCGTCTGTGCCCGGCAAGACCCCCCACTCGTGGGCGAGGACTTGCACCGTCGCTAGTTTACGCTTGCTCTTCTCCCCCGTGTCCTCTGGCTTTGCTTCCGCTGTCGCTGCCGGGGAAGGCGATGCAGGTACATTGACCTGGTCTCCGTCCATCTGCGCGTTCTTGACCACCGGGTCCGGAGCAGCAGCAGCAGCACGATTCGAGCCGCCACCACGCAGCGACGACGACGACGACGACGACGACGTCAAGAGGGGCGAGAACTCGTCGCGGATGTTGTGCTGGACATTGCGACGCACCGTCTCGAGAAACTCGACACTCGGGTAGTCTGTGATGGTGACGGCGCGGGCGCCGAGCAGCGCGGCCATGAGGCTCGGCAGGGCAGTCCCGGCGCCGAGCTCGATGCAGTTGAGCCCCGTGATGTTGAAGGCGGCGAGGAAGTCATCATTGCCAATGCCTCTGTTCCCGACCGGGGCCTCTTCCCTCCGGGGAGCGGCATCACATTGTACTTGTTGTGGTTGAGCTGGTCCTGACGACTTCGACGACGGCGATAGGGGCACGCCGAGGGTGGCGCTCTCGAGGAGCTCGGCGAGCAGCAGGGCCGCGTTCCAGAGGTAGTGGCTGAAGAGGCGGCGGTGCTGCTCGCCCTGGGGGTCGGCGAGCTGGAGGAGCAGCGGCCTGGGCAAGTGCGGGGAAGCGTAGCTGAGGGCGTGGGCGGCGTCGCCGTGGGTGTTGGCGACGTCGTCCGGGTAGATTGCGGCGAGGGAGGAGCTGAGGATGTCCTCCGGGTCGGTCGAGGGATCGCCCAGCACGGCGAGCCGCGCAGTGAGGGCGGCCATCGCGGTGGGCGACGTCAGAAAAAGGAGTATCTCTGGTGGTGGTGGTGATATGATGATGCGGTGATGCGGTGGTGGCGACCGGGAGGCCGGAGCCGGAGACGGAGACGGAGGGGCACCCGGAAGGCGAAGAAAAAACAGCCCCCGGCTGCTGGCGGCGGAGGGAGGGGTTCGTCTCGCTGGGCTGGCGGCACGCTACGGCGGGCCGGACCGACCGAGCCCAGCTCAGGAACACACACAGCACCGTCCGTCATCGCCAGCCCAAGGCAAGCAGGGAAGCAGGCACAGCCTCGCTGCAAGTCAGTAACCAGCTTAGCAGCAGCAGCAGCAGCAGCACAAAGGGGCACCCTGACGCCGGTGGTGGCAGTGCCCCGGCACTTGCCAGACAGACAGACAAGACATAAGACAATGAGAGAACCGACGCCTAAAGAAGGAACCCCTCCTCGGCACCTCCGCGCGCGTCATGTCAGACCACCTCATTGGGTGTCTGGCCATCGTGACATTTCCCCCCGTCTTCACCTACGGTCCAACCAAATAGGACCGACGTCTGCAGGGGGTGGTCATTTGCCTACCTGCAGGTGCTGCCGGCCAGTGGGGAGGGGGTTCCGGGGACGAGGGGTCCCAAGTGGCTGGCTGGCTGCATCCTAAAGGTGCGTAATATTTGGGGGCGGTGCAGGCACGCCAGCGCACGACTGCCCCTGTAATCACCCGATCCGTCTTCCCGACGCTACGTGCTTGCATACCTCTGCATCGGCGGTCAGGCCTGGCAGGGCTGGGCTGCCCGGGAGGGGATGTAGGCCATGAAATGCCGGAGCACCAGCAGGACAAGGATGGCGATGATGATGATGGTGGTGATGCGGCATGTAAGACACCACCCTCACGGCGCATCAGGGATGCGGGGGTGTTCTAGGCCTTGAGCAGATCATTCATGCTGGTGGCCAAGGTGTCAAGGCAGCGAGCCCATACGAGGGAACAAGTCGTGGCCTGGAACTACAAGTCCAAGGGTGTTCTAGTAAAACACGAAAAGAAAAGTAAACCAAAATGGCACCGGGAAATCTTCACGAGGAAAAGCAAGCAGGGAATGGCCGGCCTTCTGTGCGCGTCCTGTAATTTTCCAGGCTCGGGGCACATGTCCAACAAGAAACAGAGGGGGGGGAGAAGAAAAAAGAAAAAGCGCACAGAACAGAAAACCCCCCGCGCACCCCAGGCTTCGAGAAGGAATCCGCAGCGAGGGAAAAAAAAGCAACTTCACCTAATTCCGTCCTCCCCCCTTGGTGGTCCACGTTACGTATTGAGGCATGGACAGTCCCGTTCTCAGGTCACTTGACATCGGCATTTCCGTTGGAGTCTTCTCGCCAAGCATCGTCGTTGTAGTCGTCGTCGTTTGTCGTTTCGTTCTTGACAATGTCATCATCGCTCTCACCTCACCCTCCCCCTGTCCAGCTGCAAGTCTGACATGCATATTAACCAGAATTTTCACCCAACTAACCATACATACCTTGCACTTCATAAAGGCCCTCAGAACTCTGTTTTTTGTTTTTCTCTTTCTTACTTAGCCACCTCCAGGGGTTTGGCAGAATGAAAGAGAAGGATGACCACAGCAAAGCGGCGTCGTCAGACACATCCTCATTGGTTCCTTTGGGAGAAATTATCCCTCGTCCTGAAATCCCACTTTCTACTTTCATGGGTCATGCATAGGGGGGGCTTTTTCGCAGATCAAGGTTGCGTCAGAGTCATCAAAAGGGTAGCACTCTGACAAAGAGCGTGCGTGTGCAACAGGAGGGAGCCCCCAAGTACCAATCACCAGGCATGCCACGAACCCCGTGTGCCATTGTGAAACTGTGACCCTGCCCTCGAACCTCTGGAGAGCTGTCCCGGGTAGAGCATGGCTGAATACTTTCACAAGTAGGCTGCCACTGGTGAATCACATCTGGACAAGCTTGCTAATCGAGCCATGTCACGGGAACCAGAGTAGGGCCAGGAGATGTACAAGCGGTAATGACAATTATAATTGTAACAGGGTATCGTTCACCAAGCCCAAGTGGTGATTTAACAAATGTGACGTAGCAAAAACTCCCAGATGGCTCCAATGCGCTCTCTGCCCCTGATGGTCCTCAGAAATCATGGGTGTGTATCATCCACCTCGAGAATGCCATCTCGAAGAACCAAAACAATGTACAACAAGATCTGATCAATGTTTGGCCGTCGCGGTCATTAAACAATCACCCCCTGCCCTAAACAACCAAGCCCTTTGCGCCAGAATGATGCTTTTCCCTCAGAATAGAAATGGCTCATCGCTCCGTAAAATTCGTCTCTGTGTGCGTTGTTGGGGTTTCTCCCCGTCGAGTCTTTGGTGGTTTGCGCATTATGACCCGTATTAAATGATGTATGGTTTTTTGAGTGCCCACGTATTAGTTCTGGCCAGACATGGCAAGCATGCGAGCCATGTCCTCCTCGGTGGGATCGTCAGAGATCCAAGGACCCTTCTCTTCCTCGGTGGCGGCGTGGAAAGCCTCTGCGCGCTTGAGGGTGTTCATGTCCAGGTCGGTGACGTAGGACTGGCCGTCGGAGAGCTTGATGCGCACCTCGTGTTCGGTAGACAGCATCATGTCGTCCTTGGCCAAGCGCCGAGGACCGTCAAAGACGGTCATGACGCGCTTCTTCATCGTCATCTGGCCCTTGTCGAAGCCCCAAGAGGAAGGGTAGTCGCGGCGGTTCTTGCGGCTCTTGCTCTTGGTGTGCAGAGCAGGGCCACCACCGCGAGAGTGTGTCATGCCGCGCGACTTCTGGACACCGCCGGCAGGGTTTGTGCGCTTGGTAGTTGTGGAGAACTTGCGGTTCTTTGAGTCCTCATCCGACTCGTAGCACATATCCTCATCCTCGTCCTCAGACATCGAGGTCGTCTGGGTTGTTGTGAGCGGCAAATGGTTCTTCTCGAGAGTCTGCACGACCTCGGCATCGTTCTCGACCTCGCCCAGGCGCTTGGCGTTGATGGCCTCAGCAGGGTCCTCCTGCTGCACAATGCGCAGGACACAGTCATCCAAGTGCTCGTAAAAGTCCTGGGCATTGGAGAAGGTGGCCGAGCAGGTAGAACACTTTCCAGTAGCATCGGGAGCGTAGCCGGTAAGCTTCTTGCTGCTGCCGGCAGATGACGAGCTCTTCTTTCGGCTGTTGGGGGGAGTCTGCTCGACGCCGTGCACGGCCGTCAGGTGGCGCTTGAAGACGTCGGCGCGGTTGAACGACTTCTCCGCGGCAGAGCCAGATCCGGGGCAGAAACCGCAGACCATTGTGCCCTTGTAGTGCGTCAAGGTGTGGCGGTTCTTGTCATACTTGCGCGCGAAGCCCTTGACGTGGTAGTCGCAGGTCTGGATGGGGCACTTTTCAGGGCGCTCATTCTGGTGTGTCAGCATGTGCGCCTTGAGATCCTTGAAGATCTTGCCGCAGTCCGGGTGCGGGCATCGCTGCTTGTCCTTGGTCTCGTCGGCGCCGTACATGTATTCGTGAGAGCCGTGGGACTGGTATGAAGAGAGGCTCTGGCGGCGCCCAGCTTGGGGAGGTGCGGTGAAGGGGCTGTATTGCTGGAAGCCTTGCATGTACGGCGATTGCGATCCTGGGCGCATGCCGGGAGCTGGTGACGTGGCGCCAGAGAGGGCGGGAGAGTGAGGGAACATGTTTTGGGGAGAGTGGTAAGCCGCAGCGGCGTCGAAACCCTGCTGCATATGGGGGCCCAAGGGGCCTCTGATCTCTGGGTGGATCAGGGAGGGATCTGTGGTTGCAGCAACAATTCCTAGTCAGCTTCGCATCGCCCCGAAGACATACTCTTGCCTGCTCATGCAGCACTCACCAACAAAGCCAGGCTTGCCCTCGAATTGCGGCACGGCGTATTCCTCCATGCCGGTAGGGTGGTACGCGTAATCCGTACCTGAAGCAAAGTACTCGCCGTGGCCAACGATGCCAGGGGTCAAGCTCAGAACGTGATGCTGAGGCTCGGGGATGTAGGCGATCTGTCCGTGATTTGAGCTTGGGGATCCGAGGGTAGAGGACGGCGCAGACGGGACCGAGGCAGTCGAGAGATTTGAGGAAGGTCCGCGGAGGTCTGCGTCGTCGTGGTAGAGGCCAGGGGACATTTTGTTGTTGTACATGTACTGGGGGGCTGCGTCCGTATATGACGGCGCCTGGTCGTATCTGGGCTGCTGAGTATATGAGTAGGCGTCAGAGTTGATGCTGAGGTCCATCTGGGATGTCGAGAAGTTCTGCTGCATCGCAGGCTCGGGATAGAGCATGAAGTCGCGCTGGTCGTTCTGATTTGGAAACATGTTGAACGAGGGATCTGCAACAACGGCCATTGCTCAAAGGTGCTGGAGGTCCTGAGGAAGGCTTGCTGCTGGTCCAGTGGACGTTGGATATGGGGAAGGGCAGAGGGCCAGTGACCATGAACAGCTGTTCCAGCGTGTTGTCGATGAGATGGTCTGCAGACTCTAGAGTCTCAGGTGTGATGCAAGTCGTTTGTGTGTTTGCGAAGTGTCTTGCTCGTTGGGGGCAGAAAGTGGCATGGCATCCGGGGATGGGGATGGGGGCCTCGAGGACTGATATAGACCTCTTGCATCTGGTGCCCATCGACTTAGAGATGGTGTGGTCCCAGGGATGACAGAGGACCTAGAGCCGCTCCTTGGACAGCACGCACGCAGAGAGGCAGGCGGGGTACGTACCGGCCGGCCTGATGCGTGGATCTCGTACCTGTAAGGCAGACTGGGCCTGCCAGAGGGGCGTGGCGGGATCACACCTACGCCCGCGAGGGCAGGGGAGTGCGAGACCACCGCAACGGAGCAGGGGTCTTGTCCACCTCCGGGGGAGGATGACCCTAAGAAACCTTGCACACACCGGGGGCCTCGCAGTGTGGGCGTGGGCTTTGCGAGGCGGGGGTGTGAGACCTCTGGGAGGGTGTGTCCTGGCGGGAGTGGACCGTGACCCTTTGGCTGGTGTGGTGGATGTGCGGCAGGGTGCTGGAAGAATGGTGGTGGCAGTTCTGCATGTCACTGCCATGCTTCACGGGGCCGGCGTCTTGATCCGTCCTGATCCAGGCTGCAAGGAGATGTCTAGCCCGATGTTGTTGACCGAACGTGAAGCATGCTGCCTGCACCAGGCACGACAGTCCTACAACTTGGTGCCATCCTCTCTGTTGGACAATTGGAGCCAGGGAAGATGGATGTGATGAGCAGGCGTAGCGTATCTGAGTGCGGTGCAGGCAGAGACTCGTGCTCTGCGATGAGCAGCAGGGAATCAGTCATACAGGCGCCCCGAGGAAGGCGCAACATGGCGTTCCTTCCGCGAGCCGCCCATCAAATGAGCACACGTCTTGATTACAGCGGCACTTGCGTCTTTTCACGATCATGGTAATTTGCCAAAGTCGCACGACTCTTGACGCGTGCCTTTCATCGCAAGCTCTATCCAACCAGCAGAGGATGCGTCCCGCATCTACTAACTACGATGGAGCCGTCTCTGCACCTCTTAGTCCCCAGTTCGTGGTAGAGTCGACAGACAGCCAATCACAGCGTTCCGCTCGAGAACAAAAGTACACTGCATGCCTGTCATGGATGCTCTCGATCCGCAGTCGCTCGCACTGCCCAGGTGTCCTAGAGCTAGCTAGACCGCAGGTCGTCAATTGCTAGCTAACGATTAGGCCCAGCATGTTGTCCGTCGTCCTCAGCTATCCGGCACCGCCGCCTTCAGTGCAGTCTCCTGAAGCATACGTTACAGCAGCCTCATCTTCATAGCCACGACTATGGCTGCTGCTAAGAACGCCAGCTCCCAGAATAGTACCGTTGCCATTGGCATATGATACTCTCCGGACGAGCACGTCGGAATGCTTCATCTCATGGCTGCGAATATGGGAGCTCGGCGCTTTGCCGTGGAGTCGACTCCAGCTGGGGGGATAGTTGCCATTGGTCTGACAGGGTCGAGACTCGGCCGGCCATTGCTGGCGTCCCGTTTCCAGCCAAACCGTGAGGTCGGGATCATCATATTGACTAGGTGCTGGACTCGTGGCGCCTCCCGTGAAACGGCAGCAGCCTCCTCTCCCAGGGGGGAGCTCGCCAGCAAATCACCTGCTGCCGGTCCCGAGAGCGTCCAGAGCAGCCGTTGGAGTATACACTCGAAAAGTACTCTGTGGTGCGAGATCCAATTCCATTAATTACAGCAAGACCTGGCGCGCACTGTTGTTGACTTTGGCGCCTGGTATGGTTGCGTCTCACGTTCCGGCAACAACCAAAAGTTTAGTGCCAGGCGGGACGAGCCCTCTCGACACACCATCCGACTCTGCACTGAATTATCGCCGGATCCCCTGATAACCTGCCTCCGCCCAACAGAGCCTGACGGGCTTGCCTGCCAAGAAAATGACAGTGCCCCGACCGCAAGCTGGATATGCCGCAAACTCCATTTGCGGATGATGAGTTATATCGGCGCTGCAGAGCATGGGGTGGTCGAGGCGGACATGACGGCGAAACCTTAGCGTACCTGCCTGCCGGACGGGCAACGTACTAAAACGAACAGCTCAGGGCATCTGTCAAGAGAGTCTAGGAGTGGGGCGAGGGCGGGGGTTCCTGTGGTCTGGACGGGGAGGCTCAGATCGGAGATTACTGGATTCGGTAAAAGCAGACGAGAAACCAACTGCCCAGCGGACCAGAGCGAGGACCCTGGGAAAAACGCCTAGGTGCGGGTCCCGAATCTGCCGGCAACAAAAACAGTCGATGCTCGACATGCTGTCGGACTGCAGGGCCCCCTGGGCCTCTGGACCCCCAGACGCGACTATCGCATCCGCTTAGGCGGCGTCCTCCGCCAGAACTTCCTCCATGTATGCTGCCCAAAGTCCTGTGCCTGTGTGCCCCCCTAGGGGGGATGGAGTCACGCGCGGACCTACTTCCGCCATGGAGACCAGCACAACAGGCATTCCGAGCCTCGGAGGAGCATGGTACTTGCTGCCTCACGCCGGTCAACGGAAATCCAAGGCCTCGGTTTCCCTGGGCCGACCCGACAAGGCCAGGCACAGAGTCATGCGCAGACGCTATCTGTGGTGCCATCGTCACGAACAATATTGAGTCACAAGGTCTCGCGGCAGGTTCTTGTTTGGGGTAGTTGGGCCGTTCCTGTCGTGCTCTCCGGTCGTGCGAGGGCTATGCTGTGTGACGGCAAGACAATGCGCGGGTGGCCATCTTGTTATGGCAATGGGGCTTTCTTGGAGATGCTTCAGGAGCGAACTCTGAATTGGCCATGGCAAACCATGGCAGGCTGTACCTGAAGACGTTGCCGTGGGCTGGGCCAAAACTGGGCTGATACTGGCACCGTAGCTTCGCTCGACTTGACTCGGACACATGCTTCCGGGGAGGCGTCCAGGAAAGGTCTAGCCTTGCCAATCACCCAAAAGCTTCGCCGTCATCGATGATGCTGAACGTACGAAATGCAGCAAAGCTGGCGAGTTTGCCATAACATGGCTAGTAGGTCACTTTGGGATTCAGATTGCCCATGGTCTCATGTATGCACACTTGCACCTAGATAACACGACTAAAGTTGTTTAGTGCAGCCCTGGGAACACGGGAAGAGAAAAAGTCCGCGGGATTGGCCAATCGCATCTTGCTGCTGCAAATGGCGACAGGCGCTATGGCCCAGGAACGAAACCCGTCTCGGTCTGTCTGGCTGGCATGCAAAGTGGTTGTGCGACAGAGCACACCCAAGGAACTCTTGACTGCACACGGGCGCCTTGCTCGTGGTGATCTGCGCTAATGTGTCTTCTAGTATTCCAAGGATGCACATCTATCTACCAGGATGCGGAACATGAGACAGGTCCTCCATAATCTTCTGTGTGTTGTACTCGCGGCCGGGGCAGGCGCCGGCCTGCCGCGAGGGCACCCAACATCATCCCAAACCAAACCATCCGTCATGCGCGTCCCGTTCCCCACGACCCTTTCCGCCCCTCCTCCTCCTCCTCACCTGGGGGCTCGTTCCAGACCACACCCCGACTCTCGGACGACAGCAGGCCCTGGATCAATCTTGGTGGTGACGGCTGCGTAGGACTAGATTGCCCATAGCGTCTGCATCTCGCTGTTGATATTTGTTGATATTGAAGGCCTTCTGCAGGGTGGACAGGGGGAGTGCATGGAGAGGAAACCCATCGAGGCTTCTCGTCTCCCCCCCCCTGCAGATCGCGCTTCTCGCACAAACGCTCACTCGCTTCATACACGAGCACACCATACAACGGTTGGTCACACCACTCGATGAAATGTTAGCATTTTCCACAAAGGGACGATGTCGAGCGTGCTGCAACCAACAGCGGATGGATCGCCCTCTTGTGGTTTCAGGGTTTCCTCTCACTCTCTGCCAAAGCAATAATGCAACTGTGCCACCCTGCAAAATTGCAGTCGAGATCGGAAGGTGCCATGGATGAGGTGACTCTGACCTGCTACACAGAGCAGGCCGTTCGCACGCGTTGAAGGGCAGTCAGGCAGGCCAGCATCCTCAGTCCCCCCCTCAACGAGAGTCATCGTTGAAAGAAAGGGGGAAAAAAAGGGCACATGCCGCTTTTACACTGTCCTGGTGTTTCCGACTTGGAGTCTGACACGAGGGCGCGGCGGGCCTTTGCTCTGCTCTCCTTACTCCTGATTGACACGCCAGAATGCGGGGGGGGTGGTGGTGCCCTTCCACTCTCTCTGGTGCCCCCCCCCCCCTGCGATAATGTGTACCTTTTGCTGCTGCTTATGCACACAGGGCCCTATTTGAACACTGCTGCGTTGTGACCGCGACTGGGCGAATCGCGAAAGACTAAAGCAAGTGCACGGAGCCCATTTCAAGCTGGCCAAAGGCAGCCAGTCGGACATGAGATCCTCAATATGAGCCCCAGAAAGCCAGGCCCAACGACACCCAGGGCCGGATCAGAAAGTATCAGAGCACATTTGCATGGGGGAGGGGGCTAAGCCACACGGGGCTTCTGGCGTGAGGGCAAGTTGCTGCTGTATGATTTGGCAAGTTTAGTCTTGCGGACGAAAACGAAAAGGAGTTGCGGCTAGTCCCCAAAAGAGAGAGGGTGATGGATTTTAGCGCGTGTGAGCCCCTTGGCTGTGGCGCGCGCGCGCTCTAGCCTGCTTGCCCACTTTCTCCTCCTCCTCATCCTAGCAGGCGAGTGAGAGTGAGAGTGGCGGGAGAAACGCCGTTGGGATTTATTAGATTCTAGCGCCGCGCGCCGGCGGCCGGCGGCCGGCGTTTTCTTTTTTGCTAAATTATCTCGAACGAATTTCTTGCTTTTGTGGAACTTCTGGGCGCGGAAATCCGTGGCGGCCGTTTTGTGCCTGGGCCTGGCTGGTCCTTGGATTTACTAGCGTCGCCCCGGCACACGGGAGAAGAGAGAGAGGTGTGACTTTTCTCTTGCGAAATTGCCCTCTCGGCCGAGAAGAAGAGGGGCCGTCCAAGAGCCGTCCATATCAAAGAGGAAAAAATAAGAGAGAGAGAGTGAGAGGGAGACACCGCGTGATGTCTCCAATTCTCCATTGATGAGGAATCAGATTTTGGCACCTTGTCATGATTTCGACATGGTTGACCCTGGCACGGCACAGAGCCATGGGCTGGCCTGGCCTAGCTGGCTGTCTTTGGGCCGAAGGGCTTCGGCCCGCTGACTAAGGGGGCTCGCAAAGCGCGCGGTGTTAGCAACCATGTCAACATCGTCTGCGTTATGGCCTTGAGGGTGGTTTATCATAAAGGAGGCTTGACGCACCACGGAGTTCAGGCCGGACTGAAGATAGGCCCCGGAGACGGGGGATGGCGCTGCTACTTCCGCGATGCGAGATCAGAGATATCAGGGTGGGCAAGGCGATTGCCCGTGGCCAGCCATTGTCGCGTGGTGGAACTTGCTTGCCCAAGGTCCCCCAGGCCCGACAGCTACAGGCGGGCCTGTCCAGGAGAGAGCAATATCGGCTACCCCACCCGCGGGCAGCGGAGATGGGGAACGGTGACGCCTTCTGGGCACATCATCTCGGGACGGCCTTGGTGGGGGGACGGCGGCCAGACCGATGAGCATGGACGGTCGATGATTGGCCCAGGTACGTCTTGGCTTCTCCGTGCTGATTGGTCAGAATTGGGCGGGACCATCGAACTCTGACCAGGTATCCAGGCGGCCAGACCTCAATCTAATTTTAGGCCTAGCCCCCCCCCGACAAGGGGCGGGTATCCAGCAGGGCGGTGCGCTGCAAAGCCGTGCTGTGCTGGGCGATTGCGGCCCTGTGCATGCATGTTGTTGTTGCTCCAAATCTCACAATGCACGCCGTGCACAACAAACAACACATACACACACACAGGCAACACACGGCTCGGATTCGCGCTGTCATGACCGACGCGCTGGCACTCGGGTTGCACGAGCCAAGCTGCTTGCCGCACCGTACCCGAGCGAGTAGCCTATCTCCGCCTGGGAAAGTAATCCAAACCCGAGCCAGGCGAGTTGGACGTCGACAGATGATGGCCCGGCCACGGTGCGCAGAGTCAGAAACCAAAGCACGCACAGCATCGGCGATTTGTATCAGGTGCTCGTATTGCCAATGACGCAGTGCTTCTCACATTGTGGTCCGGATGCTCCAATGATCAGACCAAAAAAGCCCAGCCTCCGCCATGGCTTGTCTGTCTAGCGTCGTCATCTCCAGAATGACACAATTGGGAGGCTCGCCCTGCGCTAGCGTCGTTGGGGCCTCATGGCAAGGCACAGCCTGGCACAGACAGACGGCTGCCGCTTCTCCCCCCATGAACTTGTCTGTCAGGTGGTGCAGTGGTGGTGGTGGTGTGGGAACAGTTGTGCGTAATAGAAGAGACACAGGCCCGACCCTTCAAGCACTGCATCATGGGGGGCGATCATCTTCCTCGCCGGGAAGCGCGCTAGCCACGGCCCAGAGCCGACCCGACGTGCGATCCATTGGATGGAGCCGGTGACCTCCCTGGCGCCTTCCGCCTCCCCGGGGCACGCATCGCGCAGAGAACGGCAAGGTCGATGGCGATCCTTGTGTCAAAGTCCACATAGGGCTGGTTCGTCCAAAACATACAGGACCGGTGTCTCTGCAACTGTTGGCATGCGAGATGACATGCCGTGATCAATTTCTCAGGCGCCACGAAGGCCAACACAGAGCCGGCAAAGAAGAGAGCCAACACCATCGACAGCGCTTACTTACATCATTTGCGAACCCTGCATTCCAGGACCGCATGGCTCTGTGCGCCGTGCAGGCCCTCCTGGCGAATAGCATCCCCGACAGCTTGCATGCTCCAGACACGACGACCGTCTCAACCTCATCAGACCAGTTGGGTACTGATAATTAGAGAAGCCCCCCCTTGCTCGCCACCACTCCTAGGCGAAAGTTTATCATGTTCGTAGGACTTTTTTCTTCTTCGCTTCGGTTAATCAAACGAGAAATGTTGAATAGTCCTCCGTGTGCTGCCATCAAGCTAGGGCGTCTTCCAAGAGAGCCTTGGGACGCTAGGTAGGGCTGGGGTTGGGTTGGAGGTGCACGATCGTCAGGTCCAGCACAGCCTTCAAGGGAAGCCTCCGCTGTCAATAGCGCCCAGTGCTAGACGGCGGCCTCCTTTTCCCCATCTCAGCTCCAGCCAGGCTTTCAGCCCTAAGAGCCATGAGCATTCGTTATCCTCGTAGGGCTGAAGAAGCAGAAAGTTGTGCCTAGGAGGAAAAAAGGCGGAAGCAGATCCTGCCACGCGCCGTCCTCGAAACTCGGTTTTTCGGGCATCAGTCACAGCCTTTCTGTGCGGTTGCACTGTACCGGGCGACCAAAAAGACATCGCGGCCAATGCCGACGGCAGAGAGCCTGAGCTTTTCTTAATTACCCGCCGACTTGAGGCAGGCGGCGGTTCATTTGCCGTCGAGGCTGGCTGGCTACTAACAGTTGACTTCGCCAAAGTCCCTGTTCACTGACTTGCGCCTGTCACGCGCCGAGCTCGTGCATGCACTCTTGGAGTGATGCAGCCTTCTACCTAACACGAAGTGTGTGGCATGCAGTATGGTTGAAAATCTGCCTTGGTGGCTGGCCCCCTTTTGGCTGCCTGCCCCCCTGTGACAGCTAGCCACGTTTTGGCGCAGACAAGCAAAAGTCCGTGCCTTTGGTGTGTGTGCGTGTGCGTGCGATGTGCTGGCTGCTGCTCGCCTGCTTACGTAGTAATACCACGGTGCTTGGAGAAGACGGATTTTGAATTCGGTGAACCTTATCTTTCTCGGTTTTCGGAACACAGAGCCTTTCGAAAGGGGAAGTCACCGCGCTAAACGACCCCCGTCTCTCTTCCCCCCCAGCTCCCCGAGACATACCTTTATGCAAGTGCTTGGTGCTGCGCATGTTAGGGCTGCGGGTTTGGTCATGGGTGCGTTTTTGTGCCTCTTTGTGGCCGCGGTGTTCTGTTGCACTCCTTGTCCGTGGCTGCTCCTTTCTTGGTGTTGGCGTTGCATCCAATGACACCACACCACACGCCATAGCCCTTGCCTGGTGCAAGCCTGGCGGAAAGGCGAAAGGAGGCGATGTAACTGCGGGAGTGAGCATGCCATCGGGCTAAAAGTCTACCCGATTATTGCATGGTGCTTATTTTACAGGGATACATGGGGTGGGCATGGCGGGTGCAGGAGAGTGTGTGTGGTCAAGGCCTGAACGATAGCGACCTAGGTGGTGACTTGACTATGGTGTTCATTGGCCCCCCTGGGTCCCCGGTGGCCTCTTTTGGGTGGTGAAACCCCCAGAGGCTGATCCCTTTCGACATGGACTTTTGTCCATGTCTTTTTGGCCTCCGCAGTCACCGGCGGGGAGATAATCACATCATGGTGCTGGGCGCTCTATCCAATGATCGTGGTGACAAGTGTCACAAGATGCTGTAACAAGGTAGAGGTGTCGTGCGTGACTGCTCACCGCAACCGTGGCTGTGTGCGACCAAAATATGGGACTGTCGGAAGGAAAAGACATGCCATGCTGCAGAAATTCTTGTTGTCGGTCACCACGTCCGGTGAAGATGCTCACCTCTGAAACCTCGTGCTGGGTGGCATTACAATTTTGTGTCCAGTTGTGCTATACAGTAACTATGCACAGTGAGTAGTGTGATTCTCACAGTATGTCGCCTGCTCTGGTGGTCCTGGTAGGGCTGAAGCTGAAAGCGCCAGGGCGACACGTTCGCCGCTCGTCAGCACGTCAAAGCTGTCAGGCCAGCCATTCAGTCAGCCAACACGCGGGTTGGCTGCAGACGTTCCCGTCCCATGCTTGTAGCACACCCAGGAAGGATGCCTGCTCGGGGAAATGAAGACGTCTCCTCTCCCGTCGACTGTGTGAGGCGTGGCCATGCAAGAACCTGTTGTTACCAGTCGGAGGAGAGGGAAAAGCAGACAAACAACAAAGGATACTGACCTACGTGCTGTACAGTGCAGTCCAAGCACCAATCGTCCAAGGTTGACTAACCGCGCGCTGCCAGATCATCTGAATGTCTCACATCCGCGAGCCGGGGTATGCAGGTCCTTTCTCCACCGCCGCCCACTGCCAACCACCACGCACGCGAACGCAAACGCCATAGTCTGCAACGTGCCTGCACCCACACACGCACTCCTCTCTCTCTCACACTTTTACAGGCCACCAGCTCACTTTCCCACCTCCAGCAAGCCAGCGCGCCTAGCGCGAAACTCAATCACGGACAACCCAAGCCACAGCCGCGGAGCAGCAGACCACGGCTTGACGCCATGTAGTAAGGAGGATGAAAAGGTCTTTTCCTCTGTTCAGGGTCCTTAAGCGGGGCGCCTCTAAGGATGTGCTTGACTGAGCCAGCGTCTGACCGAGTGGGCGTGCTGTTGGAGCAATCGTACGACATAGAGCGGGCACGGCAGCTATGCATCTCTTTCCCTTGCCGAAAGCACGTCCAGCAGACAAGCCGGGCAGATCATCTGCGATGCATGCTCGACGTGTGTAGGCGGCCGCCTGGCCAATGCGGGTACAGTACCTCAGAGTGGTGCCCCCCGTACGAGCCTGAATTGGGATTCCCATCGAGAGTAGACCCCCGTCATCGCTGAAGGTCATCTCCAATTTACGCGAGGCACGACGACAAAGGTACCGAAGATCACTGCAAGGACTCAGTCATTACATGAAGACATCACGAAACCCGGCCTGATGTACCCCCCCGCGTGCCCGCCATAGCCCGTTGTACGGCCACAGATCATCATCATCGTCAGAGCCGGGGTACGACTTTGATGGAGGGGCGGGACCTGGGCTGCCGATGAGATGCGGCTAGCACAGATCAGGAAAACAATAGTTGTGGGTAAACCATGGCCTGGCACACCAATCAAGCGATGCGACGCGCTCTCCTGAGCTTAGCTTATCGATAGTCCGACCCCCCCCCCCCTTCTGGCTTGCTGGGATGAGGGAGGGAGAGAGAGCGAGCAAGGATGCCTGACGGCACACGCCTCCACTTTTGTGTCAAGCACGCCTCTTGTGCAAGCCAGTCCATGCACGTCAACGAGAATTACCACACTTGGATCCCCGTCTGGAAGCACCGCAACAATCAACTTCGTGGTTTCTCTGCCAGATGCTACTCTACTTGCGCCCCCAAGGCGGGTTCTTTTTCAACCCCGTTCACAGCGGGATGCTGCAATACATCGCCTCACTATCGGTCACTCCACTCTCTTTTCCTTATCCCCCCGTGTCTCTCTCTCTGACAATTAGGCAAGATTGAGCAGATCGGAAAAGGACCTTGGAGGCAAGCCATGTGGGCTTGCGGGCTATCCACAACGTGGCCGCTGCCGCCAGCCTGGGCGGTATCCTCTGTATGGTACGATTATTATCAGGCGAGCAAGTGACTGGCTCCTAAATCACCGGAGTCCGACCAACAACAGAACCGAAGCCGTCGCTCCGAGAAGGGGGGGGGTTTCACTTCCGCTCCGCCCCCGGGGCGAGCACGCC